AGATGGACATCTCTGGGCTCCCTCTCTCTTCAGACTAGATCCCAGTGGGTTCGTCCCCTGAAGGTGAATGTTGAAAGATTCAGGACAGGTGAAAGGACACCTGTGGAATTCTCTCCAGCAAGAGGTTGGGACGGGCACCAATTTGGACATTTGAAAAGAGGGACAAAATTTGTGGCGGGTAGCAACGCTATCCAACAGGGCTGGATTTAGGTTTGATGAGGCCCTAAGCTACTGAAGGTAATGGGGCCCTTTATATGTCCAGCTGTCCTTTGTCAACAACAAATTGTCGCTGTTTTTTTTGTGTTGAATACAGTGGTACCTCGGGTTACATACGCTTCAGGTTACAGACGCTTCAGGTTACAGACTCCGCTAACCCAGAAATAGTACCTCGGGTTAAGAACTTTGCTTCAGGATGAGAACAGAAATTGTGCTCTGGCGGTGCAGTGGCAGCAGGAGGCCCCATTAGCTAAAGTGGTGCTTCAGGTTACCGGTAAGAACAGTTTCAGGTTAAGAATGGACCTCCAGAACGAATTAAGTACTTAACCCGAGGTACCACTGTATATGCTATCTGGTAATTTATGGACCTCATAGGTATCTAAAGCTATTTGCATGTAACAAAATATGTATTTTATCAAAATACAGTGGTACCTCTGGTTACATATGCTTCAGGTTACAGACGCTTCAGGTTACAGACTCCACTAATCCAGAAATAGTACCTTGGGTTAAGAACTTTGCTTCAGGATAAGGACAGAAATCGTGTGGCGGCAGCGGGAGGCCCCATTAGCTAAAGTGGTGCTTCAGGTTAAGAACAGTTTCAGGTTAAGAACGGAGCTCTGGAACAAATTAAGTACGTAACCAGAGGTACCACTGTAATTGTTGAAGTGAAATACTATTAAGAAGAAGAGCCCACACCGCACAAAACACTGTTGCTGCATGTAAGTTTTATTTTATTTGTTTTATATTTTGGAAATGTACATCCAGTTTTTTCCCCCTTTGGATTTTTTGGGGGCCCCCAAGAGAGTGGGGCCCTAAGCTATAGCTTGTTTAGCTTATACGTAAATCCGGCACTGCTACCCATGTCTACTAGCCAAAATAGCCTCTAGGATAAGAGGCGGTTGGTGAGAAACAGCCATTGGTAGCCTTCTCCATCATGATTTTGCCCAGTCCTCTTTTAAAGCCATCTAGCCTGGTCTCCCATCGCTTTTTGCTGTGGCAAGGAGTTCCATAGTTCAACAATGCTCCTAGTGAAGGAGTCCTTTCCCAAATCTTCCAGTGTCCAACTTATTGGATGCCCACAAGTTCTATAGAGCAGGAGAGAAGCATTTTCCCTGCCTTCTTCCTCCTGGCCACACGTGATTGTACTTGTGTCATGTCGCCATTTTGGTCCATCATGTCTTGAGACGGGCCCCAGAGAGGCGAGCGGAGGGCAAGGAACCCGATGTTCATTTGCCGAACGAGAGGAACAACTCGAGCCTGCCAGGGGAGGTGTTTGGTGCAACGCCCATCCATCTGTTTCCCCCCCGGCACGCAGCCAGGACAGTGGATGAGCAAAAAGGACACCTCGAGCCGCAGAGGCCATCCCTGTTGGGTCAACAGGAGCTCTGTCGCTCCCCACAATGAAGTCAATGGAGAACGGGGAGGCCAGCCAAGCGGGGAACGGCGAGGAGGAGACCTGGAGCAGTAGGGTGGCTGAGCAAAACGAAAATAAATATATATTTGGCTCCCATGAATCAAAGCCTGTTGCAATCAAAACAACTCGCCATCGGAGCGAAGGCCTCGGGGCCTCGTTCGTCAAAAATTATACACGCGGCAGAAAGCCACAGGGGACGCATAATTGCAGCATGGCCACAAAGAAAGCCTTTTTCCACCCCCTCCTGGCATCGGAGCTTTGCCCAGCGGTGGGGGGGGGGCAGGTTTGCTCTGTGCCATCGGTAAATGCCTTTCCTATTCACCTTCCCTATTAATAATAATTAGCAGGGGTCGTTATTGACAGGTCAGGGTCGGAGAACCGGGAGGAAAGGGGAATCCGCGCCTTGCAATGATTCGGTCTTCCCTCCTGTGGTTTCCAGCAAAGTTGAGATTCCTGCGTTGCAGGGGGTTGGACTAGATGACCAGCAGAACCCCTTCCAACGCTACAATTCTATGATTCTAGGAAAGGGATGATGCCCCAGACAGCAGAAGTAGAGCGTAGGCCTTTGCGGTGGGTGGCCTGGTCCTCTCCAAAAGCCGTGCAAACTGATACTATTTCTTGGCTATTTCTTGGCTTAAGCTTAAGAGACTGATTTGCTAATCAGTCTCTTAATCTTAAGCCAAGAAATAGTATTCTCTATGAAATTGAATATCAATATACGTATCAAGACTTTGAGATTAGACCACTGAAGACGCCCGGAAAACTACCTTGGGAGTGGGCTACCTGCAAGCCCCAGTAAAAGGGACCCATTGGGGACAAACAGCAGCCTCTAGATTACCGTACTTGGACTGCCAGGGCGAAACAGGTGCAAAACGCTGGCAGCCTGTCATCTACAACTTCATTAACATCCATCTACAACTTCACTAGCATCTCTCGGTATTGTGAACAACACCAAACTTACCTTTTGTTGGTATCTTCATGAACTTACTTAAAAAGATAAAGAAAACAAAAGTCTGAGTTAAGCACTTGAAAAATCCATTGAAATCAGACATTATAAGTTCATCTTAGGTTGGGTAGTTCGCAAGTCTCTGTGGCTTTGCATAAAGTTTTGTATTTTTCTCAGAAGATTGAGAAAGAACGTATAATCATTTTGGTAATTACTGTGTGTATATTAGTCACCAACGTGTTGCATGAGTCATACTACTTCTATCAACAGCACAGGTTGCATTTTTCTAGTCTTATGGGAAACCGGCAAGCAGGATTCGAACACAAGATCCTACTCTCCCCTCCTGTGGCTTCCAGCAAATGGTGTTCCCAAGCATTGCTGCCTCTGACTGTGGAGACAAGGCAGAGCCATCGTGGCTTGTAGCCATCAACAGCCCTCTCTTCCTCCATGAATTTTGTCCAAACTTCTTTTAAGCCCGTTGGTTGCTATACCTGCCTCCTGTGGCAGGGAGTTCCACAGGTTAACTATGCACTCTGCGGAAAAGCACTTCCTTTTATCTGCTTTGAATCTTCCGACAATTAGCTACGTTGGATGCATAGCTGTCAACTTACAGATTTGAAAATAAGGGACCGGCAGCCTTGAAAATAAGGGACCAGCAGCCAAAATAAGGGATTTTAGTCAACCAGCTGAAATGCGAAGTTAAAAGGGACCAGGTAATTTTGGAGAGCAGCGCCGGTTTTTAGCCCTTCGTTTCCAGAGGTTGCTGCTCAAGACACCAGCTGATGAAACACTGCAATTAAAGAACTACAAGCAGCAACCACTTTTCGCACAAAACGAAGTCCAAGCTACGAAGATGCTGCTGCAGTTCTGTATCTTTTCTCTCGTGCTCCATCTGCAGCTCTCAGTTCCATCAGGCGGGGCGGGAGGAAGATGGGGGGGAAATAGCACCCAAAGTAAACCCGCAGATCAGACCATCTATGCTAGTCTACCACTACAAATCTATGGGAGAAGCGCTTACGGTCCTTCCTCTGCTTTCCCCCGCTATGGTTAGCCCTTGGAACACCTGCCCGCGCCTCCGCCTCCTCCTCCTCTCTCTGAACTGCTTTCTCCATGGTTGCCCTCGCTCTCCTCTCAAGGCTCCTCAGCAATTCATAGGCCATGCCAGGTTGCCCATCTCATCCAGGTCCTTTGGCGGCACAGCTGCAGTATGGCCTAGCGGGAGCGGCAGCGGCGGGCAGAGGGGAAGCCCCAGGCAGGAACGCCCAGTTCAGCGGCTGCGAGGAAGATGGTGGCGGAAGGGCCCAAGGCTCCCGCCAGTCCCGGCAGGGAGGAGTTCCTGGGGGCCGAGACTGGTGAGAGGAGGCCGGAGGGGGGCGGGGCGGGCAGCCAAGCAACCCAGTTGGAGCCTCCCTCCTCCCTGGCCGGCCGGCAGGGAGGGAGGGAGAGGAGCTGCTTCCTTTGAAACCTGGGAAATTTAAGGGACATCATTAATAAGGGACAGCAGCGGGACATGGCGCTGGGATAAGGGAGTTTCCCGCCAAATAAGGGACGGTTGACAGCTATGGTTGGATGTAGGACGCCCCTTCGTTGCCTATCCCTGGGTTAGACAGCCAGGCAAAAGAGCTGAGTCCCCTTATGCCCGATTTCCCTCTTGCTGTAACTTTCCGCCAGATCCAACCTTTCAGCAAATGTCCTGGCCAAACAAGGAGGCACATGACATGCCTGCGATGTGTCACATGAAAACAGCTTGGCTTCCTAATGGGGGCCGTCAGTCATTCTGAGCCTGAACACGCACTGAGCAGGCAATTGCTTCTCCTGCTCCAAGAGGCACCACAGCTGGCAGCTGAAATCAGCAAGATAGATTCTTGCTAAGCATGCAAAAAGTGTCGCCCTGTTGCTCTCTTCCCCATTCTTGCTCTGATAGAGGTGTAAAATGCGTCTGGAAGAGGCGCTGTGCTGCCCTCTGTTGGATCCACAGTTGAAAGACATGTAGAATAGGTAAAGGTAAAGGGACCCCTGACCATTAGGTCTAGTAGTGACCGACTCTGGGGTTGCAGCGCTCATCTCGCTTTATTGGCCGAGGGAGCCAGCGTACAGCTTCGGGGTCATGTGGCCAGCATGACGAAGCCGCTTCTGGCAAACCAGAGCAGCTCACGGAAACGCCGTTTACCTTCCAGCCAGAGCGGTACCTATTTATCTACTTGCACTTTGACATGCTTTCGAACTGCTAAGTGGGCAGGAGCTAACTTGTCTTACACATTTTAGCTAATTTCACAGGTGTAATATACCATCTATACATTGTTTTCATCATATTCATATTTTGAAAAATTTAAATACCTTGCAAGCCAGTCCCACAGCTGCCTCCGGACCTGGAGGAGGAACGCACTCTGCACGCGCTCAGGAGCACATCTTGGCACCGCCCACTCACAGCTGCTCCATTGGCCCATACCCGTGGAGCTCCCAGATGGCGTGCACCACGTGCTGCGGCCCGTCGTCTGAGGCCAGGTTGGGTGGCAGGCCGCGCAGGTGGAGTGCCGGGCAGACGGCACGCAGCGCGCCCTCCAGCTGCTCCAGCGCGGCTGCCAAGCACGCCACCAGCAGCAGCACCGAGCCGGGCACCAGGCGCAGGGCAAAAGGCACATCAAGCTCCGGCTGAAGCCCCACAACGTGCCCGTCACAATGCTCATGGCGCGGCCCAGACCCGTCGCCCGCCCACCCGACTCTCCGTCCACGGCCGCCCCGAGTTTACCTCAGCCGCGGCCGGTGAGGCTTTGGATTGCCTGCAGGAGCTTCCTGCAGCCAATCCGAAGCTGTGCCAGCGTCGCCGCCCACCCAGAAGCTGTGCCAACGTCACAGACGTCAGTCCCCGCACGGCGAGATGTCGACAGGGTGCGGGGACTGACCAAGCAGGCGGCAGGGTCCGTGGGCTGGATTTATGAGCCTGGGGAGCCACATCCGGGCTCTTAGTTTGCTGACCCCTGGAATGGAGTATCCTGCAAAAGGGTAGGATTGGCTGACACTTCTGTGTGCATTGATTCTGTGCAATAATTCTGAAAAGCATCATTTTCATTTTAGCACAGCATCCAGAAGGGCAAAGAATTATAGATTTACTCCTCCTTTCTAAGCCAACTTTTTTTACCACACGCCTGTTTCCCTGGCAAATTAATGAATTATACCTCATTATATTATAGCCGTAAAAAAAAACCCAGCTGTTGATCTGAAGACCGAGGCCTTATTTACTTTCCCCTGCTGGAATTCCCGGGACTCAGTCCAGAGATCAGGGGGGGTTTTGGAGGGGTGAGCCAGTCTCTTGTTTGGCCTGGAAGCAAAGTCAGCTTTTGGCATCATCACTGGGGGGAAATGCACTGATTCCGAAACAAACAAATTCAGCTTCACTGGCAGTTAAACCAGCTCACTGGATAAAAGGATTCAATTTGTGGTCCCTTCAGACTGACATCTTGTTTTTTGGGTGGGGGATATTTTGAAAGCTTTCATTGATGCAACAGCACAGCATTAGCGACAAGCGTGGTGTTGCAAGGGTCCGTCCTGGGCACATTGTCATTCAACAACTTTATAACTGACTTGGATGAGGTAATCGAGGGGACGCTCACCCAATCTGCAGATGGTAAGGTAAAGGTAAAGGACCCCTGGACGGTTAAGTCCAGTCAAAGGCGACTCTGGGGTTGCGGCGCTCATCTCGCTTTCAGGAAGAGCGAGCCGACGTTTGTCCGCAGACAGCTTTCCGGGTCATGTGGCCAGCAGGACTAAACTGCTTCTGGCGCAACGGGACAACGTGATGAAACCAGATTTGTGCTGGAGGTGTGGTAAAACAGAGGGGACACTTATACAGTGGTACCTCGGGTTACATACGCTTCAGGTTACATACACTTCAGGTTACGCACTCCACTAACCCAGAAATAGTGCTTCAGGTTAAGAACTTTGCTTCAGGATAAGAACAGAAATCGCGCAGCGGCAGCAGGAGGCCCCATTAGCTAAAGTGGTGCTTCAAGTTAAGAATAGTTTCAGGTTAAGTACGGACCTCTGGAACGAATTAAGTACTAAACCCGAGGTACCACTGTACATGTTTGGTGGACCGGTGAAAAAATCAAAAGCTACTAGAACATAGTACAGTGGTATCTCGGGTTACAGACGCTTCAGGTTACAGACGCTTCAGGTTACAGACGCTTCAGGTTACAGACTCCACTAACCCAGAAATAGTACCTCGGGTTAAGAACTTTGCTTCAGGATGAGAACAGATATCATGCTCTACACAGTCTACACAGAGTTAAATACCATCTGTAAATCATTTTCAAGTACAGTCATGCCTTGGGTTACAGCCGCTTCAGGTTGCGTTTCTTCGGGTTGCGGACCGCCGAAACCCAGAAGTACCAGAACAGGTTACTTCCGGGTTTCAGCAGTTGCGCATGTGCAGAAGCACTAAATCATGCATTGCTCCTGCACAGAAGTGCCGAATCTCCACCCGCGCTTGCGCAGACGCGGGTTGCGAATGCTGTGGGTTGCAAACATGCACCCTGCACGGATCACGTTCACAACCCAAGCATCAACCCAAGAAAAGGATCTAGGAGTCTTGGTTGACCACAAACTTGACATGAGCCAACAGTGTGACGCGGCAGCTAAAAAAGCCACTGCAATTCTGGGCTGCATCAATAGGAGTATAGCATCTAGATCAAGGGAAGTAATAGTGCCACTGTATTCTGCTCTGGTCAGACCTCACCTGGAGTACTGTGTCCAGTTCTGGGCACCACAGTTCAAGAAGGACACTGACAAACTGGAACGTGTCCAGAGGAGGGCAACCAAAATGGTCAAAGGCCTGGAAACGATGCCTTAGGAGGAACGGCTAAGGGAGCTGGGCATGTTTAGCCTGGAGAAGAGGAGGTTAAGGGGTGATATGATAGCCATGTTCAAATATATAAAAGGATGTCACATAGAGGAGGGAGAAAGGTTGTTTTCTGCTGCTCCAGAGAAGCGGACACGGAGCAATGGATCCAAACTACAAGAAAGAAGATTCCACATAAACATTAAGGAAGAACTTCCTGACAGTAAGAGCTGTTCGACAGTGGAATTTGCTGCCAAGGAGTGTGGTGGAGTCTCCTTCTTTGGAGGTCTTTAAGCAGAGGCTTGACAACCATATGTCAGGAGTGCTCTGATGGTGTTTCCTGCTTGGCATGGGGTTGGACTCGATGGCCCTTGTGGTCTCTTCCAACTCTATGATTCTATGATTCTATGATCCACTGTACAGTAGATCTACTTCAAGGAATAACATGCCCCCTTTTTAACAGAATCCTCACTCATTTCCCCGGGTCAAATGACACAGTGTGGTGCAGTGATGAAAGGGTCAAACTAGAATGGCAAGACCCGCCTTCAGTCCCTCGAATGGTTGTGAGGCTCAGTGGGCAAAGCTGGGTTAGGCACTCCCCATCAGATGAGCCCACCTTACAGGGCTGCTGTGAGGATAAAGTAGGGAAACCGTCAAAATATCCCCAAGTCAGGGCAACAGAGTCAAAGCTAAACATTTTTGCCGACCTACCTAAATGAAGCATCTATTTAAAGGGCCTGTTGTTTTGTCCATGAAGTTTTCTTGGCAGGGATACTGGAGTGGCTTGCTGGTTCCTGCTCCAGGTGGATCACGTTTGGTCAAAAACTCTCACCTATGACCTGTCCATCTTGGGTGGCCCTGCACATCATAGCTCATAGCTTCTCTGAGTTATTCAAGCTCCTTCGCCACAGCAAGGGAATGATCCTATACAGCATCTTAAAAAGCAGAGACATCACCTTGCCAACAAAGGTCCGTATAGTTAAAGCTCTGGTTTTCCCAGTAGTGATATATGGAAGTGAGAGCTGGACCATAAAGAAGGCTGATCGCCAAAGAATGGATGCTTTTGAATTATGGTGCTGGAGGAGACTCTTGAGAGTCCCATGGACTGCAAGAAGATCAAACCTCTCCATTCTGAAGGAAATCAGCCCTGAGTGCTCACTGGAAGGACAGATCCTGAAGCTGAGGCTCCAAGACTTTGGCCACCTCATGAGAGAGAAGACTCCCTGGAAAAGACCCTGATGTTGGGAAAGATGGAGGGCACAAGGAGAAGGGGGCGACAGAGGAGTAGATGGTGGGACAGTGTTCTGGAAGGTACCAGCATGAGTTTGACCAAACTGCGGGAGGCAGTGGAAAACAGGAATGCCTGGCGTGCTCTGGTCCATGGGGTCACGAAGAGTCGGACACGACTAAACGACTAAACAACAACAACAACAACAATTTAAAGGGCAATTCATTTGTTTACAGCTGCCTGAAAGTCTGCCTGTCGAGAATTGCGTGGGGGGAATCCCCTTAAAGCAGAAAAATATTTAATACGGATTTGGGATTCAGCTTAAGCTAGCCAGTATCATTATGACTAGAGAAAGAGGGCAATTAGAGAACAAATTAGCTGGGAAATGGATTTTATTTATCACATACGGGAATAATAAGGTACAAGGCACAATTATTATTAGACAGGGACTATTGCTATTCTTTTCAGCGCCTGCTTAAAAAAAACAACCCTTTTTATTTTAGCGAGGCTACCCAGGCATGTAATTTTAGCAAGCAATTTTAATATGTGATTTTAGTATCATGGTTTTTTAATTCCCTAAAGCTGAAAAAGTCTCCTTGATACACACACACACACACACCACAATTTGTAGCTCAAAACCACCACTTTGCAGGAATGTGTCTACAAATGGCCCTACTGTCCTAAAGTAAAATCTGCACGTGTTGCTAGAATGTGAGTCAAGGATGTGTGTATGTTAAATAAAATTATATTGCGGGTGCTTTAATTAGCGGTGGGGAAATTTAATTCAGCGAGTGGCCTGCAGTTTCCGTGTCAAAGTACTTTTGCAGCCCACTTGTAGTCTGAGAGTTTGGCCTGCGCTCGTCTGGAGGGTCCACTTAGCATCTCAAGATTTCCAAGTACCCAGGCCAAACATTAAAAACTAGACTTCGGATACTGTCAGCATCGCCCTTGAGCCAGTGCCACCAACTGGACTCATCCACTTCAGCCCCGACTGGGCTAGGCGAGCTGGGTAGCACTTCCAGAGACCACCTTCTGCACAGGAACAGGTCAAAGTGCTGTGGACTCACAGCTCAGAGTTGTGAGCACCGGATTCACTCCAACAAGAAGACAGTCGTCGCACAGCAGAGTACAGCAAACTCTAGCAGAGTATATAAACAACTCAGAGAGCAGCTCTGTAGAATATCTTCTTTATTCTATCTATAACTATTATACAACTATATACAGAGCTAAATAGGTCTAAGCATAAATAAATGCTGTACTGCACTGAGTGTCTGCAGCTGCTCTTAGCAGCAACCTTATCTCTACACACGATCTCTAACACTCAGTCTCTCTCTCTCTCTCTCCGACACTGACTGACTGACTGATTTGGTGCTGGAGCAGAATAAGTAGAGAGCAGAACACGCCTCCTCCTCTCTGGAGAATCAGCAGTTTCCTCAGGAGATTCTTGGATATGGGAGGGGTGAAATCTCCTCATGGAGCTGTAATGGAAATGACGGGGGGGGCACATCTTTAAAGTTGTTGGGTAAAGGTAAAGGGACCCCTGACCATTAGGTCCAGTCATGGCCGACTCTGGGGTTGCGGCGCTCATCTCGCTTTCTTGGCCGAGGGAGCCGGCGTACAGCTTCCGGGTCATGTGGTCAGCATGACTAAGCCGCTTCTGGCAAACCAGAGCAGCGCACGGAAACGCCGTTTACCTTCCCGCCAGAGCTGTACCTATTTATCTACTTGCACTTTGACATGCTTTCGAACTGCTAGGTTGGCAGGAGCAGGGACCGAGCAACGGGAGCTCACCCCGTCGGGGGGATTCGAACCGCCGACCTTCCAATCAGCAAGCCCAAGAGGCTCTGTGGTTTAGACCACAGCGCCACCCACATCCCATTCAGGGAAGATACCTAGTGTTATGTACTGAGTTGAATAGGATCTGACTGGTCCTAGAACAGTAGGATTCAGAATGCAGCAGTCTGATTGGTCCGCAGGAGCCACCCAATCCAACTCCAGGTGGAAGTGAATCCGCAAGCTGATTGGCCTACAGGAGAATCCCAGAATTAGCCAATCACGTGGGGCCCATTGTGTAAATAATGTACATAAAGCAGACATTTCGGGGGAAATTCCATTCCTCACTACTATGAGCTGAATAAAGCGCATGAAATCCACGCTCGACTCCGAGTATATTTCACCTAGCTTTATAAATTAGTGCAAAATCCAAACTGTAACCGACTCTCCTCATTCTAGTGCCATTTTAACCCTTAAAGAAAGGTGGATTTGGGCTCCACCTCCCTCCATGAACCAGGAAGCAGGAAGTCACGTAGGCAGCAGGAACAGGGCATCCCACCATAATTCCCCAAGAGTGAGAGCACATATAAGGCCCAGGGAGTGAGCAGGGGGCAATACTAGACATCCTCAGAGGCAGTTGAGCAAGTCAGGTGTTCTGAAAGCCCATCTCCAGACAAGTTCTGAGGGCAAGGAGATGGAAAGAGTTTCCTTGTTCTTTCAGTGACAGGTACTTAAGAGGTTGAAATATCCTCAGAGTCCTGCAGTGATTTCATGCTCTTTATTGCAGCTTGTAAAACAGTGACTGAATTTCCTCCCAAACCTCAGGCTTTTATATACATTACAGTGGTACCTCGGGTTACAGACGCTTCAGGTTACAGACTCTGCTAACCCAGAAATAGTACCTCGGGTTAAGAACTTTGCTTCAGGATGAGAACAGAAATTGCGCAGTGGCAGCGGGAGGCCCCATTAGCTCAAGTAGTGCTTCGGGTTAAGAACGGACCTCCGGAACGAATTAAGTACGTAACCAGAGGTATCACTGTATTTACACAATGAGTCCCATCCGATAGGCTGATTCGACTTCCCTCCTGGAGCCTGATTGGTCTTCTCCTGCAAGCCAATCAGTTGTTGCATTCTGGGATCCTACCTAAGGTCCGTATAGTAAAAGCTATGGTTTTCCCAGTAGTGATGTATGGAAGTGAGAGCTGGACCATAAAGAAGGCTGATCGCCAAAGAATTGATGCTTTTGAATTATGGTGCTGGAGGAGACTCTTGAGAGTCCCATGGACTGCAAGAAGATCAAACCTCTCCATTCTGAAGGAAATCAGCCCTGAGTGCTCATTGGAAGGACCGATCCTGAAGCTGAGGCTCCAATCCTTTGGCCACCTCATGAGAAGAGAAGACTCCCTGGAAAAGACCCTGATGTTGGGAAAGATGGTGGGCACAAGGAGAAGGGGACGGCAGAGGATGAGATGGTGGGACAGTGTTCTCGAAGCTACCAGCATGAGTTTGACCAAACTGGGGGAGGCAGTGGAAGACAGGAGGGCCTGGCGTGCTCTGGTCCATGGGGTCACGAAGAGTCGGACACGACTAAATGACTAAGCAGCAACAAGGATCCTACCTGCCTATTGTTCTAGGATCCAAGCTTAGTACATAACAGAGGTGTTGGGAAAGGTGTTTGATAAAGTGACCTAATGTTGAACTTGTGTAACTCTTGTATACCTCTCCCCATTTGTGACATGCTAGTGATGATGTATCAATGATGCCTCTCGGATTGTATTCTGGGGAAAAGAGGAAAGTTTTAAAAGAGGGTGTCACCCCATGCTCGGGGTTCTTACTCTTGTGGGGACCTGTTGCGCAACAAGAAAGATCATGGTCTACTGACGACTGTTTTGCTCCAAATTGCTTGGCTGGAACTTCCTTCTTTTACTGACCCCAGGGACCCACAGGGGACTTACACCCCAATAAGCAAAGCTGTTGAGTAGTCTCTCACCCCGGAATTTTTTCCATAACAGAACGATTCTTATTTTTCCCTTTGATCCTTCGTTCCCTCACCCCCAACCTCGGCTCCTTGCTGTCATCCCTCCTACAGGATGTAAGCCAATCTGAATCTGATATACATGCATGATGTTTAGTGATATTTGCATCAAAAGGGGAGAGCTGTGAGGCTCCAAAGTGTTCCAAGAGCAGCTGCAACTATAATCACAGCTGCAAAAAGAGGTGTTTTTGATACCTGGTGGATTACCTGTGGTTTTGCCCTGATTAAGAAGCCTCCACATTTTAATTGGATCATTATACAGTGGGAGCCCAGAGGCAGTGACAGGTTCCAGGAAATGAGGACCGATCTCACATTGAATGAAGAAGTACGGGGAAGCAAGCCTCTGACTTCCTGTGCTAGCTGTCAGAAGCATGTGTCACGGCTAAAAATTGACCGCTGTTTCTTTAATGCTAAAAGAACTAAGTCAGCATGAGTCAATGGCCTACAATGACTCACGCAACCTTTCAGCTAATTGTACCTGTATATATAGAGTGGTCATTGATTGTGTTGGTGTGGGTTGGTTGGTGAAAGCTAGTAGTGTTGTTTTTTTTTCCTTCTAATGATGAGCTTTTTATTTTTATATTAACTTGTGCTCTTCGGGCCACAATGGTTAAAATGTTGTTTTTCAATTTCCCTTTTTCCAGCAGTAGCCCTTTACAAGGAATGATGCATTTCTCACTTGTTTTAAACAACTGTAACCTTTTAAACATAACCATTATTTTATTTTTTTAATTAATATTTATTAAAGTTTCAGAAAGAATAAAATCACATTAATAAACAAGAAAACTAGTAGTGTTAATGTGTGTACAGTTGGTCGGTCGTTTTGCAGATAAAGACTTTTTAGAATAAAAGCAGAAAACACCATATTTTTTGCTCTATAAGACTCACTTTTTCCCTCCTAAAAAGTAAGGGGAAATGTGTGTGCGTCTTATGGAGTGAATGCAGGCTGCGCAGCTATCCCAGAAGCCAGAACAGCGAGAGGGATTGCTGCTTTCACTGCGCAGCGATCCCTCTTGCTGTTCTGGCTTCTGAGATTTAGAATATTTTTTGTCTTGTTTTCCTCCTCCGAAAACTATGGTCTGGTGCGTCTTATAGAGTGAAAAATACGGTACTCTTCTCTTGGACTCCTTTATGCCGACAAGGGTCCGAGGACCAGGCTGAGGAGACCAAGGAAGTCAGGACCTTTGCTTTTCCAACACTGACAGCATGTGCTTCCCAATTCGATGGCCACTACAGGCAGGCAGGGCCAGCCTGGGATGTTTTGCTATTTTCCAGGGATGTCCCTGATTTACAGAAGCTGTCCCGGAATGTCCCACTTTTCCTTAGGATGTCCCTATTTTCACCGGGGAAATGTTGAAGGGTATGGAGCTATCCGACCCCTAAGCTGTCTGATGGCTATCCTGTATAGAGAAGCTTTTTAATGTTCTATTATGTTTTTATATACAATGGAACCTCATTTGTCAAACACCTCCGTAGTCAAACGTTCTGACTTTCAAACTCTGAAAACCCAGAAGTAACTGCTCTGGTTTTTTAATGATTTTCAGACGGCGAACATGCTACACGGCTTTTGTTTTGAGTTTCCCTGTTGTATTGAGGCTTCCGTATTGAGTTTTCAGGTTTTCGAAGGTTTCAGAAGTTGAACGGTCTTCCCGAGCGGATTACGTTTGAAAACCGAGGTTCCAATGTATGTTGGAAGCTGCCCAAAGTGGCTGGGGGAACCCAGTAAGATGTGTGGGGTATAAATCAGGCATAGGCAAACTCGGCCCTCCAGATATTTTGGGACTACAACTCCCATCATCCCTGACCACTGGATCGATGGTCTCATTAGATAGTAAAATTCATGTTAAATTGCTGTTTTAGGGGTTGTTTTTAAAAGTCTGGAACAGATTAATCCGTTTTGCATTACTTTCTATGGGAAAGTACGCCTTGGTTTAGGACCGCTTTGGTTTTGGAATGGACTTCCAGAACGGATTAAGTTTGAGAACCAAGGTACTGCTGTACAGTCCAATAATAGCCTCATTATAACAATACCAAATTATAATACAATTACTAATACCAATCGTTCAAATACCAAACTATGTAATTTGGGTCCCCCCCCCCATGTGCTAGAATTGATGGTTTGATTATTTTCTTTATTTCTGCATTCCAAAATCTTATTAATTTCAATTACATTCCAGTCAAAATAATAATCCCACATACAAGAACTGCAATATTAATAACTTCACTTCATGTTGACACATTAAATGATTTATGAAGCTGCAAGTGAAGCACTCAAACTATATCCTTGTTCTTCATGTTTGTGGCAATTATTCTGTCCGTAATGTTTCTTCCTGTCCTCGTAAAATATTATGTCTATCTTCCCCTGGTTATTGCTGTTCTCCATCATGCCTTGGGCGGAGCTAATATCCCATTGTCGTTTCAATAAATTTCTCCATTGCTTCACTGTTTTGCAACTTTAACAGCAGCTTCAAAAATCACACTGTCCCAATAAATAACCTGTTTTCACCATTTTTTCTTCTTAGCCCGGGAAAGAGAGTGATCTGTCAAACTGTAGATGACTCAGTTATGAATCTAATCAGTTCCTTGGCAGGTCCACAGATTCCTTTCATCAGGAATTGTCTTAAATAAATGGATACCCAATTTGCACCAATGCCAAAATGCATCAGTTGGTGAGGGCTCTTGATTCTGGCAAATGAAGCTTTACCAAGCTCATTTGCAGAGTTCAGCCCCGTAAGATAAGAAAAGTAGGGCTCTTTATACCTTAACAGCTGAAGAATACTTCTCCATTTATCTCATCCATCCCAATCATTACCTCCTTTTTACATCTCCCGGCTAATGGGCGTGCGCTTTTAGTGGAAAGAACTTTGGGTTCCTTATTTTGCAAACCCACGCACTGTTTTATAGTCAGTCCTATCCCAACCACACACAATAAAGTACTTACCGGATCAGCAAAGTGAAAGAGAGAGAGGAAGCATTTGCCACAGCGAACGACTCATCTTCTTATGTAGCTGCATCGTTTTATACTTTCTGGGTGTCTTGCGATCGCATTATAAAGCAGTTGTCAGCGCAAATGGATTCTCTGTGCAATTACACCTGCAAGGATATTGATACATTGGAAGGACAAGAATATGGCCTCTTTTGATCAACAGATAGAGGACATAACAACTCTTGCAACCTACAAACGGATCACTTTCAAGTGGAGATTAAAGGTAAAGGTAAAGGCACCCCTGACCATGAGGTCCAGTCGTGACCGACTCTGGGGTTGCGGCGCTCATCTTGCTTTATTGGCCAAGGGAGCCGGCGTACAGCTTCCGGGTCATGTGGCCAGCATGACCAAGCCGCCTCTGGCGAACCAGAGCAGCGCACGGAAACGCCGTTTACCTTCCCGCCGGATTGGTACCTATTGATCTACTTGCAATTTGACGTGCTTTCGAAGTGCTAGGTTGGCAGGAGCAGGGACCGAGCAATGGGAGCTCACCCCGTCATTGCGGGGATTCGAACCGCCGACCTTCTGATCAACAAGTCCTAAGCTCTGTGGTTTAACCCACAGCGCCACCCGCGTCCCACAAGTGGAGATTACGTATGCACAAATTTAATGATATTTGGAACATATTTATTGAAATGATATTGACCCATGATTCAATATACCGTATATGTGAGGGAAACAATAAGTCCGTTCATTTCCATCTATGTTATATGGTTCCGTAACCTTAATGAAATGTTATGGTCTTATTGTTATTGTTTTCCTCTGCCTTTCAGAATGTTTCATATACTATTTTTCTTTCTTTTTCTCTTTTTCTTTTTTACTTTAACTTGTAATATTCTTCATAAAGATTATAAATATACAGTGGCACCTTGGTTCTCAAGCTTAATCCGTTCCGGAAGTCCGTTCCAAAAGCAAAGCGTTCCAAAACCAAGGCGTGCTTTCCCATAGAAAGTAATACAAAAGGGATTAATCAGTTCCAAACTTTTAAAAATAATCTTCAAAACAGCAATTTAACATGGATTTCACTATCAAACGAGACCATTGATCCATAAAATGAAAGCAATATTCACTGTACTGTACTATAAAATAAATTAGACTGTATTGTAGATGATTAAAAAAAAAAAATCCTTACTTGCACTGATGATAGTCATTGTTTGGATGGGGGGCTTTTATCCATTTCCGCAGTTACGCAATCAATCAATCAATCAATCAGTAGCGGAACTGGGTTCTACACAGCCACAAAAACAAATTAACCAAAAAAGCCACATAAACGCAAAATGAATAGCAAAAACAAAAGCACCAAACTTAATCCATTCCGGAAGTCCGTTTGACTTCTGAAATGTCTGAAAACCAAGGTGCAGCTTCTGATTGGTGCAGACGCCCCAGAAACAATAACCGACAGCCGCATCGGACGTTCGGCTTCTGAAAAACATTCGGAAACTGGAACACTTCCAGGTTTTTGGCATTTTGAAACCAAGGTGCTTGAGAACCAAGGTACCACTGTACAGTGGTACCTCTGGTTAAGACCTTTATTCGTTCTGGAGGTCCGTTCTTAACCTGAAACTGTTCTTAACCTGAAGCACCACTGTAGCTAATGGGGCCTCCCGCTGCCACCCTGCAATTTCTGTTCTCATCCTGAAGCAAAGTTCTTAACCCGAGTTACTATTTCTGGGTTAGTGGAGTCTGTAACCTGAAGTGTCTGTAACCCAAGGTACCACTGTATATACTTGTGTTCTATGTTATGAATCAAACACTGTAAGGAGTTCTTTTTGTTTTCTAATGTACAATATTTCTTATCAATTAAAAATCTGGGCACCTTCTGAGAGGCACACTGGCAATGTCAAAGAGACACTCTGAAGTTCCTTGGTAGACCTCATGGAGGAAGAGGCAGAGGCTTTGGGTTCATGGAGGCAGTGGCGAGCCGGCAAAGGTAAGTCAGTTGGTGGCAGGTAAAAGGTAAAGGACCCCTGGATGGTGAAGTCCAGTCAAAGGCGACTATGGGGTTGCAGCGCTCATCTCGCTTTCAGGCCAAGGGAGCCGGCCTTTGTCCACAGACAGATTTCTGGGTCATGTGGCCAGGAGGACTAAACCGCTTCTGGCACAACAGGACACCATGACGAGTGCCAGAGTGCACAGAAACACCATTTACTTTCCCATCACAGCAGTACCTATTTATCTACTTGCACCGGTGTGCTTTCGAACTGCTAGGTTGGCAGGAGCAGGGACCGAGCAACAGGAGCTCACCCCGTTGCGGGGATTTGAACCGCCGACCTTTTGATCGGCAAGCCCAAGAGGCTCAGTGGTTTAGACCACAGCAGTCAGTAGAGGCAGTGCATGGCAGTGGTGGCAGTGGGCCAAGGCAGCCTGGGCAGGTGAGGGGTGGGGGCAGGGACAGAAAATGTTGGATGGTATGGGAATCTTGCCCCCAGGGATCTGGGGGATCCCTGTTCCCCCACTAACCCATAACAATACGCTTCAATCATGTCCCAACTTACTCGACTTTACTCTAAACCATGGGTAGGCAAACTAAGGCCCGGGGGCCAGATCCGGCCCAATTGCCTTCTAAATCTGGCCCACGGACGGTCCAAGAATCAGCATGTTTTTACATGAGTAGAATGTGTCCTTTCATTTAAAATGCATCTCTGGGTTATTTATGGGGCACAGGAATTCATTCATTTTTTTCCTTCAAAATATAGTCCAACCCCCCACAAGGTCTGAGGGACAGTGGACCAGCCCGCTGCTGAAAAAGTTTGCTGACCCCTGCTCTAAATTGAAAAGCCCCACGGGTGATATGACCTTTTCTTCCTGAGGGGAATTTGTTATGTTGTGGGCGAACATATCAGACGACACAGCGATTCTTCCAAAGAAGCTCTTTATTTGTAAGCTGGAACAGAACTGAACTGAGGAGCTCAGTCAGCCTGCTTATATAGAGCTCCAGAACAATGTAACTGTTGCAACTTTCTAAAACTATCCAATCACTGAACGTCACTTTCGATCCTTCATTTGCATAACTATCTACAGTATCCCCCTGCTGGCCCAGGCTGAGAACTTCAGTACATAACAGAATTAAATGCTACAACTTTTCCATTCTGCATTTACAATTCAGCCCCAAAGGTTCCCCATGCAAAGAACTGATCGCATCCACCGGCGAGAACTTAAACCGCCGGAGCAAGAACGTCAAACTGCGGCAAGAGAAAGGAAAAAGGGGGAGAGGCTGTCGCGAATGAGTTGAGAACATTTGTATTTCCATCGCGAGCGCAGAATATTGCCTGCAAGCCAACGAAACCGCTCTTGTTTGAGTTGCCAAAGAAAAATATAATAAAACAAAGAAGAAGTTCACAAGACGAAGAAGTGATTGTCAGATTTTGTGATCAATGAAAAACATTATCTTGGATCGCTTCGCCGGAATAGCTCCGAGCTACAAATGTTCCTGTTTCCTCTCTCTTGTTCTTTCTCTCTGCTCTGCCACAGTTGTTAGTCTGTGATTTGCCAGTAACTGCGATTGTTCACAAGACCCTTTCCCTGTTCACCGTTAACAATGAGGCCCAGTCGGACAATTTTGGGTTTAGGAGCGATCGCTATGACCCTAGGTTTGAGTATCGATTGCTCAGTTTGTGGGGCACTGCAAAATACAGGGCTTTCTCGGACAAAAGCCGTAAAACTATTGCCAAACTGTGGCACTTGTCTGGAGTGAATCGCATCAACGTGGGGTTTTGGGGGTGATAGCTATGACCCTAAGTTTGAGCATCACATACTCAGCTTGAGGGTTGTTGCAAAATGTGGGGGGGATTGGCTGCAAAACACTGCAAAACTCTGGCAAGAGCTTGTAGGGGATTCCAAATTTCGGGGCTGCGCTAGCTCCCAGTGGTGTACAGGGTCAGCTTTAAGGTGCTGGTTTTGACCTTTAAAGCCCTATGCGGCCTAGGACCCACGTACCTACAGGACCGCTTCTCCTGCTATGCCTCACAGAGGAGCTTAAGGTCCACAAATGACAACATTTTGGAGGTCCCTGGTCGCAAGGTGGTTAGGTTGGTCTCAACTAGGGCCAGGGCCTTTCCAGTACTGGCCCCGACTTGGTGGGACGCTCTGTCACAAGAGACAAGGGCCCTGTGGGACTTGACCGTATTTTTCGCTCTATAAGATGCACTTTTCCCCTCCTAAAAAGTAAGGGGAAATGTGTGTGCATCTTACGGAGTGAATGCAGGCTGCGCAGCTATCCCAGAAGCCAGAACAGCGAGAGGAATCGTTGCACAGCGCTCCCTCTTGCTGTTCTAGCTTCTGGCTTAGCCCCTCTGTCCCTTCCCCCACCTCCCGGAAAAGCCCCCAAGAGCCGCACACACGCTCCACGCGGCTCGTGAAAGGGAGTGCTGAGCAGAGCCTGGGATGCACACAGGTTCTTCTCAGCGCTCCCTTTAAAGAATATTTATTTTCTTGCATTCCCCCTCTAAAAACTAGGTGCGTCTTATGGAGCGAAAAATACGGTAACACATATAAAAGTGCAAGAGGGGAAAGTGGGGGTTATTTCTCATATTTATGGAGAAATGAGGGGGATATCAGAGGTGGAGGGCCGTGAGGAATGGGAACAGGACTGGTTTGTCCATCCCTGGCTCAAAATCACCATCGGGGAGGCCCAGAAATTAAATTCCAGGCTCCTCACTCAGTTTGCAGAGGACGATCTCAGGTTTGATGGTTGCGTTTTAGTACTCCTGACCTCTCCGAATTGTTGAAGGCCAACCATAATTCCGAAAGGGGAGATGCACTTTGCAAAGACTTTGGAAGAAACAAATGAAAATTGGGAGCTCAGACTTGGCAGAGCTGCAATCAAGTAGAGAGGCAGAGGCTATTTATAATCCGATCAGCTGCCCTGGCATAATGTCAATACAGAGTGAAATGAGACTCAAGGCAAAAGGGATCAAGAGTCACTCAATAACCTTGCATTTTTATTGCAGACCAGATTTTGGATGGGTTTTTCAAGCGGGGCATTAGGAGGGTTTTCGAAGTAGAGGATTGCATCGAATCAGAAGGCTGGTGGCTCCACCAGGGACCAGCTACTTACCTACCACTGTGTCTGCGTTTCTTCTTAAGAAATCAGCTGGGATAGCTCAGACGGAAGAGCATGAGATGCTTAATTCCAGGGTCCCGGGTTCGAGCCTCACGTTGGACAAAAGATTCCTGCATTGCAGGGGGTTGGACTACTGCAATGCGCTCTACGTGGGGCTACCTTTGAAGGTGACCCTGAAACTACAACTAATCCAGAATGCGGCAACTATCTGACTTTTAGAAGACATCTGAAAGCAGCCTTGTTTAGGGACGCTTTGGTTTTGGAACGGACTTCCAGAACAGATTAAGTTTGAGAACCAAGGTGCCACTGTACAGTGGTACCTCGGGTTAAGTACTTAATTCGTTCCGGAGGTCCGTTCTTAACCTGAAACTGTTCTTAACCTGAAGCACCATTTTAGCTAATAGGGCCTCCCGCTGCTGCCGCCGCGCCGCCGGAGCACGATTTCTGTTCTCATCCTGAAGCAAAGTTCTTAACCTGAAGCACTGTTTCTGGGTTAGCAGAGTCTGTAACCTGAAGCGTATGTAAACTGAAGCGTATGTAACCTGAGGTACCACTGTAATTGGAATCTCCTTTCTTGTAACTTGAAGCCATGGGTTCGAGTCCCACCCTCCAGAGCAGGAGGAAACAAGCATGTCCCCCTCTTCCGTGGGACAGCCCCTGAGATATTTAAAGATGGCTCTCATATCTCCTCTCAGTCTCCACTTTCCCAGTCTAAACATCCAGCTCCTTCAATAATTCCTCCTAAGGCTTGTAGGCAGGATGACACCAAGGAGGAAGAAATCCTGCCTCCAAGGGCTGTGCCATAACTGTCATTGTTACCATGGTGGCGGTGGTGGCAGGTGATGCATTCCTTGGAAGCCAGATCGGTCTGCCCCTGTCGATCCTTACACCATAGACAGTCATCTCACCTTGCCTGGCTCTGGCCATTGAGACTGGAAGCTTGCAATAATAATAATAATAATTTATTATTTATACCCCGCACATCTGGCTGGGCTTCCCCAGCCACTCTGGGAGGCTTCCAACCAAATATTAAAATACAATAACCTATTAAACATTAAAAGCTTCCCTAAATACGGCTGCCTTCAGTTGTCTTCGAAAAGTCTGGTAGTTGTTTTTTTCTTTGTCATCTGGTGGGAGGGCATTCCACAGGGCGGGGGCCACTACCGAGAAGGCCCTCTGCCTGGTTCCCTGTAAGCTGGCTTCTCGCAGTGAGGGAACTGCCAGAAGGCCCTCAGAGCTGGACCTCAGTGTCCGGGCAGAACGATGGAGGTGGAGACGCTCCTTCAGGTACACTGGGCCGAGGCTGTTCAGGGCTTTAAAGGTCAGCACCAACACTTTGAATTGTGCTCGGAAACGTACTGGGAGCCATTGTAGGTCTTTCAAGACCAGTGTCATATGGTCTCGGCAGCCACAACCCTATCTCAGGAAGTTTTGGGGTCCGAATGTAGCTCTCCTATCCTAATCCAGAGAGACTGTGATGGCCTGGGATTCGGATGAACCTGAGGGATTCCAGCCTGCACAGGAGTCCCCGCCTCCAGAACCAGCTGAGCCGGGGCTGGGACTTGAGCCTGAAGGGTCCTCACCTGTGCTGGATCCTCAAGTGCAGGCATCAGCTGAGTCTGCTCTGGCTCCTGAGGTGATGGAGGACCCATTGCCTGCAGGTGCTCCACTCTCAGCCCCGTCAGAGGAAGCTGAGGTTGCCTCTGGGTCCGGTAGCCCTCCAGCCTCTCCTGAGCTGCAGAGGCTCAGGGCAGAGAGGCGGAGGGAACTAAGTTCTCGCAGGAGGAGTGCTCGCCTCCAGGCCAGGAGAGGTGAGTCACCAGAGCATCAGGGCTGCCCTATGCCTCGGGGGAGATAAAAGCCAGCCAGCCCCAGTCCCAAGTTGCAGGAGCAACATTGTTGGTTGCTAGGTAAAGGTAAAGGGACCCCTGACCATTAGGTCCAGTCGTGGCTGACTCTGGGGTTGCGGCGCTCATCTCGCTTTATTGGCCGAGGGAGCCTGCGTACAGCTTCTGGGTCATGTGGCCAGCATGACTAAGCCGCTTCTGGCGAAACAGAGCAGAGCACGGAAACGCCGTTTACCTTCCCACCAGAGTGGTACCTATTTATCTACTTGCACTTTGACGTGCTTTCGAACTGCTAGGTGGGCAGGAGCAGGGACCGAGCAACGGGAGCTCACCCCGTCGCGGGGATTCGAACCACGACCTTCTGATCAGCAAGTCCTAGGCTCTGTGGTTTAACCCACAGTGCCACCCACGTCCCTGCTAGTTCCTGCCTGAACCCTCTCTTGCTTTCCTCCCTGAGCTCCTGACCCGCCCTGGCTTCCTGCTTGCAAGCCTGTTCCTGACTTCATCCGACTCCCTGCCCTGCACGCATCTTCAGCTACTACGGACTGCCTCCACGTTGCACCTTTGACCACGGACCGGACTTGGACCTTGCCTCTCGGGTAACCCACGGGACCAGCACAGAGACTTTTCATTGAGGAGGCCAGGAACTGGACCTGGGAAATTGACTGAGGAAGGAGATGCGAGGAAGAGAAAGCGGGCGTCTGTTTTTTGTGCCAGCTCCTCTCAGAGCTTATTGGTACCGCAGCCCCATCCACTGTCCTGCAGAAGCTGTAAATAATAATTTAAAAAGCAGCTGAGACGCAGAAGGATTAGAAGAAGCGAGCAGAGGTGCAGATGCAGTTTTATTAAAAGAGATTTGCAGAGGAGCAGAGGCAGATGGCGTTTGCAAAGGAGCAAGCTGAATACAGAAAACATCGCGCACATTCAGGAAGAGAGGAAATCGTGGAAAGAAAGAATCATCTCCGGTGTCAGTCATAAAGCAAGAAGATTGAAAAGGGAAATTGGGTTGTTAGAGAAACAGGTGGACAAATGTGAGTTTTTGGAGTTATTAAATCAGTGCTTCTCATTGTCTTTTTTTGTATCGACTTTCCTTGCAAGTTTATTAAATATAGAAAAAACACGAAGACAGGAGAGGAATGGTGGAAGAACAATTCTGTTCTCTTCAGCGGAAACTCGCCTTTGCAAGTTGTTGCATGTGTGGAATAATTTCTGAAAGTTCAGCGTAACTGCCCCACCCTCTCCTCCACCTGAATCCCTGCACCAATTCTACATCTGCCCCAGAGGATTGTGGGAACCCCCAAAGCAGATGTGGGGGGAGGAAAGGAAAGAGGGGGGAAAGTTCTGTTGTTTTTGCAGAAGGTATTCTGCCTGGACAGTGATGTAATTGGAACCTTTCTTCTTCTACTTTGGCGATCCCTCTTTTTTTTTAAAAAAATTAATATTTTTTATTGATTTTCCAATAAAAACAGACAATCAACATATCCGAATCATAATCCAATTAAAAATACTAAACTAAAATGTTTTTTTAAAATGACCAATTATACAGTGGTACCTCAGGTTACATATGCTTCAGGTTACATACGCTTCAGGTTACAGACTCCGCTAACCCAGAAATAATGCTTCAGGTTAAGAACTTTGCTTCAGGATGAGAACAGAAGTCGTGCTCCGGCGGCCCGGCAGCAGCAGGAGGCCCCATTAGCTAAAGTGGTGCTTGAGGTTAAGAACAGTTTCAGGTTAAGAACGGACCTCCAGAACGAATTAAGTACTTAGCCCGAGGTACCAGTGTAGTCCAAATTGTAATTATTAATTTTTCCAGGCTGGACCTCTGAAGCATATCTCCAAATCTTCATTCCTGCCTCTTTTCATTGTTTTCATATTTTCTGCCTTCTGATCTTAACACTTTCAAGTTCTCTGTCCCTGGCTGCGATCCCTCGTAGCCGAGTAAGATTGTCTTCCATAAACATGGTTTTAACAGTGAGTCCGTAAACTGTGACCGTGGAGGCCAATTCTGGATCCACATGTCCTTCCACAGTGGGAAGTAAATTCCTAGATTTTGCCTGAGGCAACTCCTCCGTCATCAAATACATATAAAAATAATCCAATAACACCATTTATTAATGAGAAACAGCGTGTTTTTGCTCAATTAATTAACTTCAAATCCCTAAACCGCAGGTAATACCCGGGGCTTTCTGAGCCATAATACCGGCAGCTTCAGGCAGATCCAGAATGAAGGCTGTACAGCCAGCAAAAGTCACAGTCTGTGGTTTTACGCCACTCGTGGTCCCAGGATGCCGTGTTGGCAGAAGAGCCCAATCTGACGCCATCGCAATGTAAAATGAATACAGCACAGAGGAAGATCACTGGTTTTGTGTCTGGAAGTTCTAAAGTTCAACCTCTAGCATTTCCAAAAAGGATATTTGTAACAGAAACATAGAATTGTAGAGCTGGAAGGGACCCAAGGGTCATCTAGTCTGACCCCCGCAATGCAGGAATCTCAGCTAAAGCATCCATGACAGATGGCCAGCCAACCTCTGCTTAAAAACCTCCAAGGAAGGAGAGTCCACCACCTTCTGAGGGAGAATGTTCCACTGCTGAACAGCCCTTGCTGTCAGAAAGATGTTGAGATCTACTTCCTTGTGACTTGAAGCCATGGGTTCGAGTCCTACCCTCCAAAGTAGGAGAAACTTGTTCCCTCTTCCGTGTGACATCCCTTAAGATATTTGAAGATGCAATGGTATATAGAGAAGGTTTTATTTGTTTACATACGCTTTATGGATAAATGCCGAAACAGAACAACAATATACGAAATGGACAAAGACAATGCGAAAAATTTAAAGGCGATATAAAAAAGCCAGAAGAAGGAAGGAAGGAAGTCAGCTCCTAGGAGCAAGCATAAATGTAAAATGTAATACAATATGTGTACGTGTAGTATGTAATTGCAAAACCAATAAAGATTAAATTTGAAAAAAAGTAAAAAAAGTAAAAAATAAATAAGATATTTGAAAATGAAAATCATATCTCCTCTCAGTCTCCCCTTTTCCAGGCTAAACATCCCCAGCTCCTTCAACCATTCATCATAAGGCTTAGTTTCCAGACCCTTGATCGTCTTGGTCTCCCTCCTCTGCCCACCTTCCAGCTTGCCAACATCCTTCTTAAATGGTGGCACCCAGAACTGGACACAGTATTCCAGGTGTGGTCTGACCCAGTGACGTCGCAATGGGGAGCGGGGGGGGCATTTCGCCCCGGGTGCCATGTCTGCGGGGGTGACAAGAAGTCACCCCGCAGGGGCTCGCAGCGGTGCGAGGAGCCATTGCACAAGACCCCAGCACCAGCGGCAAAACACTATGTACAGCAATGCTTGTGAACCCCAGTTATTCCATCCCCACTGAGCATTTTTGGGACCTTTTTCAACTCTACAATGTCCTTTTTGAGGGGAGGCAACCAGAACTGAAGCACGGTATTCCAAGTGGCCATCGCAGTCATAGAATTATATAATGGCACCACCCAATTTCTGAGAAAGTTCTTCTTCTTCTTCTTCTTCTTCTTCTTCTTCTTCTTCTTCTTCTTCTTCTTCTTCCGCGATCCCTCGTAGCCGAGTAAGATCGTCTTCCATAAACACGGTTTTAACAGTGAGTCCGTAAGTGACTATGGAGGCCAATTCTGGATCCACACATCCTTCTACAGTGGGGACATTGGTTTCCGGGCGGGAGTTGCTCCTGGTGAGGGTTTGCCAAGCGTTCCTTCCTCTTATCACGTTTCTCCCTTGCATCCTGAGTTTGAGTGTCTTCAAAGCCCACGACACCTTTGGAAAAGGCTGTTCTCCAACTGGAGCACTCGCAAGCCAGTGTTCCCCAGTTGTCGGTGTTCATACTACCTTTTTTTAGATTTGCCTTGAGACAGTCTTTAAACCTCTTTTGTTGACCACCGCACTACGCTTTCCATTTTTAAGTTCGGAATAGAGTAGTTGCTTTGGAAGAAGATCATCGGGCACCCGCACAATATGACCAGTCCAACGAAGTTGATGTTGAGAAAGTTCACCCTAATGCCCGCTCCCCATTTTCTCATATCCCCTTCCACCCCTGGCTGTCCAATTTCCCTTTTCTTCTCCATCAAGTCTCCCTGTGAAAAAGCAATTTGAGTGTAATGATTCCTTGTTTTACAGCCTCGCATGTTGCGGTGTTGATTTCACTCCTCCAATCTCTTGCTCTCTCTCTCTCTCTCTCTTGCCTTTGAACCAACACCACCCCCAGTTCCGTGCGAGGGGACACCGTTAAATAATATTTATTACGAGAAAGTTAATGGAGGTTGCCGACAACTCGGCTGCGAACAGAGATTTGCACATTTTACAGTGTGCTTTGTTCTGGCCTGTGAGCTGTAAAACTGGACAAGGAGTTGGGGGAAGAGGAAGAGAAGAAATAAGCGGAATTACCGTATTTTTTGCTCTATAAGACTCACTTTTTCCCTCCTAAAAAGTAAGGGGGAATGTGTGTGTGTGTTATGGAGTGAATGCAGGCTGCGCAGCTATCCCAGAAGCCAGAACAGCAAGAGGGATTGCTGCTTTCACTGCACAGCAATCCTTCTTGCTGTTCTGGCTTCTGAGATTCAGAATATTTTTTTTCTTGTTTTCCTCCTCCAAAAACTTGTGGTCTGGTGTATCTTATAGAGCGAAAAATACGGTAAGTGCAGGGAATGAGACAGATGAGAGTCAAAGGAAAGAAGGCAGCTCGCAAGGCAAGGAATCATAGAATTGTAGAGATGGAAGGGACTGTGAGGGTCATCTATTCCAACCCCCTGCAATGCAGGAATCTCAGCTAAATAATTCCCTCACAATTGGCCATCCATCCTCTGTTTAGGTTAGGCTGAGAGAAGACAGCGATTGCAAGAGTATTGTTGGCCCAGAAATGGAAGCAAGAAGAATTACCGACGGAAGAAGAATGGCAGATGAAAATTAATGGACTATGCAGAATTAGGTAAGATGACAGGAAGGATTCGAAACCTGCAGGACCACTGATTTTGGATATAATATTGAATTAGATGCATGGCATGAACTATGGAATGTAAATATGAAATTTACACCTTGTACAGCATTGAAGGAGAATCTATGGAAAATGATTTATAGGTGGCATCTTACGCCGGCAAAATTGGCAAAGATGTACAGAATAAAAATAAGAAATGTTGGAAATGTAGAGAAGCGGAGGGAGATCTTTACCACAAGTGGTGGACCTGTGGTAAAGTGAAAAAAAATTGGGAAATAATTTACAATGAACTCAAAAAAATCTTTAAGTACACTTTCTCAAAAAAGCCCAAAGCCTTTCTACTGGGATTGATGGGGAAGGAAATACAGTGATACCTCGGGTTAAGTACTTAATTCGTTCCGGAGGTCCGTTCTTAACCTGAAACTGTTCTTAACCTGAAGCACCACTTTAGCTAATGGGGCCTCCCACTGCCACTGCGCCGCCGGAGCCCAATTTCTGTTCTCATCCTGAAGCAAAGTTCTTAACCCAAGGTTATTTCTGGGTTAGCGGAGTCTGTAACCTGAAGCGTATGTAACCTGAAGAGTATGTAACCTGAGGTACCACTGTAAAAAAAAAAAAAGGATCAAAAACTTTTTCCATATGCCACGGTGGCAGCAAGAATTATGCTGGCCCAGAACTGGAAAACAGATGTAATACCCACCATTGCGGAATGGCAGGTTAACATGATGAGTTAGGCAGAACTGGCCAGATTGTCAGGAAAAATACGAGACCAGGATGAACGGAAGTTTCAAGAAAGCTGGAGTAATAAAACTGACTGAGACTGAGAAAGCTGGAGTAAATATATGGTGTATATAACAGATAATTGTAAAACCCTAAAGACACTGGCAGGGCTGGAATAATTCTTACAACTTATGGTAAAAATAAAGTTAACTAAATAGAATACGCGATGTTAGAAATTATACGATACTTACCGAAGGGGTGGAGGGAAGTCCGAAGCTCAGCAGAGCTAAAGATAATTATGTGACATATTTGTATTATAAGTGTATGTTCGATGAAAACAATAAAAAAATTATTGGGGGGGCGGGAACGAAACCTGCGGGACCAGAGATTCTCAGAAGACTGGAATAAATATGTGAACTATTTGAAAAGCAATTGTAATCAACAGGTTAGGCTAGTAGGATTACAAGAAGTTTCGTAAGGAGGAACATATGAAATATTGCAAGGAAGGTTATGAAGAGAGTTATTAGTTAAGATAATTAAAAGTAATGGTGAAATTAAGAAATGTAAATTAAGTGGAAAAGATTGGAAAATTTTCGGGTGCGATTGATGGAAGTCAAAAAAAATTGTATAAAATATGAAATTGTGTTAAATGATTGTTGAAAAATGATATGTTAAAAATCAATAAACTAAATATTGGTGTATGCAATTTTTATTTCTTAATTATATTTAGTGGTAGTATGGTTGTATTGTTTTTTGTAACATAAAATCATTCAATAAAAATTATTTTTAAAAAAAAAATCAATAAATATATATATATATATAAAGAGAGAAGACAGCGATTGGTTCAATGTTACACCCAGTGAATGTCATGGCCCAGTAGGAATTCGAACCCTTGTCTCCCAGATCCTAGCGTAACGCTCAAACCACTACACAACACTGTCTCTCAGACCACCGACCTGATCCAGCATCTCGTGTTCCGGCGAGTTTTTGCTTGTCCATTGGCAGCCGGAGATAAATCCAGATTGTATATTAAAACTGAGCGTGTTGAGCACCTATATTGGAAAATGCTAATTGGAATTTACTGGCTGTAAAAGGGAAGCTAAACATTTATCAAGGATTTTACTCCCATCTGCCAGTGGCTGTTAAGTGGCCAATGGCCCATCTGCTCCTCTGTTTGCCATGGTTGGGGACAAAAACAGGTGTGCTTGATTCACACACGCCCCAAACCCAGCCCATTTCCAAATTTTGCCCTAGAAAGTATTGATTGGATGGTGCCCTAGATTTTTCACAAATGCTTTTCGTTGCTGAGAGAGCGAGAGCTTCCAGATGGGTATTTTATTGTGGGCTGGCTGCACCTCGTACACGAGAGTTTTTCTGCAGCATTAATAATAATAATAATAATAATAATAATAATAATAATAATTTATTATTTATACCCCGCCCATCTGGCTGGGCTTCCCCAGCCACACTGGGCGGCTTCCAAAAAAATATTAAAATACTGTCATATATCAAACATTAAAAGCTTCCCTAAACAGGGCTGCCTTCAGATGTCTTCTAAAAGTCAGATAGTTGTTGTTCTCTTTGACATCTGGTGGGAGGGCGTTCCACAGGGCGGGCACCACTACCGAGAAGGCCCTCTGCCTGGTTCCCTGTAACCTCGCTTCTCGCAGGGAGGGAACCGCCAGAAGGCCCTCAGCGCCGGACCTCAGTGTCCGGGCTGGATGATGGGGGTGGAGACGCTCCTTCAGGTATACTGGACTGAGGCCGTTTAGGGCTTTACAGGTCAGCACCAACACTTTGAATTGTGCTCGGAAACGTACTGGGAGCCAATGTAGGTCTTTCAAGACAGGTGTTATATGGTCTTGGCGGCCACTCCCAGTCACCAGTCTGGCTGGCGTGTTCTGGATTTGTTGTAGTTTCCGGGTCACCTTCAAAGGTAGCCCCATGTAGAGCGCATTGCAGATAACCAGAGCATGTGCCACTCTGGCGAGGCAGTCCGCAGGCAGATAGGGTCTCAGCCTGTGTACCAGATGGAGCTGGTAAACAGCTGCCCTGGACATTTGCACAAAATACCATACTTTTCCGTGTATAAGAAGCCCCGACGTATAAGACGCCCTCTATTTTGGGGGGCTCAAATTTAAGAAAATGGGGGGAGATGGCTCAGAGTTGTTGAGCTTTCTGCGGGGAGATTACCCAGGATTTTTGAGCTTTTTCAGGGGGGGTTGCCAGAAATCGCTCACCTGCACGCGTCTCTAAATCTGCCTCTCGTCTGTCCCCTCACCGGCAGAAGCTGTCAATCACCCACCCAATTGCCACCGCATCAGCCAATCAACACCAGCTATTGACGCAGCAACCAATAACACGCCCCCTAGCCGCTGACAGTCGCAGCTGCAACCAATCAAACGTCCACCCTATGCACAATCCATGTATAAGACAGCCCCCACTTTTTAGCATAGTTTATAAAAAAGAAACCCTAGTCTTATACACAGAAAAGTACAGTAGTTGGCCGCAAAATACATGCACATCTTACTTAATCAGTGCGTGGACAGGGGTTTTTTCCCCAGCCAGTTTTGGCTCCTCTTAAGGTAAAGGGACCCTTGACCATTAGGTCCAGTCGTGACCAACTCTGAGGTTGCGGCGCTCATCTCGCTTTATTGGCCGAGGGAGCCAGAATACAGCTTCCGGGTCATGTGGCCAGCATGACTAAGCCACTTCTGGCAAACCAGAGCAGCGCACGGAAACGCCGTTTACCTTCCCGCCGGAGTGGTACCTATTTATCTACATGCACTGGCGTGATTTCGAACTGCTAGGTTGGCAGGAGCTGGGACCGAGCAATGGGAGCTCAGTCCGTCGCGGGGATTCAAACCGCCAACCTTCTGATCGGCAAGTCCTAGGCTCTGTGGTTTAACCCACAGCGCCACCTGCGTCCCTTTTGGCTCCTCTTAGGTGACACCTATTCTAAGAGAACAAGAGAGGCGTTTAAGATAGAGTTATTTTTCTAGAAAAATAGCACTGGCTTGGGAAGTCTGTGCTTAGGGAAGAGTCAGGCCAGACAGATTTAATCACAAATGCACCTCAGCCTGGTCATTAAACGCAGGATTAAACTTCAAGAGGACATCGGTTAAATTGGTGGAGCTGCAGAGCTGGGACACGGGTTGGCTGCCTATGTTACAAATTGCCCTTGGGACACCTTGCAAGTAGAACTTACCAAATCGCTGCCAGGATCTGCTCCGCATTGTACTAACTACATAATCCTCAGGGTCCCTTCCAACTGTACAATTCTATGACTCTCAGTCGCTCTCAAAGATCAGCCGCAACGTGGTCTCTTAGTGACATCTAGTGGCAAAGTCACAGCATCTTAAACTAGACAGCATCTTAAAAAGCAGAGACATCACCTTGCCGACAAAGGTCCGTATAGTTAAAGCTATGGTTTTCCCAGTAGTGATGTATGGAAGTGAGAGCTGGACCATAAAGAAGGCTGATCGCCGAAGAATGGATGCTTTTGAATTATGGTGCTGGAGGAGACCTTGAGAGTCCCATGGACTTAAAGAAGATCAAACACATCCATTCTGAAGGAAATCAGCCCTGAGTGCTCACTGGAAGGACAGATTCTGAAGCTGAGGCTCCCAGACTTTGGCCACCTCATGAGAAGAGAAGACTCCCTGGAAAAGACCCTGATGTTGGGAAAGATGGAAGGCACAAGGAGAAGGGGACGACAGAGGACGAGGTGGTTGGACAGTGTTCTCGGAGCTACCAGCATGAGTTTGACCAAGCTGCGGGAGGCAGTTGAAGACAGGAGTGCCTGGCATGCTCTGGTCCATGGGGTCACGAAGAGGCGGACACGACTAAATGACTAAACATCAACACAAAGCACAGGGGTGGGGGTTAGCCGGCCCAGGACTTGGCCCTCCATCCTCAAGCTCCAACCTGCGTGCAAATAAACAGCCACGAGGCAAGGCGAGCTCAGTCTCTACGGGAGATTTATTGATAGAAAACATCTCTCCTCCGCCACCACGAGAACTGGGAAAGATTACATTGGCATCTGGAAAATTGGAGAGGCTGGAGAAGGGGGTGTCACCTCCTGGAGCCCCCCATCCATTTCTGCTGGGCCATCTCTGTCCCACAGGTGTGCTGAGTTCCTTGAGGTCACCCTCTCGCCCTCGTGGAGACGTCCAGGATAATGGATTCCTGCCTCTCGACCGGTTCCTCTCTGCTCCAAGAGAACGGCTCCTCAGCCTTTGAACCCCTGGGCCACGTTGGAGCCCAGAATCGCAATGGATCCTGTGTTCCAGCCCTTCCTCTTCTTCCCCTTCCCGGACCTCTGCCCTCTCGGGTCCTGAGATCGAGAGAGGAAATAAAAAGAAGGGGATTTAGAGTGTTATTACTTAGTCAAAGAAAGTTCTTTCTTCCTCTCTCAGAACACTAGAACTCGATTTCTGTAGTTTAGCTACGCAGCTGCTTGAAGAAGTTGTCTCTTTCATCATAGCTGTCAACTTTTCCCTTTTCTTGCGAGGAATTCTGTTAAGTTGTGAGTGAACATATCAGACGACACAGCGATTCTTCAAACAGCTCTTGTTTATTCACAGGCCAGAACAGAACTGAACTGAAGGGTTCAGCCAGCCTGCTTATATAGAGCTCCACTACAACGCAACAGTAACCATTTTCTGTAACTATCCAATCACTGAACGTCACTTTCGATCCCTTATTTGCATATGTGGACCTGAGAGAAAACTATCTACAGTATCCCCCTGCTGGCCCAGGGTGAGAACTTCAGTACATAACAAATTCTATTCAGAATAAGGGAATTTCCCTTAAAAAGGGGGGAAACATTGACAGCTATGTCTTTGATCGGTCCTGAATATTCCAACATTCCTCTTCAATGGATGTATTTGAGTTAAGAGAGAGGGAAGGAAAATTTTCCCTCTCTACTTTCAACTTGCTAGTATAATTTTATAAACTTCTACCATGTCTAACCTGTCAGAGGCCACATGGTGGAAGTGGACCCTTTCATTTTCTGCCACCCTGTTTTTAAAATGTTTTTTATTAATATTTATATATTACAAACACATGCCAAAAAAACAGAATTTAAATTAAACATGCCATATTGTATGCCCTTCACCCCCTTGTAACATGTCAGTGCTATAGGATAATCAATATTAATACATTTTTACTTCCCTTTGCAGTACAGCAGTACCTCGGAAGTAGAACGGAATTCGTTCCGGAAGTCCGTTCGACTTCCAAAACTTTCAGAAACCAAGGCACGGCTTCCGATTGGCTGCAGGAAGCTCCTGCAACCAATCAGAAGCCACAGAAGCCATGTCGGACATTTGGGTTCCAAAGAACATTTGCAAACTGGAACGCTCAGTTCCAGGTTCCCATAAACCGAACTTTCCCTAAAAACAAACTTTTTTCATTCCTCAAAGCCAGATATCACAGGCTCACTTTGGGGCAGAAAGCCCATAAGGAGTTTCCACTCATTAATAAATGTCAACAAGGATTTTTCTCTAAGTAAACACATCAGCTCTGTCATCCCAGCCAAATCCAATAATTTCAATAACCGTTCTTCCATAGTAGGTAATAATAAACCGTTCTATCTTTCGCCACTGTGAATTATTATTACTTAAATTTCTAGACTGCCCTTCATCCGAAGATCACAGTGCGGTTTACAATATAAACAGAATTAGCATCTGAACAAGACTGTAATAGTAATCCAGATAATAAGATATGAGAACATGACCTAGAACAATGGTCTCTTTTGTTGCATCAGGATGTTAATCTTTGATAAACATCCATTATGTTGCCTCTGATTCCTCGTTGTCAGAGTAAAAAAGACGGAAAGGGGTAGTTTGAGTTACATACCTTCCAACATTTCTTTGATCAAAATAGGGACGTCCTATTTAATAATAATAATAATAATAATAATAATAATAATAATAATATCCCGGCCATCTGCCTGAGTTCCCCCAGCCGCTCTGGGTGACTTCCAGCATATATAAAAACATAATAAAACATTTTGTAATATAAGATAAATAGAAAATTATTGGAAGTAACAAATAGGCTTAGGGGTAGAATAAGAATATGTGGTAGTAAATATTAATGATTAGAAGAATAATAAAGGAGAAGAGGTTAGTTAATGAAAGGAGTTAATATTATTAGAAATATGAAATTGGAGAACTGTTATACAGGTGATATAATGAAATTCAGATAGAGGGGATCCGAGGATGTCAGTTACCAATGTTAAGAGATTTAGGTATTTGAAGTAATAATTTTTTTATGTGTTTAGTTTATTGTCTTTGTTGTGTGTTTTGTCATGTTTTTTTTTTCCTTTTTTCTGTGTGAAAAATCTGGAAAATAAATTTTAAAAATTTTGGGGAGGGAAACATAATAAAACAATGAGCATTAAGAAACGTCCCTTTAAATGTCTTCTAAAGGTTACTTTAGAGGGACGCGGGTGGCGCTGTGGGTTAAACCACAGAGCCTAGGGCTTGCCAATCAGAAGGTTGGCGGTTCGAATCACTGCGACGGGGTGAGCTCCCGTTGCTCGGTCCCTGCTCCTGCCAACCTAGCAGTTCAAAATCACGTCAAAGTGCAAGTAGATAAAGAGGTATCATTCTGGCGGGAAGGTAAACAGCGTTTCCGTGCGCTGCTCTGGTTCGCCAGAAGCGGCTTAATGCTGGCCACATGACCCGGCCAATAAAGCGAGATGAGCGCCACAACCCCAGAGTCGGCCACGACGGGACCTAATGGTCAGAGGTCCCTTTACCTTTACCTAAAGGTTACTTATCTCCTTGGCTCCAAGGTCACATGGCCTCCATCATTTCTTCAATGAAAATAGGGACATCCTAAGGAAAAGCTGGACCTTCTGGGATCAAATCAGGAACTTCTGTAAATCCAGGACTGCCCCTAGAAAATAGAGACACCTGGAGGGTCTGGCCTTACCATAGCTAGCAGCTGCCTTGCATCCCCTTGTACCATCCCTCTGTCCTGTCTTTGTACAATGTCCACTCCTTCCTTTGCCATCGTTCTTTGCTGGCTTGGCCTCGCCACGGCAGCTGCAGCCAAGACCCCGAGAATCAGGAGATGGAGGTAAATTCCCTTCATCTCCTACATTCGGAGGAACCAGGATTTTGCAAGGAGCTCTTGGGGGTGTTCACTGTTTCTCTTGCCCGGAAGGCGGAGCTCACCTGAGCAGGTGATCCCATGGCAAGGGTTTCCTGGCAGGCCTCACAAAGGGAGGTTTGTGGCCGCTGTCCTATTTCCCAAGACTTGAAGCCCACCCTGCAGCAGAAAGGCCCCTTCCACAGGGCATCGCAGCAGGAGATGTTTCCCAAGAGCCTCCCATCACATCGAAGAAGACAAGGTTGTTGTTGTTTTAAAATAGGGCGGGCAAGGAAGGATTTTCAGGCCGCGAGAGGAGAAAGAGAGCTGCAAAAATGAGACTCTCCGGTTGCATCGGCTTCCATCGCCAGGAAAGCGATACGTGAAGCTCAGATCTGGCAAAAGGCTTTGTGGAATTTGATATCGTCCTGGAAAATATATCGCCTCCATCCTGGCAGAACTTTAGATGTGGATTCGTTTGGGACCGTGAGCTGCGGAAAACAGCCACGGCGGAATGAAAAGAAGAAGAAGAAAAAGTTTTGCTTTGTTCGTTTTTATTCTTCTTCTGTGAAAATCAGTAAATGGCATGTTTCTTTAAAAAATAAATGAATGAAGTGGGAAAGTTGACCCGCCGACTTAAATCAGCGAAAGGCAAAGCTAAAATATTTGCTTGCCCTGTAAGGTGCTCTCAGAACTCTGGAAGCCTAGGAATGCTTAGACTGCATCTTCTGGGAATGCAAGTGGCCCTGTGAGATGATGGTGATGATGATGATGATGATGATGGTGATAATTTATTGATACCCCACTATAGCTATAGCTTAGGGCCACATTCTCTTGGGGGCCCCAAAAATTTAAAGGGAAAAAAACCTGGATGTACATTTCCAAAATATAAAACAAATAAAATAAAACCTACATACAGCAACAGTGTTTTGTGTTGTGTAAGGAATGGTCCCCGCCTGCTAGCCTGATCCTTCAAATATCACTGGTTTGCTCATTTCTATATACAGTGGTACCTCGGGTTAAGAACTTAATTTGTTCTGGAGGTCCGTTCTTAACCTGAAACTGTTCTTAACCTGAGGTACCACTTTAGCTATAGGGGCCTCCCGTCGCCGCTGCGCCGCCGCCACCCAATTTCTGTTCTTATCCTGAAGCAAAGTTCTTAACCCGAGGTACTATTTCCGGGTTAGCGGAGTCTGCAACCTGAAGCGTCTGTAACCTGAAGCATCTGTAACCTGAGGTACCGCTGTATAGGGTGCCTACATTCTACGTGGACTGGTTGTAACAATTACTTTGCTAAAATACATATTTTTGTTATGTGCAAATGGCTTGAGATACTTATTTGGTCCAAAAATTACTATATAGAATATAAAAGGTAAAGGTAAAGGGACCCCTGACCATTAGGTCCAGTAGTGACCGACTCTGGGGTTGCTGCACTCATCTCGCTTTATTAGCCGAGGGAGCCGGCGTACAGCTTCTGGGTCATGTGGCCAGCATGACTAAGCCGCTTCTGGCGAACCAGAGCAGCGCACAGAAACGCCGTTTACGTCCCGCCGAAGCGGTACCTCTTTATCTACTTGTACTTTGACGTGCTTTTGAACTGCTAGGTTGGCAGGAGCCGGGACCGAGCAATGGGAGCTCACCTGGTCGCGGGGATTTGAACCGCCGACCTTCTGATCGGCAAGTCCTAGGCTCTGTGGTTTAACCCACAGTGCCACCCGCGTCCCATATAGCATATATTCAACACAAAAAACAGCGACAATTTGTTGTTGACAAAGGACAGCTGGACATCTCAAGGGCCCCATCACCTTCAATAGCTGAGGGCCGCATCAAACCTAAATCCGGCCCTGGCCATGAGTGACTGACTTCTTTGGAACCAAGCTTGTAGAAGCTATGAGAGAGGCAAGGAGACACTGTCTTAGGGTTTCATTTCTGCACAGCCTCCCTTGAAGACTACTGTGTACTATTTCCCGAAGACAGCAGCCCCCACCCCAATAAATAACCTCACATGCACACACACAGTTTGCAAGGCTATCGATTGTTTAATTAGCCAAAGGTCTGGGAAAAGAGGGGTGTTTTTGGTTGGCGGCTAAAACAAGCCTTTGTTTCCCCCGAAAGACAACAGCGCAGGGACGTTGCAGCGTCGTCGGGTTCTTGCAAAGCTGGTTCCACCTGTTTGTGAATTTCCCAGAAGACCACCGGGCGACGGGGGTGCTTTGATGCTGTTAACGCTTCCTTTTCAGATCGCCTCGAGACTTTTAGCGGCCTCTCAAGGCGCTGAGGCATCCTGGACGAATTGTGACAATCCTCCAGCCGTTCACCCATCTGACGAAAGCGCAGGTAAACCATCTCCATCTAGTGGACCTCCTGACCCTCAAACCCTGTGGAAGGAAGGTCCATGGGAGAATGAACATGGCAGAGTCAGGGGGTAGAAGTTGGGAGTTACTACTACCCCTATGTGGGACGCGGGTGGCACTGTGGTCTAAACCACTGAGCCAAGGGCTTGCTGATCGGAAGGTCGGCAGTTCAAATCCCCGCCATGGGGTGAGCTCCCATTGCTCGGTCCCTGCTCCTGCCCACATAGCAGTTTGAAAGCACGTCAAAGTGCAAGTAGATAAATAGGTACCACTCCAGCGGGAAGGTAAACGGCGTTTCCGTGCGCTGCTCTGGTTCGCCAGAAGCGGCTTAGTCATGCTGTCCACATGACCCAGAAGCTGTCTGCGGACAAACGTCGGCTCCCTCGGCCTATAGAGCGAGATGAGCACGAAACCCCAGAGTCGTCTGTGACTGGACCTTACGGTCAGGGACACCTTTACCTTTACCTTTACTACCCCTCCTATACCCACAACCAAACACACACACAAAAATTCTGAGCATTATTCTGAAGGAGCGTCTCCACCCCCATTGTCCAGCCGGGACACTGAGGTCCAGCTCCGAGGGCCTTCTGGTGGTTCCCTCCCTGCGAGAAGCCAAGTTACAGGGAACCAGACAGAGGGCCTTCTCGGTAGTGGTGCCCGCCCTGTGGAACGCCCTCCCACCAGATGTCCAAGAGAAAAACAACTACCAGACTTTTAGAAGACATCTGAAGGCAGCCCTGTTTAGGGAAGCTTTTAATGACTGATGTTTTAATGTACTTTTAATCTTTGTTGGAAGCCGCCCAGAGTGGCTGGGGAAACCCAGCCAGATGGGCGGGGTATAAATAAATTATTATTATTATTATTATTATTATTATTATTATTATACCGTACTGGTAGTTGTTTATCTCCTTGAAGTCTGGGGGGAGGGCGTTCTACAGGGTGGGCACCACCACCGAGAAAGCCCTCTGCCTGGTTCCCTTGACGCTCCTTCAGGTATACTGGACCGAGGCCATTGAGGGCTTTAAAGGTCAGCACCAACACTTTGAATTGTGCTCGGAAACGTACTGGGAGCCAATGTACCGTATTTTTCGCTCCATAGGACGCACTTTTTCCCCTTCAAAAATGAAGGGAAAATGTGTGTGCGTCCTATGGAGCGAAGACGCCATAGCCCCGCGACCCTCTCCCGGCTGGAGAGGTGACGCGCGGCTGTTGAGGCTCTTGCCATAGCCGCGCGTCACCTATCCAGCCGGGAGAGCGCGCGCGGGACGAAAGCAGCCCCCCGCGACCCTCTCCCGGCGGGAGAGGTGACGCGCGGCTCTGGCAGGAGCCTCTCCGCTGCGCCTTTCCGCTGCTCCCTGACCTGCTCTTTGGGGCTGGTGGTGGGCTTCCCCGCCAGCCCCAAAGAGCAGGTCGAAGAACCTGAAGCCTGGAGAGCGAGAGGGGTCAGTGCACATCGACCCCTCTCGCTCTCCAGGCCTCAAGTAGCCGCCTGAACGCACCTTAAACGGCACCTTGTTTTAGAGCGGGAAAACAAGAGGGGGAAAGTTCTCCCCCTCTCTGCGCAGCGCCTCCTGCCACTTCACTGAAGGGGCACTGGGCAGAGAGGGGGAGAATTTTTTTTTCTTGTTCTCCCCCCTCTAAAACAAAGTGCGTCCTATTGTCCGGTGCGTCCTATGGTGCGAAAAATATGGTAGGTCTTTCAAGATGGGTGTTATATGGTCTCAGTGGTCACTCTCAGTCCCCAGTCTGGCTGCCACATTCTGGATTAGTTGTAGTTTCTGGGTCACCTTCAAAGGTAGCCCCATGTAGAGTGCATTGCAGTAGTCCAAGCGGGAGATAACCAGAACATGCACCACTCTGGCGAGATGGACTTTGATGCAAGAGGTCCTTTATACAGTATCTCAGCACCCACCTGTATCTCCTGGTTGCTTGCATCCTCGGGGCCTCCATCTCCTTCCCTCAAGATGGAGCTTCTTGGAGCTGAGTCTTCCTGTAGGGCTACAGCCCCCCACACCACCAAGCCCACCAGCAGCACCAGCAGCCAGAAGCTGCGCAGCTTGTTGGGTCTGGATTTGGGCATGGCGACCTAGAGAGAATGAGGAGAAGGGGAGAAGTTTCAGGGCTGTCATCTATCCTCAAAGTTGGAAGGAAGTCCTGCTCCAGGGCGGAGAGGAACATCATGAAACCACCTCTTCAGCCGTTGGAACCTCAGGGTTTCCCCATGGCATGAACGTTGTGGGCTGACAGTTGGGTTGGGGCCTTGATGGGGGAATAAGGAATAAAAGACGCTGCTGGCTTCAGAAGGACATAAGGAACTGCGTTGCATCAAGTCAGACCACGGGTCTATCCATATTTTCTATCTCCGCATGTGTAACAACTCTAACTTTTTACTTTTATATATATATACCTATGACTACAGCTTTTTAACAATATTTCCCCACCTCTCTCTCCTCCCCCTACTTCCCACCACTATCCGCCTTATCGCTTAAATATTCCTTCCAGATTTGTTCTGGAAGGAAGCGAGGTGAGGATATTTATAGCAAAGGTAACAAAAAAGATTTTGTTATTTAGGGGAATTGAATTTAATTCTAAATTATATTCCGGAAACGTGGGAGATTACAAGGGGTAAAAAAAAAATATGGATGTGCCGTGCTATATTAGAAGCAAAAAAACTTGTTTTGGTGAATTGGAAGAGCTGCAAAAAGATTCCACTGAGCACATGGATTGATGATATGGGCAGATTAGCTACATACGAACGAATTGCATGTCGACGCAAATTAAGAATGGATAAATATGAAGAAATAACAAATCTATATTTCAGCTAAACTTTGGAACTCCCTGCCACTTGAAATCTGGAAGGGGCCTTCACTATGCACTTCTTGGTGCCTGCTAAAAACATCTCTTAGGCAAGCCTGTCTGGATATTTAGAAAGTTGATGGGCGATTTAATCTATTATTATTTTTATTGTTGTTCATTTCGCCTTTGGATAATTTTATTGCTTTGTATCTTGCAAACTACTTTGACGGTCGTGGGTTGTTGTTCAGTGTGAGAGCCAGTGTGGTGTAGTGGTTAAGAGCGGTAGTCTTGTAATCTGGGGAACCGGGTTCGCGTCTCCGCTCCTCCACATGCAGCTGCTGGGTGACCTTGGGCTAGTCACACTTCTTTGAAGTCTCTCAGCCCCACTCACCTCACAGAGTGTTTGTTGTGGGGGAGGAAGGGAAAGGAGAATGTTAGCCGCTTTGAGACTCCTTAAAGGGAGTGAAAGGCGGGATATCAAATCCAAACTCTTCTTCTTCTCTTCTTCTTTCAACACTCAAGCAGTGTATAAACTTTATGAAATAAGTAAATATTACCTGCACTGACTAGAAGCTGCTCTTCAACATTTAAGAAAAGGGACACCCCCCCCGTAATCCGACCCGAAGAGATCAGAGATCGAATCTGGAACCTTCCACGGACAAAGCAGATCCTCGACCACTGAGCCGAAGTCCTGCCACAACAAAGGAATCTGCCTCATACATCTAGCTCAATATAGGTGGCTGGCTGGCAGCATCTCCCCAGGGTTTCAGGCAAGGAGTCTCTCCCAGCCCTGTCTGAACATGTTGGAAATTGAACCTGAGACTTTCTGCACTCCAAGCAGATGTCCTCCCTTCCACTGGCTGTTCTCCATAACATTTATTCAGAATTTTGCAGAATTCAGTCCAAACCAGTAGCTTCTCCCAGAAAAACAGACAAACTGTCCAGTTTTAAATCAACTGTGTGCATGTGAGGTTATATTGGGGGTTACTGCCTTCAAGAAATATGGTTTACTGTATACAGTAGTCCTCAAGGGAAGCTGTGCAGAAAACTATACCCTAAGAGAGTGTGTTCTTGCCCCTCTCATGGCTTCTACAAGCTTGGCCAGTGCAAAAATGGTTCTGCTTATTTCCTCCTCCTTGTTCCCAGAAATCAGCTGTGAAAAGATGGGAGGGTTGGTTCTAGGACTAAGCTGAAACTGTGAAGCTCCTGGTTATTTTTGCTCATGGATGCTGCGTGTCATTTAAGTTAATAATAATAATAATAATAATAATAATAAATGTATACCCCATCCATCTGGCTGGCTCCCAACAGAATTAATGATAATAATAAAAAAAAGAGAGATAAAACATCAAACATTAAAAACTTCCCTGAAAAGGGCTGCCTTCAGATGTCTTCTAAAAGTCAGAGAGTTGTTTATCTCCTTGATATCTGATGGGAGGGCGTTCCACAGGGCGGGCGCCACCACCGAGAAGGCCCTCTGCCTGGTTCCCTGTAACTCACTTCTCGCAGGGAGGGAACCGCCAGAAGGCCCTCGGAGCTGGACCTCAGTGTCTGGGCAGAATGATGGGGGTGGAGACGCTTCTTCAGGTATACTAAGCTGCGGCCGTTTAGGGCTTTAAAGGTTATATTTATAGTATCAAAATGGGGGGGGGGGGGTTGTATGTTACTATATTTGCTATTGTTTTGCCATGTTGTTGTGAAATTGTTTTGCAGCGTCTCTTTCAAATGCATACTCTACCAGCTTTGCTAGTGAGCTGCTTTGTAATCAGTAAACACACAAGACGTAACCGGCTGTGTTCTTAGACAAATAAGGTATACTATTGATTGTATCAAATCATAGATTTCAACAGAAGTAATTCATAAAGTTCAACAAACGAACAAAGCAGAACTGCTGCTTTCTGCCTTCATCCTTGCAGGCTGTTTTTAAGCCACCCAGTTTACGAGGGTGCTTTTAAATTTCTTTTTGGACAAAACGAGGCCACCGACTTTTGCAAAAGCTTTATTGAGACATAAGAGCTGGAAGAGATGTGTGGAAACTCTCGAAAGGCATACTCTTCGCTCGTTGGGACTTTGCATTGGGATGGAATAGCCTCTGTTGCATCTCCTGGACCAGTCGGTGCTTCTTTGGAGACTGGAGAAGGACAGAGAGAAGAGGTTTGGCTGAGGCTACGTTGCTAACAGCGAGATTTCTTGCAACGACGTTTCCGTCGGTGACGATGAGGGATGATACTTGCTATTGTACTCCCGCACCCAGACCTCCACCTCAGAACCCATCGGCCATTGACGCATCTGCACTCGTAGCAGCTCCACCTTGCCTGCAACAGAAAGAGCGGCGAGGATTTTAATAGCAAAACATTGGAAAGGTGATGTAAACCCCACAAAAACTGATTGGCAAAGATGATAGAATATTCAGAACTTGCAAGGATGACTGGGAGAATAAGAGGCAATTCTAACCAGAAATTTAGTAAAGATTGGAGAATGTTCAAAGAATATCTTAAAAGGCACTGTAATGACACAAATCTCCTGACAGATTTGGATTGAATCTTGAAGTTTGAGGAAATTATGAAGTAAAAATTTTTCATGATAATTAACTGAAAAGAATAATAAATATGAAGTGCGTATAGACTAGTAAGGTATAAAAAGCACAATGAGGTGAATCGGAAGTTAAAGGGTATGTAAGGTCAAATGAGGTGTTGTCAGTGTCTATGGTCTGTTTATGCCGTCTTTCTTTCTTTTTACGTTCTATGTAAATTGTTTTGTAATAAAGAATCTTTTTAAAATAAAATAAAAAGTGAAACTAACGAAATGGATAAATTTGGAAATATAAATAAAAAACGAAAATAAAAGAAGGAAAGAAGAAGGTGGTAGAAAGAAGTGAGAGGCAGATGGGGCTCGTCCACCTGGGCAGGTAGCCCATCTCTGAGAAGGAAAAGTCTGATCCTAAACCAGACTGCCTTGTTAGGCTACTGCTGTGCGCATGGTCTAGCCCTGCACTGAGTTCGGAAGCTGCCTCTAGTATAGAAAACAGCAGCTAGGTGGGGCTCATTGAGACTCTGGCAGGACACAGACCCCTTGGACTAATAATAATAATAATAATAATAATAATAATAATAATAATTTATTTATACCCCGCCCATCTGGCTGGGTCTCCCCAGCCACCCTGGGTGGCTTCCAACAAAGTATTAAAATACAGCAATCTGTTAAACATTAAAAGCTTCCCTAAACAGGGCTGCCTTCAGATGTCTTCTAAAAATCTGGTAGTTGTTTATCTCTTTGACATCTGATGGGAGGGCGTTCCACAGGGCGGGTGCCACCACCGAGAAGGCCCTCTGCCTGGTTCCCTGTAACTTGGCTTTTCGCAATGAGGGAACAGCCAGAAGGCCCTCGGAGCTGGACCTCAGTGTCCGGGCTGAACGATGGGGGTGGAGACGCTCCTTCAGGTATACAGGGCCGAGGCCGTTTAGGGCTTTCAAGGTCAGCACCAACACGTACTGGGAGCCAATGTAGGTCTTTCAAGACCGGTGTTACATGGTCTTGGCAGCCGCACCCAGTCACCAGTCTAGCTGCCACATTCTGGATTAGTTGTAGTTTCCGGGTCACCTTCAAAGGTTGCCCCACGTAGAGCGCATGGCAGTAGTCCAAGCGGCAGATAACCAGAGCATAAGGTGAAACAGCTGCCTAGGCTGCCTTTAAACCCCCAAGCTGTGCCCAAGTTTCTATTGCAAGGGTAAGGTAAAGGTAAAGGGACCCCTGACCATTAGGTTCAGTTGTGACTGACTCTGGGGTTGCGGCTCTCATCTCGCTTTACTGGCCGAGGGAGCCGGCGTACAGCTTCCGGGTCATGCGGCCAGCATGACTAAGCCACTTCTGGCGAACCAGAGCAGCGCACGGAAACGCTGTTTACCTTCCCACCGGAGTGGTACCTATTTATCTACTTGCACTTTGACGTGCTTTCGAACTGCTAGGTTGGCAGGAGCAGGGACCGAGCAATGGGAGCTCACCCCGTCACGGGGATTCGAACCACTGACCTTCTGATCGGCAAGTCCTAGGCTCTGTGGTTTAACCCACAGCACCACCCGCATGGCGGGTTGTAAAGGATATAAAGGACCAAATCATTCGTGTGCCCCCACCAGCTCTCCATCCTCACCTGTATCTCCTGCTTGGCTGCATCCTCGGGGCCTTCATCGCCTTCCACCAAAATTGCCACTCTTGAATTTGCGTCTTCTGGTGGGGCGGCAGCCCCTCTCAGCACCAAGCCCACCACTAGCCCCAGCAGCAGCCAGACGCACCGCATCGCCCTCGAGGCGCTCCGAGGCGACGCACTACTCCTTCTGTCCAGATTTGGGGAGGGGAGAAGCTCCGGTTGATGGCGGAGGAGGTGCAGGGAGAGAATGAGCCCCCAGAGGGAGAGATTTGGAGGGGAATGCGTTCCGCAAGCGGGAAGGAAGTTTCCAAAGCGATCGCTTGTTCTGGAAAGGGGAACTGAATTCAAGGACTAAGTTGTGTAAGAATCTAGCAGAAGAGACATGGTACTAGCTTGTTACGGAAATGACAAGGGGGGAAACATCTTTAAAGTTGTTACAATGCTGCAAAAGGTCCACGAATAATACAGTGGTACCTCGGGTTAAGTATTTAATTCGTTCTGGAGGTCCGTTCTTAACCTGAAACTGTTCTTAACCTGAAGCACCACTTTAGCTAATGGGGCCTCCTGCTGCCGCCGTGCCGCCGGAGCACGATTTCTGCTCTCATTCTGAAGCAAAGTTCTTAACCCGAGGTACTATTTCTGGGTTAGTGGAGTCTGTAACCTGAAGCGTATGTAACCTGAAGCATATGTAACCCAAGGTACCACTGTAATAGCTTACAGGTCCCGGGCCCTAAAGAAACCAGACTATCCTCCACCAGGGCCAGGGCCTTTTCAGTGATGGCTCCGACCTGGTGGAATGCTCTGTCCCAGGAGACTAGGGCCCTGCAGGACTTGATCTCCTTCCGCAGGGCCTCTAAGACAGAGCTATTCTGCCTGGCCTTCAATTTGAATTTGCCTGATCCTCTCTTCCCTTTCCCCCTTTCCTCTTCTATGAAGAAACTCTTTTTGGGACCCCACATTTAAATTCTTCCCTAGTCTTATCACTGGCTCTAGTAGGACCAACTTGGCCAGATAGCCCTGGTGACCATTTGATGTCTACTGACTGGGTTTGTTTGTTTGTTTGCTTGCTTGCTTGCTTGTTTCCCCAAATGACCCCTGAATTTTTGAATTTTATTGATATTGATGATGCTGTTTTATGCTGTTTTTAAGTCGCATTTTAATCAGTGTTTTATATTTGCTGTTAGCCGCCCTGAGCCCGGTTTTTAAACCAGGAAGGGCGGGGTATAAATAAAAATTTATTAGTTATTATTATTAAATATTATGCCTGAATGTATCCTTTCGACTTGACAGCTCAGGGAAGATACCTAGCTTTATAAATCCGTGCAAAATCCAAACTTTAACCGAATCTCCTCATTCCAATGCCATTTTAACCCTTAAAGAAAGGTGAATTTGGGCTCAACCTATCTCCGTGAACCAAGAAGCAGGAAGTCACGTAGGCAGCAGGAACAGGGCATCCCGCCATAATTCCCCAAGCGTGAGAACACATACAAGACCCCCCACCCAGGAAGTGACCAGGGGGGCAACAGTAGACATCTGCAGAGGCAGTTCAGCAAGTCAGGTGTTCTGAAAGCCCATCTCCAGACAAGTCCTGAGGGCCAGGAGATGTCAAGAGTTTTATTATTCTTTCAGTGATGGGTCCTTAAGAGGTGTTGGGAAAGGTGTCTGATAAAGTGACCTAATGTTGAACTTGTGTAACCCTTGTATACCCCTCCCCATTTGTGACATGCTAGTGACAAGCCACGCAGGTGGTGCTGTGGTCTAAACCACAAAGCCTAGGACTTGCCGATCAGAAGGTCGGCGGTTCGAATCCCCGCGACGGGGTGAGCTCCCGTTGCTCGGTCCCTGCTCCTGCCCACCTAGCAGTTCAAAAGCATGTCAAAGTGCAAGTAGATAAATAGGTACCGCTCCTGCGGGAAGGTAAACGGTGTTTCCGTGCGCTGCTCTGGTTTGCCTGAAGCGGCTCAGTCATGCTGGCCATACGACCCGGAAGCTGTACGCCGGCTCCCTCGGCCAATAAAGCGAGATGAGCGCCGCAACCCCAGAGTCGGCCACGACTGGACCTAACGGTCAGGGGTCCTTTACCTTTTTTTAGTGATGTAGTGATGATGTATCAATGATGCTGCTTGAATTGTATTCTGGGGGAAAGAGGGAGGTTTTAAAACAGGGTGTCGCCCAGTGCTCAGGGTTGTTACTCTAAGGTTACCAGATGTCCCCGTTTCCCTGATTTACGAATCAGTCCCCATACAAAATCCTTTGAAGTTGAAAAATGTCCCCGGATTCATTGAAAAAAAATCTGGTAACCTTATCTTACTCCTGTGGGGACCTGTTGCGCAACAATAAAGATCATGGTTCCTGGCTGCTGTTTTGCTCCAAATTGTTGGCTGGAACTTCCCCTCAGGAGCACGCCCGCCCTGGGCAGCGCGGGATATGCTCTGCCACTACTTAATGGCACATGTTAAGTAATGGTAAAGGGACCCCTGACCATTAGGTCCAGTCTTGACCGACTCTGGGGTTGCGGCGCTCATCTCGCTTTTCTGGCCAAGAGAGCCATTGTACAGCTTCCGGGTCATGTGGCCAGCATGACTAAGCCACTTCTGGCGAACCAGAGCAGCGCACGGAAACGCCGTTTACCTTCCCGCCGGAGTGGTACCTATTTATCTACTTGCACTTTGACGTGCTTTTGAACTGCTAGGTTGGCAGGAGCAGGGACCGAGCAACGAGAACTCACCCCGTTGCGGGGATTCGAACCGCCAACCTTCCGATCGGCAAGCCCTAGGCTCTGTGGTTTAACCCACAGTGCCACCCGCGTCCCTATGGCACATATTAATTTATCTTTAATAGCTATATCCCACACCTCTTTATGCAATTCTTCCAATTTATATTCCGCCTGCCCCTTCCACTTCCCAGCTATAAGAATACGGCTGCTTTCTGCCTTCATCCTTGCGAGCTTGTTTTTAAGCCACCCCACTTATGAGGGTGTTTTTAAATTTCTTCTCAGACAAAACGAGGCCACCAACCTTTGCAAATGCTTTATTGAGACATAAGAGCTGGAAGCACCGTGAGGAACCTCTGCAAGAGCTGACTCTTCACTCGTTGAGACTTTGCATCGGGGTGGAATATCCTCAGTTGCATCTCCTGGACCAGTCTGTGCTTCTTTGGAGACTGGAGGGGGGCAGAGAGGAGAGGGGATGCCGGGGTATGTTGCTAACAGGGAGTGTTCTTGCAGCGACCTTTCCATGCCTCATGTTCAGGGGTACCTCCTTTCCATGCGTCATGTTCAGGGATACCTCCTGCTATGGCACCGCCGCATCCAGGCCTCCAGGTCAGAACCCATGTGCCATTGACGCATACGCACTCGGAACAGGTGCTCCTTGCCTGCAACAGAAAGAGCCAAGGTTGGCAATGAGGATAATAATAATAATAATAATAATAATTTATTATATATACCCCGCCCATCTGGCTGAGTTTCCCCAGCCACTCTGGGCGGCTTCCAATCAAGTGTTAAAAACAAAACAGCATTAAATATTCAAAATATTCAAAAGGGCTGCCTTCACATGTCTTTTAAAGAGAAGATAGGTGCTTATTTCCTTCACATCTGAAGGGAGGGCGTTCCACAGGGCGGGCGCCACCACCGAGAAGGCCCACTGTCTGGTTCCCCGTAACCTCACTTCTCGCAATGAGGGAACAGCCAGAAGGCCCTCGGAGCTGGACCTCAGTGTCCGGGCTGAACGATGAGGGTGGAGACGCTCCTTCAGGTATACTGAGCTGAGGCCGTTTAGGGCTTTCAAGGTCAGCACCAACACTTTGAACTGTGCTCGGAAACGTACTGGGAGCCAATGCAGATCTCTCAGAACTGGTGTTATGTGGTCCCGGCAGCCACTCCCAGTCACCAGTCTAGCTGCCGCATTCTGGATTAGCTGCAGTTTCCGGGTCACCCTCAAAGGTAGCCCCACGTAGAGCGCGTTGCAGTAGTCCAAGCAGGAGATAACCAGAGCATGCACCACTCTGGAGAGACAGTCCGCGGGCAGGGAGGGTCTCAGCCTGCGTACCAGATGGAGCTGGTAAACAGCTGCCCTGGACACAGAATTGACCTGCGCCTCCATGGACGGCTGTGAGCCCAGAATGACTCCCAGGCTGCGCACTCCCAGGATGGGGTGAAAACAGTGTGACCAGCAACGGGTATGGGGTCTGAGCCCCCTAAGCAGGGCCAGTGACAGGTTCATTGAAGGATCCATTCAAGTTGGCACGCTCTCCTCCAGAGGTGGTTTCTAACCAGAGGTTGGGTGGCTATTTTAGCCATCATTTTAGGGGATGAATTTTTGCAAATTTCCTCATTGAGTGGCCTTCCAAATGTGGCTTATTTGGGTATGAGGAATTCAAATTTGCTATTATATTTGTGGCTAGACAACATTTAGCTTGGCATCATCATCAATTCATTTATACCCCGCCCATCTGGCTGGGCTTCTAGCAAAATATTAAAATACAACAATTCATCAAATATTAAAAGCTTCCCTAAGCAGGGCTGCCTTCAGATGTCTTCTAAAAGTCAGATACAGTGGTACCTTGAGTTACAGACGCTTCAGGTTACAGACGCTTCAGGTTACAGACTCCACTAACCCAGAAATAGTGCTTCAGGTTAAGAACTTTGCTTCAGGATAAGAACAGAAATCGGGCTCTGGCAGCAGCAGGAGGCCCCATTAGCTCAAGTGGTGCTTCAGGTTAAGAACAGTTTCAGGTTAAGAACGGACCTCCAGAACGAATTAAGTATCGTATTTTTCGCTCTATAAGACGCACCAGACCACAAGACGCACCTAGTTTTTGGAGGAGGAAAACAAGACATAAAATATTCTGAAGCTCAGAAGCCAGAACAGCAAGAGGGATCGTTGCGCAGTGAAAGCAGCAACCCCCTCTTGCTGTTCTGGCTTCTGGGATAGCTGCGCAGCCTGCATTCGCTCCATAAGACGCACACACATTTCCCCTTACTTTTTAGGAGGGAAAAAGTGAGTCTTATAGAGCAAAAAATACGGTACTTAACCCAAGGTACCACTGTAGTTGTTTATTTCCTTGACATCTGGTGGGAGGGCGTTCCACAGGGCGGGAGCCACCACTGAGAAGGCCCTCTGCCTGGTTCCCTGTAACTTGGCTTCTCGCAGGGAGGGAACTGCCAGAAGGCCCTTGGAGCTGGACCTCAGAGTCTGGGCTGAATGATGGGGGTGGAGACGCTCCTGCCTTCTACATTTGATGCAGAAGCATATTAACTGCTTTCGGAAAACCAAAGAATTTTAATGTTGCCTTCTTGAAATGTCAGGCAGTGCTAAACAATAATAGCGGCAATCAATAATAATAATATAATTGCAAGTATTTGGCAATCACGTTTAGTGATTTCTGTTCAGGTTTACACACATTGTGCTTGTCCAGCAAGACCAAATCATGATCTGGAATCGGTGAGACTAACTGTTTCAAAAGGTCTGGAGCAAATTTATATTCTATATGAAAGAAAATGGTAAACATTTTAAAATGTTTGTAGGTTTGAACTGAAACGCTTTGTAATGTGAAAATAAGCAACTGATTTACGTATAAGGAGGTAATTTTTATAAAAAAGAAGACGTTTTAAGGTAAAAAAGTGGTTAAAGAAATGCGAAAATTTAGTAAAAGATGTTTGGAAGTCAGAAAGAAGTTGATGCTCTGTTTGAGCAATGCTTTAAGTTATAGATCCGTAAAATGAGATGTAAATAAATATGGAAACTTAATAAAAATTATTTTTTAAAAAAACAATAATAGCGGCAATCAATAATAATAATATGATTGCAAACCCTTGGCAATCACAGTTAGTGATTTCTGTTCCGGTTTACACACATTGTGCTTGCCCAGCAAGGCCAAACAACAGGTACAGAAAGAGAACAGTGAAGACACCTTTCTGATTTCAACAGGCAGGGACTTCCAAAGTGTGGGTGCGGCCAAACATAAAGATTCTTAGAAATGCAGAATGAACATTATGTGGCTCTTGCAACAGTGCCAGGAATCTTGGAGGAAATTCCCAGGTGGATCATCCAGCGATACAACTCCGCAGGAGAATTGCACAACACCCAAGCTGGTTGCAGAGACCAGGAAGGATCGCAGGAGAATCGGAGGCTGCCTTAATATACAGAGTCAGTTGTTGTTGTTGTTGTTTAGTCGTGTCCGACTCTTTGTGACCCCACGGACCAGAGCACGCCAGGCACTCCTGTCTTCCACTGCCTCCCACAGTTTGGTCAAACTCATGCTGGTAGCTTCGAGAACACTGTCCCACCATCTCGTCCTCTGTCGTCCCCTTCTCCTTGTGCCCTCCATCTTTCCCAACATCAGAGTCTTTCCCAGGCAGTCTTCTCTTCTCATGAGGTGGCCAAAGTATTGGAGCCTCAGCTTCACGATCTGTCCTTCCAGTGAGCACTCAGGGCTGATTTCCTTCAGAATGGAGAGGTTTGATCTTCTTGCAGTCCATGGGACTCTCAAGAGTCTCCTCCAGCACCAGAATTCAAAAGCATCCATTCTTTGGCGATCAGCCTTCTTTATGGTCCAACTCTCACTTCCATACATCAATACTGGGAAAACCATAACTTTAACTATACGGACCTTTGTTGGCAAGGTGATGTCTTTGCTTTTTATGATGCTGTCTAGATTTGTCATTGCTTTTCTCCCAAGAAGCAGGTGTCTTTTAATTTCATGACTGCTGTCACCATCTGCAGTGATCATGGAGCCCAAGAAAGTAAAATCTCTCACTGCCTCCACTGACTCTATAACAGAGTCAGTTATAGTAATGTAAAAATCTATATACAAAGCTTAAAAGATATGCATTAAACATTTCCCCCTTTTTTTAAAAAAAAAAAGTCATTTTCTTTCTTTTTTGGGCAGGATTACAAGGACGCACAAATGAGAACTCTTTGGGTTTGGTCAGCCAATCAGCTACAAATCCACCTAACAGTTACCTTGTCCTTTCCAACTTGACTTGGAAGGTCTGGTCTGGAGTCAGTGCTGGGTTACTCAAACGGCAGGCTGACATAAGACGAGCCTGCAGGATCAGGCCCATGGACCTGATCCTGGGCCTTTCTCCGTGTGTGGCAGAGCCTTCCGAGTCTGCAATGATTTCCTTTTCACCTGGGGAGTTGTTATCACTCCATGATTCATTCACCTGGGAACTTCCTCCAGGATTCCTGGCACTGCGGAATTCACATTGTCCCAGGTGCCGCGTAATATTCATTCTGCATTTGTAAAGGATCAATATTTACCTTAGGGTGGCCGCACCCAGACATTGGCACTCCTCCCTGCCGATTGACATCAGTCTGGCACCTTCACTAGATTCTTTTCAGCGCCTCTTTAAAACATTTTTTTGTCTGGACAGGCCTACCCCAGATACCTAGAACGTTTAGCTTATTGTTTATTTTAATCATTTCCCAAAGATTTTAAGCAGCTGCTTTTCACTGTTCTTATCGGAAATTTTGTAGTTTCATTCTTTTCATAAACCACTTTGGATTTTTTATTTTTTTTAAGTAATTACAATCAGGTGGTGTGTAATTTTTTTGAACTAAATAAATAAATGACATATTTATTGACGGAATTGCCAGCAGAGTTTGATCTTCGGTGATTCATTGGCACATGGCCAGTCGCCACAAGAGGGACGTTTGCCCAAATCCTTCAGCTTATTCAGCCATCTAATCTTTCCTGTTCTTAATTCAAAGTGTTGGTGCTGACCTTTAAAGCCCTAAACAGCCTTGGCCCAGTATACCTGAAGGAGCATCTCCACCCCCATCTTTCTGCCCGGACACTGAGGTCCAGCTCTGAGGGCCTTCTGGCGGTTCCCTCATTGCGAGAAGCAAAGCTACAGGGAACCAGGCAGAGGGCCTTCTCGGTAGTGGCGCCCACCCTGTGGAACGCCCTCCCATCAGATGTCAAAGAGATAAACAACTGCCTGACATTCAGAAGACATCTTAAGGCAGCCCTGTTCAGGGAAGTTCTTAATGTGTGACATTTTAGTGTATTTTTGGTCTCTGTGGAAGCCACCCAGAGTGGCTGGGGAAACCCAGCCAGATGGGCGGGGTACAAATAAATTATTATTATTATTATTATTATTATTATTATTATTATTATTCCTTTCAGTTTTGCACCAGAGATGTGGAACTGAATCCATTTGGTGGGCTGGATTATTATCTCCCACCCACCACCCCCACCCAGCTGGGCAGATGGGCGGGGCCACACACCTGCCAATCACCTGACATCACAATGCCGCCAGGTCACCTGCGTCTCCCGGCGCTGCAGATCAGCTGACGTTTGCGTCTGCCGGAGTGCCGGGTGAGTCCCATGGGCCTGGCTGTGACCTTTCCTGCCCCACACATGGCATCAGGGGCAGGGCAAGTTAGTGTGGCTTGGCCAAATGGCCTCAGAAGCCCAATGGACCTAATTAAGTCTATGGGGTGGAAGTTCCCCACACAGAAAGGTGTCAGGGCCAAGTTCAGCTTGATGTTGTGACTCCCCTCTCCCAGAACCATAGAATTTTAGAGTTGGAAAGGACCACAAGGGTCAGTTACTCCAACTTCCTGCAATGAAGGAATCCTTTCCTCCTGACTTGTCTTCTTCTTCTTTGGCGATCCCTCGTAGCCGAGTAAGATTGTCTTTCATAAACACGGTTTTAACAGTGAGTCCGTAAGCGACTGTGGAGGCCAATTCTGGACCCACACGTCCTTCCACAGTGGGGACATTGGTTTCCGGGCAGGAGTTGATCACGGTGAGGGTTTGCCAAGTGTGCCTTCCTCTTAGCACCTTTCTCCCTTGCGTCCTGAGTTCGAGTGTCTTCAAAGCCCATGACACCTTTGGTGAAGGCTGTTCTCCAACTGGAGCGCCCGCAGGCTAGTGTTTCCCAATTGTCGGTGTTTATACTACATCTTTTAAGATTTGCCTTGAGAGAATCTTTAAACCTCTTCTGTTGACCACCAGCATTACGCTTTCTATTTTTAAGTTCGGAACAGAGTACAGTGGTACCTCGGGTTACGTACCGTATTTATCGCACCATAGGGCGCACCGGACCATAGGGCACACCCAGTTTTTAGGGGGGGAAATCAAGAAAAAAAATACCCCCCCAGCCCCAAAGAGCAGCGTACAGGCTGCACACAACCTCTCCCTGCCAGATAGATCCCGCTCGCTGTTTTGGCTTCCCCTTTAGCCCCGTGCAGCCTCTTCTTGCCGGGAGACGCTGCGCAGGGCTAAAGAAGCCATAGCCCCGTGCAGCCTCTCCCTGCCGGAGGGGTTGCGCGCGGCTATGGCACAAGCCTGCATTCGCTCCACAGGACGCACACACATTTCCCCTCAATTTTTGGAGGGGAAAAACTGCGTCCAATAGAGCGAAAAATACGGTACTTAATTCGTTCCGGAGGTCCGTTCTTAACCTGAAACTGTTCTTAACCTGAAGCAGCATTTTAGCTAATGGGGCCTCCCGCTGCTGCCGCACGATTTCTGTTCTCATCCTGAAGCAAAGTTCTTAACCCAAGGTACTATTTCTGGGTTAGTGGAGTCTGTAACCTGAAGCGTATGTAACCCGAGGTACCACTGTAGTTGCTTTGGAAGACGATAATCAGGCATCAGCACAGCACAGAACCTGTAATGGTCTTGGAAGGAAACTGACCATTGGAAGATGCTCCCAAGGGTACGGATAATTGGTCCTACTGCTCAGATTAATACAACTGCCAATACTAAATCATCCATATTACTTTTGTCATACAGTAAGCCCGCAACTTATGCAAAGGTTTGTTTCCCCCCCAAAAAAACTTGAAGTCAGAAAGGCCAAAAACGGAGTCATTTTCTAAAAAAGTAAAAAAAACACCAGCAAATTGTTGTTGTTGTTATTGAATTTATATACCGTATTTTTCGCTCTATTGGGCGCACTGGACCATAGGACGCACCAGACCATAGGAGGGGGAGAATAGGGGGAAAAAATTTTCTTGTTCTCCCCCTCAAAAACAAGGTACGTTCAAGGTACGTTCAAGAGCAGGCCTTGCTGCTGCCACCCGAGCTTGTGGGGCTGGCGGTGGGGGGGAAGCGCTGCTTTCCCCTACCGCCAGCTTCAAAGATCCCTGAAGCCTTTGGAGCGCAGCTGCACTCCAAAGGCTTGAGGCTTTGGGGACATCCTTTGTAGCCTCCGCAGGGCGGTGGGGTGCCTTCATCCCGCCGCCCTGCGGAGGCTTTGCGCAGCCCTCCCGAAGCTGGAACAGCGAGACGGAGGTCTGCGCAGCACCCCGTCTCGCTGCTTTGGCTTTGGGGACAGCAGGCTGCTCTCCGCAAGCCTTGGGAGCCCGGCAGGAACTCCCGCTGGGCTCCGCAGGCTTGCGGAGAGCTGCCCGAGCCCGGGTGCACAGCACCACGCTCCCGGGCTTCGGGCTGCAGGCAGCTGTCCGCAAGCTTGCAGAGCCCAGCGGGAGTTCCCGCCGGGCTCCGCAGGCTTGCGGATAGCTTCCTGAAGCCTGGAATGCGAGAGGGGTCGATGCACACCGACGCCTCTCGCTCTCCAGGCTTCAGTGAAAGCCTGCATTCACTCCATAGGACGCACACACTTTCCCCCTTCATTTTTGGAGGGGGAAAAGTGTGTCCTATAGAGCAAAAAATACGGTACCACCCTATACCTGGGGGTCTCAGGGCAGTTCCCAGAGTAAAATCAAGATATAAAACCACAAAAGACCTAACAAGAATAAAAACAACAACCGAATAGCCCCCCCAAAAAAGAAACATTTTAAAAGGGCATAGGGTGTAAGTTGGGTCAACCAAAGGCCTGGTTAAAAAGGAAGGTTTTTGCTTGGTGCCTAAAGATGTATAATGAAGCCACCAGGCAAACTACCATGGGGAGAGCATACCACAGATGGGGAGCCACTGCAGAAAAGGCCCTGTTCTCGTGTTGCCACCTTCCGGACCTCTCGAGGAGGAGGCACATGAAGGAGGGCCTGAGCAGATGATCTCAGGGTCCGGGTAGGTTCATATGGGGAGAGGTGATTCTTGAGGTGTTGGGGTCCTGAGCCGTTTAAGGCTTTATAGGCTGTGGGCTTTCTGTACTCCTCCCCAACTTAGTTGCTGCCTTTGTTCCCCTTTCCAGCTCCCCTAGGCAAAGGCGATGTTTCAGGGAACTTCCTTGGTCCTTAAACCCCTGCCCCTGATTTTCATTCTCTCCCTGCAATTCCTCTGTCATCAACAGGAGCTTCTCCCCTCCCAAATCCGGACGTGAAGAGTCGTGTGGCGCCTCGGAGCGCCTCGAGGGCGATGCGGTGCTTCTGGCTGCTGCTGGTGCTAGTGGTGGGCTTGGTGCTGAGAGGTGCTGCCACCCCATCAGAAGACACAAATTCAAGAGGGGCAGGTGATGGCAGCCCCAAGGATGCAGCCAAGCAGGAGACACAGGTGAGGGCACAGAGCAGATGAGCAGGCTCTCTGGGGCACCAAGTTGTTCGAAATAGAAACTTGGACCTGACTTTCTAGCTCATAGTCAGCCTGGGCCACTGTTTCACCTAGGTGAGATGTTTGTGTCCTGCCAGGGTCTCACTGAGCACCCATTTAGCTGTTGCACTCTGTACTAGAGGCAGCTTCTGAACCAAGCACAGGGGCAGCCACAAGTATAGCGCATTGCAGTAATCTTGTTGGCATCTGTCTGTCTTGAGGGAGGGGAGGAATCGTGCACTAGTACTCAGCATCCTAAGGCACTTGCCAGGACACCAACACCTGCCTTGGGACCCCTTCATTCCCCCCCTCCACCTCTGGCTTGGCATCCTGAGCAGGCAGGTAAGCCATTCTAATGATTTCCCACAATGCCCGTGACTTAGCATCAGCGTGGCGCATTGCCGGAAACCGAAAGCAGGGCTAGGCTCGGCTTCTCGGTTCTGCCGCTGCAACAAGAGAACCACATCCGGGAGCCACGAACAGAAGACAAATGGCCCTCCTCGAACCTGACCCTCATTGGGGACTTGGAAATCCCACCCCTTGACTGACCACCTGGCCTCTTTCCATTCGCTTTATTTCCATATCATTTTTATTAAATCTCCAAAAATATTCCAAACTCTCTCTCTCTCTCTCTCTCTCTCTCTCTCTGGTGTGTGTGTGTGTGTGTGTGTGTGTGTGTGTATCATTGACTTCCCACCCCTCCTTTCCTAATTTTTGTTTTTACTCCTTTTGCTGTTTTACAACACGTTTTAATTTTCTGAACACCGCTGTCATTAACTCTTTCGATAACCACTGCTTATATTTCAATATAAGCGGGCAGAGGGCCTTCTCGGTAGTGGCTCCCGCCCTGAGGACACCCTCCCATCAGATGTCAAGGAAATAAACCACTATCTGACTTTTAGAAGACATCTGAAGGCAGCTCTGTTTTGGGAAGTTTTTTGTTTGATGTTTTATTGTATTTTTAATATTCTGTTGGGACCCACCCAGAGTGGCTGCGGAAACCCAGCCAGCTGGGTGGGATATAAGTAATTAATTATTCTATTATTATTATTATTATTATTATCATTATCATCTCCTGCCAGCGACTTCATGTATGAATGATAATTTGATAGATAATCCATCCGTGGTCTCCATTCTCCCTTAAACACTTTGCCATTACGTCCCCTTCGTTTTTGCAGTCCATCCCACCATTTCAGCATAGCCCCTCAGTTTCCTAAGGCATTCCTCCTCACTTGGTCCTTACCCTTCCGTGCATATAAAGTTCTAGCTCAGGAATAGGCAAACTTGGCCCTCCAGCTTTTTTGGGGACTACAACTCCCATCACCCCTAGCTAACAGGGATGATGGGAGTTGTAGTCCCAAAAAAAGCTGGAGGGCCGAGTTTGCCTATTCCTGAGCTGTTGTTGGCGGCCTCTTCGCGTTCTCACCGCCTCCCACGGATCTTTCCGCTGCAGGAAGCGAAGGTGATCCACGGCATGTGCTACGTGGCCAGATGCGTCAAAGGGCACTGGGACGTCAGGTGGAAGTCCGGGTGCAGGACCAGTTTGATCCATCCCCATCGCCTTCATCCGCCAAGAGGCACTTGCAACCATCATGGCAGCTAGCAAGGCATCCTTTGTAGCCTCCCTTCTCTCCCCCAAACCAGCCTCCTAAGACGCGCACAAACTGGTCCAGGAAATGTGAACGAGAGCGGCCAGTCTTTGCGCAAAAGGCACAGCAATGCCAGAACATTGCCTCTCCATCTCTTGGAAAGGTTCGCCACGACGCTTCCTTTTAAAACTTGCCAAGCACACTTTGCACCGATGCTGCCTCCCACGGAATCAGACCATCGGTCCACGAAGTTCAACGCTTTCTACATGGACGGGCCGTTTCTCAGAGAGCTGGAGGGAGCCCAGCATCAAACCCACCCAGGATTGAGTTAAGCATCTTCCAGCTTCGGCTACGAGGGGACCTGCCCGCCGCCAATACCCACCAGCTGTTTTCCCCAGCAGCAACAGAAGGAGCACGAGCGACGCTATTCCACATTTTTCGTTCATTTTTGCGTAGGTACTTCTGTTCTGTGTCTGCTTAGGTTTCGTTTAGACGTACGTGTGCGTTGTTACTTTTGTGCATTAATAAACCCTCGCCTGTAAGAGTGCTGACTGCCTTTGGATCCTTAAAAGAACTAGGCAAAAGACAACAACAACACCTGGGCAGGGCAACCAGCAAATCCCTGGATTCCCAAAGATGCTAGGTTGGTTCAGCTTTCCTACTGACGTGGGATTTCTGTTGGGGTCATTATCTGGGAGGCCAGTGCCACAAGAATGTGGACCGCCACAAAACTGCTGAGAAACAGCTTAGCAGGAACTGAGTAGCTGAAACAACTCCAGGTAAGGTGCAAGGAGGGCTCTTGACGTACAGTAAGAAAATAGGATTGAGTAAGGGTTTTCAAGGGATGCGGGTGGCACTGCGGGTTAAACCACAGAGCCTAGGACTTGCCGATCAGATGGTCGGCGGTTCAAATCCTGCGACGGGGTAAGCTCCTGTTGCTTGGTCCCTGCTCCTGCCAACCTAGCAGTTCGAAAGCACGTCAAAGTGCAAGTAGATAAATAGGTACCACTCCGGCAGGAAGGTAAACGGCATTTCCGTGCGCTGCTCTGGTTCACCAGAAGCGGCTTAGTCATGCTGGCCACATGACCCGGAAGCTGTACAATGGCTCTCTCGGCCAGAAAAGCGAGATGAGCGCCGCAACCCCAGTATCGGTCACGACTGGACCTAATGGTCAGGGGTCCCGTTACCTTTATTACAGCATTATGTTACAAGCACAAACAGGCAACCCTGGATATCAGTTGCCTACTCGTGACTGTCAGTATGCCTTTCAACCCATGTCAGCGACTGGGCTCGGTAACTGGTTCTGCCCTGACTGGGCTAGGTGACTGGAGCACTTTCAGAGACCCTCCAATCCTGGAAAGCAGGTCTCAGTGCACTGGACTCACAACTGTGCATTGTGAGCACCAGACTCAGCAGAGTATACCGTATTTTTCGCTCCGTAAGACACACCTTTTTCTTCCTAAATAGTAAGGGGAAATGTCTGTGCGTCTTATGGAGCGAATTTGTGGTCCCTGGAGCCGAATAGCCCAGGGGCAAAAAGCAGATCATGCTTTTTTTTAAAGAGGGAAGTGGGTGTTGAAACAAAGCCACTGATCGTTTGCCGATCGGGGAGAGAGATAAGGGACGCTAGAGATAAAGGAGGCTGCCTGGGAGGCGGGAGGTAAAGACAGCAAACTTGCAAAGGGGGAAAACAGGGAGAGAAATTAGAAGAAAAGGAGGAGCAAAAAACTCCAGCTCCAGCTAAGGAAAAGACACTAAGGGGAAAGACACTAAGAGGGATGGGAGTGTTGAAAGGAAACAGCTGATCAGTGGGATCGGAAGAGAGATAAGGGATGCTAGCAGAGGCTGCCTGGGAGGGGGGGGAGGTAAAAGCCCATGGATCCTCAGGATTTTTACATTGGGTCACCCCAAATTCACCATCAGATCACAAAGCATGTCCATGGCTACAGCCTGCACCAAAAAAATCACGCACCCACTGTTGCGTGGGGCCGCAATGGTGCAAAAACGTGGTTACAAAGCACGGATCCACATGGAGCCTCAGGATTTTTGCATTGGGCTACCCCAAACTCACCATCAGATCACATGTCTGTGGCTACAGCATGAACCACAAAAATCATACACCCACTGTTTCATTCAGAATATTTTTTTTCTTGTTTTCCTCCTCTAAAAACTAGGTGTGTCTTATGGTCAGGTGTGTCTTATGGAGCGAAAAATACGGTAAATAACGTGGAAGCTAGCTGCGAAGCATAACTCCTTTTATTTCTAATAGCTACTACAAACTAACGAACTACTGGCTTGCATGAGTGTTACATCTCCCACTCAGCCATCTAGTCACTACATAGATAAGACACTCTCCGCACACAGTCAGGCAGTCAGTCAGGAGCGGAAGAGTAGAAGAGCAGTTTCCACCCCCTCCTTTCTCAAAACATCAGATCAGGAGATTCTTGCAATGGAAGGGGGGTGAAAATATCAACAGTGACTCCTGCCCACTTCCGCAGCAAGAAGCACGCCAACGACAAGTCCCTCCCCACCACGTCTCCTTTATTCTCTGACACGCTCGAACCTCCGAGTTCAGGGGGAGGGAGGGGGTTCCTCCGTACTCTCAATTGATGTATTGCCCAGCTGCTCCCTCCCTTCTGGTTGCTTAGCTACTATCTAATAGCTGAGTAGCTCCTCCCTCAACTGTGCAGCTTCTGTGTCTGCCTGTCTCTCTGCTTCTGAAAACGCTAGAAGCAGGGCTTGGAGACCCCAGCCTATGGAATTGTATCAATCCTTCTGTTATTCATGTTTGATCATGGCACGGGAGTTTGTCTTCATATTGATCAGTGGCGCATGCATTTTAACATCCCGTGACAGGCGGCACGCCCCACCTCCTCCCTGGGCGCCGCAATTTAATTCTGCAGTTCAGCAATGAAGAGAGACGGCTTTCGCCACTCACCGGTCATTGCTTCATGACACAGAGGGAATCGGGCCAAGCGAGTTGTTCCATCATCCATGCAATTAGCAAAAAAATTCTTTTCTAATTAGGGCAATGAGGGGGAGGATTTACCCAGGTTGAGAGTGCAGCAAGGGCAAAGGGATTTTATATATATATATATATATATATATATATATATATATATATATTCTCAATGACAAATCTAGACAACATCTTAAAAAGCAGAGATATCACCTTGCCGACAAAGGTCCGTATAGTTAAAGCTATGGTTTTCCCAGTAGTGATGTATGGAAGTGAGAGCTGGACCATAAAGAAGGCTGATCGCCAAAGAATGGATGCTTTTGAATTATGGTGCTGGAGGAGACTCTTGAGAGTCCCATGGACTGCAAGAAGATCAAACCTCTCCATTCTTAAGGAAATCAGCCCTGAGTGCTCACTGGAAGGACAGATCCTGAAGCTGAGGCTCCAAGCCTTTGGCCACCTCATGAGAAGAGAAGACTCCTGGAAAAGACCCTGATGTTGGGGAAGATGGAGGGCACAAGGAGAAGGGGACGACAGAGGACCGAGATGGTTGGACAGTGTTCTCGAAGCTACCAGCATGAGTTTGACCAAACTGCGGGAGGCAGTGGAAGACAGGAGTGCCTGGCGTGCTCTGGTCCAGGGGGTCACGAAGAGTCGGGCACGACTAAATGACTAAACAACAACAATACACACACACACACCACCTTTCTGCCAGCTCCTGATCCAGATTAGTGGATCTAGTCCCGTGCATTGACACAAGGTAACACACAAGTAATGCCTTGCCAGTAATAATGTTTATTGCTATAAAATTAGAAGCTCCATATAACAAGAAAATGAAACACAGAATTGTAGAGTTGGAAAGGGACCCCGAGGGTCATCTAGTCCAACCCGCTTCAATGCAGGAATCTCAGCAAAAGCATCCATGACAGACAGGCATCCAAGAAACCTTAGAAACCTCCAAGGAAGGAGAGTCCGCAATCTCCCGAAGATGGCTATCACTGACTGTGAGAAAGAATGTTCCTTTGCTGCCCTTCTCCAGCGGTGGCTGAAGTCAGGAAAGGGATTTAAGCATCTAAAAAGGCCTGTCTGGTCTAGCAGCCTTTCCCCACTGTGGCCACTCCGGTGCTCATTTTGGGAATTTCTCCAGCAGGATCTGAGCGTGACAGCGACTCTCCTCGTTTGCGATTCTCAGAAACTGATGTTCAGAGGCAATCTGCCTCCGATACGGTGTGTCTGTGTGTGTGTGTGTGTGTGTGTGTGTGTGTGTAACGTAGCCTTAGTCAACATAGCCTTAACTACCAGGAGCAAGTTACAGAAATGCAGGCATGCGGATCCAGTGTGGGCGTGAAAAAGCTTAGGGTGCTACAGAGCTAAGGGTCCACGGGAAACAGTCAGTGGGGGGAGGCGGAGGCGGAGGGGGGGAGGACCGGCTGACTTCCATTCCCAGGTGTTGCGGTTGTATTGCAATGCACGGTGTCTGTCTCATTGCGGAGCGGGCCAAACATCCCAGGTCTTGGGGTCGGGGGCTCTTCCTTCCTACTTTCCCGTATCCACTTTTTCCACCAGGCTTTAGCGACCCGTGCACCCTGATAGACAAAAGATGCCGAGAATTAAGAGGGAAGGTAAGAGGCAGAATGGGTTCCCTCCGCCAGGTTCTCCCAGGAAACCCATAGTTGGAATCAGAATTCCATACAGTGAATTTAATAATAATAATAATATAATAATACAGCCATACCTCGGGTTGCGAACGCTGCAGGTTGAGCATTTTTGGGTTACAGACCACGCCAAACCTGGAAGTACCAGAACAGGTTACTTCGGGTTTCGGCACTTGTGCATGCGCAGAAACACAAAATGGCATCATGCACGTGCGCAGACATGGCACTACAGGTCGTGAACGTGCCTCCCGCACAGATCACGTTCGCAACCCCGAGGTATGACTGTAATAAATTTTTATTTATACCCTGCCCTCCCTGGCCAGGGCCGGGCTCAGGGCGGCTAACACCAAATATAAAGTACAATAAAACGTAATAGAAAAAAAGGGAAAAGAAACAGTTAACTAAAATACAGCTTAAAATGCAGCCTCGTTTTAGAAGTAGCCCATAAATCAAGACCATAAAGGGAGGAAACCTCAGATATTCACCAGAGCCAGCTATCCATGCTGGTCCTACTTGGGCCAGCAAAAAAGCCAAGGGAAAATTTATATACCAACTCAACTCGCCGTGTTTGGAGGAGGAGGAATCCCAAGGATCCCTGCCTAGGATCCCAAGAACACCATCCCCACCGTCAAACATGGAGTGGGACAAAATACCTCCTGAGATGTGTGCAAACCTGGTGGCCACCTACAAGAAACATCTGACCTCTGTCATTGCCAACAAGGGTTTTGCCACCAAGTACTAAGTCATGTTTTGCAAAGGGATCAAATACTTATTTCACTCATTATAATGCACATCAATCTCTGACTTTCGTCTTCTGGGTTTCTGTGGGTTTTCGTGTTATTATTCTATGTCTCTCACAGCTACAATAAACCTACCATTAAAATTACGGGCTGGTCATTTCTTCGTCAGAGGGCAGACGGGCAAATTTAGCAGGGGATCAAATACTTTCCCCCCTCGCTGTACCATGCCCACAACCAAAATGCCACAAATAACAGGACCCTATTCCCGGACCACGATGGCACTTTGGAAACGAACCCACAGATTTTCATCATTGAAAGATGTCCACCATCTGCTCTAATTGTTCTTTTTTCAGCCTTTTGCTGTGTTGAACAGCAAAGCCCGATCGGTAAAAATATTGCTACATGTCACGCCGAACTCTGAGTGGTCCAAGATGCCGCCATCTCCCTTGGAGAGATCGTAATAATAATAATAATAATTTATTATTTGTACCCTGCCCATCTCTGGGCGGCTTCCAACAAAGATTAAAAATACATCAAAATGTCACACATTAAAAACTTCTCTGAAGAGGGCTGCCTTCAGATGTTTTCTAAATGTCAGGTAGTTGCTTATCTCTTTGACATCTGGTGGGATGGCGTTCCACAGGGCGGGCGCCACCACCGAGAAGGCCCTCTGCCTGGTTCCCTGTAGCTTTGCTTCTCGCAGTGAGGGAACCACCAGAAGTCCCTCTGTGCTGGACCTCAGCGTCCGGGCAGAATGATGGGGGTGGAGGTAAGAAGGTAAGAGGCTGCTGGATCAAGCCAATGGCCCATTTAGTCCAGCATCCTGTTCTCACAGTGGCCACCCAGATGCCTGTGGGAAGCCAAAAACCAGGATCCGAACACAAGATCCCTCAACCCTCCTTTGGTCTCCAGCAACTGGGATTCAGAAACGTTTTGCTTCCGATTGTGGAGGTAGAGCCGAGCCGTCATGGCTAGCAACCACCGATAGCCGAGATCTTAACCCCGAAGTCTCTCCTTCAGATACATCGCCAAGACTTACTTGCTGGCGCTCAAGGTGGGCTTCTTCCTTCTCAGGTGCATCTTCCGAAGTTGGTCCTCCTTCTGTGGCCGGCACTTCAGCCTCAGAGATGGCAGACACCACCAGGGTGACGCCGACAATCAGGAAAAGCAACCACGGACCTCGCATCATTCCTGGGATGTGTGCTTCGGTGGCTGAGCGTCTTGTCTTCTGAGAACAAGGCACGTCCTGAGCGCTTTTTAAGGCACTGCTCTGGACTTCCCGCAGGAAATTCCTTCTTCGGGGAGACGAGCAGGAAACGGGCTTTGCATGCAACCTGTCAAAATCTACATTTCCCGGAGTTTACCCAACCAGGTTGCCTCACCAGCTAACAGCAGCCACTTCCTGGCCCAGCCCATTTTGCAACCTGTGTTTTGCTCAAGCCTTTGTTCACTTTAGTTGCGGTTACACCCAAACTTTCCCCCAAGAAACTACATGGCTTTCCTCTGCCAACTTTTTCCTCCCTGCAAAGTAGGTTAAGGTAAAGGTAAAGGACCATTAGGTCCAGTCGTGGCCGACTCTGGGGTTGCGGCGCTCATCTCGCTTTATTGGCCGAGGGAGCTGGCATACAGCTTCCGGGTCATGTGGCCAGCATAACTAAGCCGCTTCTGGCGAACCAGAGCAGCGCACGGAAACGCCGTTTACCTTCCCACCGGAGCGGTACCTATTTATCTACTTGCACTTTGATGTGCTTTCGAACTGCTAGGTTGGCAGGAGCAGGGACCGAGCAACGGGAGCTCACCCTGTCGCAGGGATTCGAACCGCCGACCTTCTGATCGGCAGGTCCTAGGCTCTGTGGTTTAACCCACAGCGCCACCCGCGTCCCCTGCAAAGTAGGTTAGGCTGAGAAAATATTTGGAGAGGTGCTGTCCCTATGACTCTGGCCAAACAATAAAGCTGTAGAACAAGTTGTTCTTCAGTGCTTGGCCTTATTCTGTCACTACTCCAGAAATATACTGGATGCTGCAATCGGCTTCTTGCCACTTTGCTGCTTAGTAGAAATCCTGTTATAATATACAGTGGAACCTCGGCTCCCGAACCCCTTGGGAGCCGAACGTTCTGGCTCCCGCACGAACGAAAACCGGAAGTAATTGTTCTGGTTTTCGAACGTGATTTGGAAGCCTAACCCCTGGCACGGCTTCCGATTGGCTTCAGGAAGCTGCTGCAGCCAATCAGAAGCCACGCCTTGGCTCCCAAACTGTTTCGGGAATCGAACAGACCCCGGAAAGGATTAAGTTTGGGAACAAAGGTTCCACTGTACAAGGTGGCCAAATTTTGTGCAGCAGCAATCAAAACACGACATGCAACGTTTAGCTCCCAGGATTAGTAGAATATATATCGACCGATGGGAAACTTCTAGGTCAGAAGAGTTTCCTTTCTGGAAAGATAAATGACCCCCTAGAACTGTGAGTTTTTTATGTATATGCAATGTTATATCATTTTATCTTGTCCTGGGCTTTTAAATTTTGTAATCAGTGAGAGCTGGACCATAAAGCAGACTGATCACTGAAGAATTGATGCTTTTGAATTATGGTGCTGGAGGAGACTCTTGAGAGTCCCATGGACTGCAACAAGATCAAACCTATCCATTCTGAAGGAAATCAGCCCTGAGTGCTCACTGGAAGGACAGATCCTGAAGATGAGACTCCAAGACTTTGGCCACCTCATGAGAAGAGAAGACTCCCTGGAAAAGACCCTGATGTTGGGAAAGATGGAGGGCACAAGGAGAAGGGGATGGCAGAGGACGAGATGGGTGGACAGTGTTCTCGAAGCTACGAAAATGAGTCTGACCAAACTGCGGGAGGCAGCGGAAGACAGGAGTGCCTGGCGTGCTCTAGTCCAGGGGGTCACAAAGAGTCGGACACGACTAAACAACTAAACAACAACAACAATCGGTGCTTTCATCTTGATACTGGTCATTGACCTTACTTAATAAAATGACTTGATCTGAGAGGCAAATGGGAATCTTGGCTCAGCCACACCTTCACCTGCCAGACAGAATGTCTGCCTGATATCTTGTGGCTCAATGGACTGACTGGCAGGCCTAATCCAGCTTCCCAAAATTATTCTTCTCTCCAGAAAAATTCCATGCACGAAATACTGTGTCAGATGGTGCATCTCCCAGGTGGGTTTTTAATTTAATCACCCAGGAACGTGAAAGAAAATACAAGGCACTGCGGATTATCTATAGAACATTTTATTATTTTTTTAAAAAACCTCTGCACGACTGGAGGCGAATCGATTAAAGAACAGGAAGATGGCCACAAGGAGTGGCATCGACTTTTCAAAGTTGGGAGCAGACGGGCGGATCTGAAAACATGTCGGAATGAAATATTAACATCCCAGGCGGCAATGCCAGAGAGGTTGTTATTTTAGCAACCCACAAGGAAGTGGCCTGGCCACAAAACTGTTCCAGGAGACACCTGCTGCCTTGCCCCGTGTCGGATGTGCTCAGAACTGGTTGGTCTGTGGCTCTGCAGACTTATGCTAAAGTGGGACTGCCACTCAGGTGATGTTTTGCAAGCAGATAGCAGCAAGAACAACTTATCTATAGGGGTTAGAGATCTGGGGTACAGGACAGGGCCTTTCCAACCACAACCACTTACAGAACTGTGGGTCTTGGCCACAAGAGGCAGCCCAGTGCCTTAAGGCCTGGTTCCCCCTGGAAAAACCCTGACACACTCCCCGATCACAGCCAATAATTCCCGCAAGGGAGGGCTCCTGGGCTGGATTTTCAAAGCAATCTTGCTCTTTTGCCAAGCCTCAAATTCTCCACCCGAAATCTCGTGCCACAAACTGCAAGGGTCTTCGCTTAGGCTGCGGCACGCACAGGACTGGAGGAAGGAGGGGGGGTCCTGTGTCAGCCAAGAGCACGAGGGTCTCGTGTTTCTTTCGCATAGCCGTCAACGTTTCCCTTTTTTTAAGGGAATTTCCCTTATTCCAAATAGGATTCCTCGCAAGAAAAGGGAAAAGTTGACAGCTATGTTCTTTCGCAAGGTCGAGGCGTGGCATTACTGGTAGGGAACTGCCTTCGAGAGAAGATTATTGGCAAATGCGCCGGGGACTTCCTATGGAAACTTTGCAAAGAGCTTTCTGTTGCATTTCTGGGTGTCTCCTGCAGCGCCACACTTCACAGCTGCTGGGCTGGGGATTTTGAAGCCTTTGAAACACAGGTACACATGGAAAATCTGTGCTAGATCTAACTACAGGCCCATCAGCAGTTGCCAGAGGCGAGCTTGTTTGCAGAATCCAGGGTCCTTGCCCTGAGACCAACTCCCTTTGATATATGGATAAGCTACATTCAAGTCAGCCTCTTCCCCAACATGACTTTCTGGGACACTTCAAGGAAGTCTGCCAAGCATACTGGAATTGGCCTGCAAGAGACAGAGGACTCTCTAAACACCTGTGTGCTTTTGCATTATGAAAATCCAAGAGGGAGAATTTCCTATTTCATTTAATACGCAGCATTTCATGTTATGATTTTTTTTGGGGATGGGTGAGGTTTTCCCTGGGTCCTCTTCAGATATGTCTGTTGTACTGCAGGTATCCACAGGGACACAGTTCTGTAAGCGATTGTGACCCACTTCTGCAGGCTCCTACTTTTGGCCATCTTCCTGGTTCTCCCTTGCATGAGAAAAGTCCTCTGCCCCACTCGTTTGCTTGCCAGGAACACCCCCAAGCAAAAGCCTGCCTGGAGAAGACGTAAACACCAGGCAAGCCCTTGCATTCTGCCGATTTGTGTCAAGCGTGTTTCGTCCCCTCGTTCCACAGCCCTGCATCCAGCACAGAGCCAGAGAAGCTTCGCACTAGGGCAACCAAGGGCAAAGGAGAGCCTGCCGGACAGGCCGCCTCAGTCCGAATCGCTTCCCTCCTGCTTTGCTGAGTCAACCGCTGACGCCAGATCTTCCTCCTGGCCTCTTAGCCTCTCTCCTGCGAGGGAAACAGAAACACCACTCAGCAACTGTTGTCCACAGTAAACCACACCACATAGTAGTAGTAGTAGTAGTAGTAGTAGTAGTAATAGTAGTAGTAGTAATAGTAATAATTTATTATTTGTACCCCACCCATCTGGCTGGGCTTCCCTAGCCACTCTGGGCGGCTTCCAACAAAGATTAAAAATACATTAAAATGTCACACATTAAAAACTTCCCTGAACAGGGCTGCCTTCAGATGTCTTCTAAATGTCAGGTAGTTGTTTATCTCTTTGACATCTGATGGGAGGGCGTTCCACAGGGCGGGTGCCACTACCGAGAAGGCCCTCTGCCTCATTCCCTGTAGCTTGGCTTCTCACAGGGAGGGAACCACCAGAAGGCCCATGGAGCTGGACCTCAGCGTCCGGGCAGAACGATGGGCATGGAGATGCTCCTTCAGGTATACTGGGCCGAGGCCATTTAGGGCTTTAAAGGTCAACACCAACACTTTGAATTGTGCTTGGAAACGTACTGGGAGCCAATGTAGGTCTTTCAGGACCAGTGACGTTAACTCTTTCTTAGAAATACAGGATCTGCACAGGAGTGCCTGCCTTTGCTCCTCCCACTTCACGCCTCTCCTGGTCCTGTGACACATGGGGAGCTTGTTGCAGCAGCAGGAGGAGGCATCGTGGCTTCTTTGCCAACCTGACTCATCTCTGCCTCTTGGCCTGCCAAGAATCCACATTTGGAATTCAAGCTGAGCTAGGTTTCCCTGGGGAAGGGCTGCAACTCAGAGCATCTGTCCTGTAAGGAGCAGGTCCCAGATTCAACCCCTGCTGGCATCTCCAGGTAGGGCTGGAAGAAACACTTGCCTGAAATCCTGGAGAGCAGCTGCCAGCCAGTGTAGACCAAACTGGGCTAGATGGACCAGCCGTCAGGCTCGGTATAAGGCGGCTTCCTATGGAATGGGGCAGGGACACCAGGATGACAAGGGGAGGCGCAGAGGGCTGAGCGAAAGCCAAAACTAGATGGCGAAGGGACCTGTGGGATGCTCATCACTGCAATGGATGCCTCCAGCACTGCTTCACACATTTCCCCGCAGACTCTCACTCACTTATTAGCTCGGCTATCGCCCTCTGGGTTCGCTTCTCCAGCTTCTCCAGTTTCTTAGCCACGTCCCTCTTCAAGTCCCTGAGGAGTGAGGGAAATGGAAACAAAATGAGCCCAGGCCCAAGGAGGAGACAGGGAGGCCAAGGCCCTGAAGGGCACCTATCTGGCCTCAGGATTACAAGTTCCTTTGGCAACGTAGCAGTAGTACCTGCGAGGAAATCAGAAGAGGACTAGGGTTCCTTCTGGGCTAGGCTGGGCGGCTGTGAAGAACGGAAAACCCCTTCAGTAGAAAGGAGAAGGAAACGGTTGGGCTGAATTGTCAGTCCCTTGAGGAAATATTTTGATTTATATGACACACTTGATTAACCAAAGTGCCCAGGGCAAAGAACTGCACTATAAAATCCGGGTGCAAAATAAATGAACACCCAGAGCTATTATGTACAGAAACATGGAAGTCCAGAGTCCACATCAAGGGAAGTTATAGTACCACTCTGTTCCACCATGGTCAAACCACACCAGGAACTGGGTCCACTTCTGGGTACCACAATTTAAGAAGGATGCTGACAAGTTGGAACGTGCGCAGAGGAGGGTGACCAAGATAATAATAATAATAATAATTTATTATTTATACCCCACCCAGCAGCTTCCGACAAAATATTAAAATACAATAACCTATTAAACATTAAAAGCTTCCCTAAACAGGGCTGCCTTCAGATGTCTTCTAATAGTTTGGTAGTTATTTTTCTCTTTGACATCTGGTGGGAGGGCGTTCCACACGGCAGGCGCCACCACCGAGGCGGCCCTCTGCCTGGTTCCCTGTAACTTGGCTTCTCGCAATGAGGGAACCGCCAGAAGGCCCTCGGAGCTGGACCTCAGTGTCCGGGCAGAACAGTGGGGGTGGAGTAGCTCCTTCAGGTATCCTGGGCCGAGGCCGTTTAGGGCTTTAAAGGTCAGCACTAACACTTTGAATTGTGCTCGGAAATGTACTGGGAGCCAGTGTAGATGATCAGGGGCCTGGAAACCAAGCCTTATGAGGAGGTGACTATGTTTAGCCACCTTCAAATATCTGAGGGGCTGTCATGGAAGATGGAGCGAGCTCTGGAGGCAAGGACCGGAAGCATGGATTCAAACGTGACTCCAACTAATCATCAGGAAGAACTTTCTGACAGTAAGAGGACTCAAAAGTGGAACGGACTCCCTCAGAAGGTGCTGGGCTCTCCTTCATTTGAAGGTTTCCAAACAGAGGTTTGATAGCTATCTGCCAGAGATTCTTTAATTGCGCTTCCTGGGGGGCTGGACTAGATGCCCCTTGGGGTTCCCCTTCCAGCTCTACAATCTCATGCTTCTATTAAAATGGCACAAACCCGCAAAGCACTGTGTGAAGAAGTACTTTCTCTGTCTCTTCTGAATCTTCCAGTGGCACTTGGGGTAGGTTTCTAATCCAACCCCCCTTTAATTATGTTGTGGAGGAGGATCTTATTGGTTTGTTCTTACTCTTATTTTTATTATGTATTTGGTGTTTTTAATATTGTATTTTTATGTTGTGAGCCACCCGGAGATCCACAGGTGAAGGGCAGTACACTAATATTAATACAGTGGTACCTCAGGTTAAGAACTTAATTTGTTCCGGAGGTCCGTTCTTAACCTGAAACTGTTTTTAACCTGAAGACCACTTTAGCTAATGGGGCCTCCTGCTGCTGCCGCACCGCCAGAGCACAATTTATGTTCTCATCCTGAAGCAAAGTTCTTAACCTGAGGTAATATTTCTGGGTTAGCGGAGTCTGTAACCTGAAGCCTCTGTAGCCCAAGGTACCACTGTACTACTAATAATATAAAAGCTAAGCAACCTTGCAGGCATTTTATCCCCAAATAATTTGTGCAGTCGCCCCGCAAACGCCATTCAGAGCTTCACACTCACCAGTCAGGTTTCCTGGGCGCAAGATTTGCCAAGTCCTGGGAAAGTGGAGAGGGGAGGAACACAAAAGAATCCCTCGTTAAGAGCCACCACTAATCAGCTTTGTAACAAAACAGGCGGGGTTTTTAAAAACAGTTTCATTTGAAGCACCAAAAATTCCAAGACATACCACTTCTTCGATGATGGGCTCGGGCTTCGCAGCCTCCAGCTGCTCTTTCACCTTGTCTTCCACTAGGGGGCAGAAGGAGACAGAAAGATGTTGCAGCGATATTAGCAAAGGTAGGAAAGATGGGGGGGGGGGGCTTGCAGGGACAGTTAAGGTCCACTGAAGGTCGCAGAGGGAGAGAAGTTCTCTGGGAGTCCCTGGCGGAAGCATGAGATAAACAACATGCATGCTGGAGAGCACAACGATGCCCTCTCCAGATGTTTTGGACATCAGCAGGGCCAATGGGTGGTGCTGTGGGTTAAACCACAGAACCTAGGACTTGCTGATCAGAAGGTCGGCGGTTCGAATCCCCGCAACGGGGTGAGCTCCCGTTGCTCAGACCCTGCTCCTGCCAACCTAGCAGTTCGAAAGCACGTCAAAGTGCAAGTAGATAAATAGGTACCACTCCGGTGGGAAGGTAAACAGCGTTTCCGCGCGCTGCTCTGGTTCGCCAGAAGCGGCTTAGTCCTGCTGGCCACATGACCCGGAAGCTGTACCCCGGCTCCCTCGGCCAATAAAGCCAGATGAGCGCCGCAACCCCAGAGTCGGCCACGACTGGACCTAATGGTCAGGAGTCCTTTTACCTTTAGGGCCAATGGGGGTTGTAGTCCAAAACACCTGGAGAGGGCACCAGGTTGGCCAACGCTGGCCTAGTCATTAAGAACCTCAACTGGAATCCCTCCCTGATCAGATGAACCGAGGGCGCAAACTTCAGCTGCCACGGCAAGACTCAAGTAGCTCAGTCGGCAGAGAGTAAGACTCTTAATCTCAGGGTCGCAGGTTAGAACCCCACAATGGTGGGTCAGACTAGATGACCCTTGTGGCCCCTTCCAACTCTAAGTCTCTAAGACACTAAGATTTCTGCCAGAGGACCCTAGTTCTCCAGCGGTACTACAATTCCCAAAACGCCTTGGGGGAAAGACACAAAAAGCCAGTTGGCGGGTGAGACACAGGTGTACCCTTAATTCCCATGTTCAGAAAAGGAAGGACCAATCCTCAAATATGTCTGGCAGGGCCCTCGTGAAGTGCTTTGATCACTTCTGCAAGCTTATCTGTTCTGGTTCATAGTGTCTTCTTCCTCCCCAAGGTCAGGTTAGAAGCAACTCTGCAGAGACGCAGTCCTTGTTTTGGACAGGGTCAGCCAAATTCCTGAATGAGAAGTCTAATCAATGGCAAAGAATGTAAACAGAGCCTTCTGGATGTATGCCAATGGCAAGTGATATTCAGAAGCATCAGTGCCTCTGACAGTGGAGGCAGAGAATCGTCATCAATAGCCCTCTCCTCCGCCATGAATTTGCCCAACGCTCTTTTAAAGCCATCTAGGTTGGTGGTCTTCATTGCCTCCTGCAACAGCAAATTTCATAGCTTAGCTAAACTCGGTCTGAAGGACTTCCTTGGATCTGCCTGGAGAACTACCGTATTTTTCGCTCCGTAAGACACACTTTTCCCCTCCTAAAAAGTAAGGGGAGATGTGTGTGTGTCTTATGGAGCGAATGCAGGGGGGAGGCAGGCTGGAAAAGCCCCCAAGAGCCGCACACAAGCTCCGTGCGGCTGTTGCGGGCTTTTCCCCAGGAGGGAGAAGGGACTGACGTGGCCAGTCAGTCCCTTCTCCCTCCTCGTAGAAAAGCCCACAGGAGCCGTGCGCTCCTTAAAGGGTGCGCGGCTCCTGTGGGCTTTTGCGGGAGGTGGGGGAATTGCCATAGCCATGCGCAGCCCCTCCAGCTGGGAGAGGCTGCGTGCAGCTATGGCAGAAGCCAAGACAGCAAGCGAGATAGATCCTGCTCGCTGTCTTGGCTTCTTTGCTCTTTGGGGCTGGGGGGGGGGACCCGGGCTTCCCCCGGCAGCCCCAGAACCTCTGGGAGAAGCGGACAGGCTGCGTGAAGAATGTTCGCTGCTCTTTGGGGCGGGGGGGAGATAAGATTTTTTTTCTTGATTTCCCCTCTAAAAACTAGGTGCGCCTTATGGTCCAGTGCGCCTTATGGAGCGAAAATACTGTACGTAGGAGTTTCTTGCTATGTGCCTTGAGAACCAAACAGGAGTGTCTTTTGCTGCCTGCAAACAACTGATATTTGAGAGGCAAGGAGAAATTCTTCCTATGTGTGTTCTCTTTTATTCTTACTTATTGTGTTTATATCCCACCTTTTTCCTCCAAGGAGCTCAACGTAGTGTGCAGGGTTTGCCCCCTCCTCATCTTATCCTCGCAACGACCCTGCGAGATCGGCTATGAGACTGGGGCTGGCCCAAGGTCAGTAGGGATTTGAACTCTGGTCTCCCGGGTCCTAGCCCAACACTCGACAACTTCTACACTAAACTGACTCTCTTTGTGGGCTTCCCAAGAAGGCACCTGGTTGGCCGATGTTGCAAGAAAGATGCTGTGGTCCGTTTCAGAAGAGGTTCTGGATGCCCACTCACCTGAGGCGGGCTTCGCTTTGGGCACCACCCGCCCCTTGAGTTCTTCGTCTTCCGGAGTGTAATTCCGCAACTTGAGCTCCCTGGAAAGAGGAAAGAAGAAAAGAGGGAAGCTTCAGTCTGATGTCGCACACGGCTACCCATCAGCCTCCAACAAAGGCCACTCGCTTGGTGTCCAGCAAAGAGCGGCTTGTTCTGCCTGGCAGGGGTAGTTTTGAGGGTGAGAGAATGGCAATGGGCTCCTAGGAAGGAGAAGCTTTGCCTGGTGCTTGACTAAGGAGCAGCAGGCCGAAAGCAAGGATTGTTCAGGGCCCAAGCAGGTACCGTATTTTTCGCTCTATAGGACGTACCGGACCATAGGAGGGGAGAACAGGGAGGAAAAATTCTCCCCTCTCTGCGCAGCGCTCCTTCAGCGGAGCGGCAGGAGAAACGGAGCCCCTTCCATTTCTCCTCCCGCTTTGCTGAAGGGGCATTGCGCAGAGAGGGGAAACTGTGCAGCGCCTCTCCAGTGAAGCGAAGCCTGGAGAGCAAGAGGGATCGGTGTGCACCGACCCCTCTTGCTCTCCAGGCTTCAGGCGGCTATCCGCAAGCCTTCGGAGCGCAGCGGGAACTCCTGCTGAGCTCCAAAGGCTTGCGGATAGCTGCCTGAATTGCCCGGAGCACAGTGGGAACTCCCACTGCGCTCCGGGGGCTTCAGGCGGCTTCAGCGAAAGCAACGCGAAGCCTCTGGAGCGCGGGGGAAGCGCTCCCTCTGTGCTTCAGAGGCTTCACGTTGCTATCGCTGAAGCCAAGGAGCCTGTATTCGCTCCATAAGACGCACACACATTTCCCCTTAATTTTTGAAGGGGGGAAAGTGTGTCTTATAGAGCGAAAAATACGGTATTTGCATGGGGTGTCCTGGACTGGCTGGCTGTAGAGGAGTGGAAGAAGGCATCAGCTGGGGAATCCCCAAGGGAAGAAAGCTCAGAAGCAGAGGGTTGGTGGTGGGATGAAGATGGGCAGAAGGAGCGTGATGGCGTGCAGCAACAACAGGGAATAAGACTGACAGACAAGGACAGGAAGAAACATCGTGGACAGAATAAATGTCACACACGGAAAACAATGATACAGTATGAGATCTTCACTTGCAGTCTTATAAATTACAGAGCCAGTGTGGTGTAGTGGTTAAGAGCGGTGGACTCGTAATCTGGTGAACCGGGTTCGCGTCTCCGCTCCTCCACATGCAGCTGCTGGGTGACCTTGGGCTAGTCACACTTCTCTGATGTCTCTCAGCCTCACTCACCTCACAGAGTGTTTGTTGTGTGGGAGGGAGGGAAAGGAGATTGTTAGCCGCTTTGAGACTCCTTCGGGTAGTGATAAAGGGGATATCAAATCCAAACTCTTCTTCTTCTAATGAGGGAGCGGACTGGGAAGAGGAGGTGTCGGAAGCTGAAGGGGCAACAGGGTTAAGTGGGAAGAAAGAAGCTGGGGCAAAGTGTTAAAATTCCTGCTCCGTGGTTGCAGCTATGGGATTGTTGTCTATCACATGACGGTGTATGTTTTGACTCCACAGAGTGGGAAGTGACGGAGACAGGATGTTTGTGTTACTGTGTTCCGTGAAGGGGGACTGTTGTCCTTTGTTCTTTCTCTTTGCTGTCTGATGCTGGAGAGAGAGGGAGCCATGTTGCAGTGCTCCGTGTGTGTTTGTATGTAAATAAAGTAGAATAGCCAAAATGCTGAGTTGATGAGTTATTTTACGCAAACTGCAAAGACTCTGCGGGTCCCTAAGTGTGCCGATGCCTGTTGGCAATGGTCGCTGTGATGTTCGGGCTGAAGAAAGCTGAGAGCCATTTTGGTGTAGTGGTTAAGAGCAGTAGACTCGTAATCTGGTGAACCGGGTTTGCGTCTCCACTCCTCCACATGCAGCTGCTGGGTGACCTTGGGCCAGTCACACTTCTTTGAAGTCTCTCAGCCCCACTCACCTCACAGAGTGTTTGTTGTGGGGGAGGAAGAGAAAGGAGAATGTTAGCCGCTTTGAGACTCCTTCGGGTAGTGATAAAGCGGGATACCAAATCCAAACTCTTCTTCTTCTTTGAAGCTCCCAAATGAACGACCAGGTGGGAGAGAACATGCGAGTCGGGCACGTGTCTCTACCAGGGTCCTACTCGAGTGTAGGACGAGCTCCTGACACAAAGAAAAGTCCTGATGCAGAGGTTGGAAAGGAGTGGGGCCAGGAGACAGAGATGAGACTGGATGTAGCAACCCTGGATTTGGAGAGCTGGGAGAGATCTTGCCACTGAGCTTAGCTCTGTCTGTAGCAGGAGCTCAGAGCCTTACGGACAGGCAGTTTTCTGCCTCTGAGTTGGGAGGAGGTGGTGGCATAGAGAAGCAGAAAAGGAGGGAGCCCTGAAACCTGGGAGATCTTGTGCCGATGGACACAGAAACCAGCAAGAGGGGGACTTGAAAGCCAGACTGCGTTGCTGCGGCACAGACCCACATCCAACTATCAAACCCCTTCAGAAAGATGCCAGACAGCAGGAGGAGTGGGCTGCTTGTGCGTTTGGCAGACGTGTGGGGCAAAAATAAAAATTGGCTGGGGACTTGGGAGAGCATCTTTCTCTTCGTTGCTCTCCTTAGTGCAGTTGCTTAATCTTGCAGGGGACAAGCAAGGCGAGGAATGAAATGTTGCTAGGCAGCATCAGCACTTATTTGCTCAGGTTCCGCTCTTTTCTACCGCCTCTTTCAATGCCTGTTTCCTTAGAAGCGAGTCCCACAGAGTTCAACAGGATTTACCCCCTGTGGCCAAAACCTTCTCTCCAAGCAGAAACGATAACCGGTGGATAATTTCCAGGGTATGTGCAGTGAGCCAAACCTCTGGGTCTTTTTGGGCTGGCATTTTTTAATTTATTTATGGATTTATAAACTGCTTTCCAACAAACGTTGTCAAAGCAGTACACTGTGAACACACAAACATACAGACACACACAAACACACACAGAGAGAGAGAGAGAATATGTACAGTGGTACCTCGGGTTATGGGACGCGGGTGGCGCTGTGGGTAAAACCTCAGTGCCTAGGACTTGCCGATCGTATGGCCGGCGGTTCGAATCCCCGCGGCAGGGTAAGCTCCCGTCCTTCGGTCCCAGCTCCTGCCCACCTAGCAGTTCGAAAGCACCCCTAAGTGCAAGTAGATAAATAGGTACCGCTTTATAGCGGGAAGGTAAACGGCGTTTCTGTGCGCTGCGCTGGTGCTGGCTCGCCAGAGCAGCTTCGTCACGCTGGCCACGTGACCCGGAAGTGTCTGCGGACAGCGCTGGCTCCCGGCCTCTTAAGTGAGATGAGCGCACAACCCTAGAGTCGGACACGACTGGCCCGTACGGGCAGGGGTACCTTTACCTTTTTACCTCGGGTTAAGTACTTAATTCGTTCCGGAGGTCCGTACTTAACCTGAAACTGTTCTTAACCTGAAGCACCACTTTAGCTAATGGGGTCTCTTGCTGCCACCGGAGAACGATTTGTGTTCTCATCCTGAAGCAAAGTTCTTAACTTGAAGCACTATTTCTGGGTTAGTGGAGTCTGTAACCTGAAGCGTATGTAACCTGAAGCGTATGTAACCTGAGGTACCACTGTATATGCTTAGCAATTTAAGGCACACTGATGATGGAAGAGAGTTCTACCAGTGATGGTTAGCTAAGAAAATTAAACAGAGCCTCCATCTTCAGAGGCACTCTATATCTGAAAACCAGATTCTTAGCAGAAAGTAACTGAGGAGGGCCGAGGGAGAGAGGGAGGGAGAGAGAGAAATTAAGAAAGAAAGAAAGAAAGAAAGAAAGAAAGAAAGAGAGAGAGAGAGAGAGAAATGGAGGGAGATGCTCACAGTTTATCTAAAGGGAGGAAATAGGAGTAGGAGAGACAGAGAGCAGAATTAATAGACCTGAACACCCCAGAGAAATATGCAACAATGATTTTTAACCCTCCTATGCAATTGGGGTTATAACTAATCCCGGAGGCATATTGAAATATGCAAAGCATTCCACCTAGCCTGTGCAACGCATTTCCCCCACCAAAGCAGTTGGTGGTTCTGTGTTTCTTTTTAAATTCTTAGAGGGGAGAGGAAGACATTGGGGTCCATTAACATTCTGACTGAAGCAAACAACCAGTTTCATTTTGCATATCCAAGATAGCAGAGGTGAGTTTTAAATCATGGAGATTTATCTTCTTCTTTTTTTAAAAAAAAAAGGCTATTCCGCTGGGGCATGGTCATGTGTGTGCTATGCTCCAGGTGTGAGGTTTCTACCCACGCTACCGCACCACCGTGGATCCTATGCTCCTTGTGAGTAACCTACGTGCGGCATCTCAGCAAAGGATCGTCTCTGGGTCTAAATGCAGAGTTAAAAACGGGTTGTGCCGCTCGGCCTTTCGTTTAATTCCACAGAATCAGAGCAATGCCAGGTAGCCAGAAACCAGCCACACGATACTCCATGCCCCCCAGGAAACCGCTGGAGGCTTGTTACATTTCTCTAGCCTGTCTAAACGGACAGGTCTGAATCCCTTTAATTAACCACTAAATGCGAGGCTCTCGCAGACCTGCCACACGCAATTAGCAGCGCTGCCTCTTCCCGGCAAGAGACCTCCCAGGAGAGTCCTTTGGGAGTGCAGCCCGCAGTGTGGGGAGGAGGAGGGTGTTCAGGAGAGAAGCTCCCAATTCTGCGCTCAGGATCCATCCCTTGCCCCCGTCTCTGAAGACAGGGGATGGGAGTTGGTACCCGTTCTCCAGAGCTTGGCATCTTATTCCATTTCATGGGGACGTTTGTAAACCCCACTTGCATTTACAGTATCACAAGGAGGTATACTGGCAAACATCCCCTCTGGGAAGCTACGGAAATCTCCATCCCCGGATGTTGTTGTTGTTGTCTTAGAGAGAGAGAAGGGTGGAAAATGAAAAGAGATGAGTCAGTCGCCTTGTCAGGATGTTTTCATCCACAGGTCAGCTCAGACAACCCGAGCGTTTCTTCTCAGCTCAACATTTCAATAACCCTGTCTTGTGTTGTGGAACAGAGAAGGCACCGGCCGGCCTCTCTTGAGCTGCCCATTCTACAGTCTGCTCCAACCGTTAGCCTTAATCAGCAGAAACGGAAAATGCAATATCAAAGTCATTCATTATTCACCACCCTTGGGATCGCGTAACAAGCCGCCTCGCGGCTCGCTTACCTCGTATGCTGTTTTAACAGGAAAAGCAAGTTTCCCTGTTATAAACAAGCTGGTTTTTCCTTTCCGAGGGGGCCGTGTGTGTGTGTGTGTGCGTGTGTGTGTGTGTGTGTGTGTGTAGAACACACAGTCCAAAGCTCAGCTCCTGATTTGCAAGCAGGGAGCAAACACTGACCTCTACGCTAGACCACAGAGCCACGATACGGCTCAAATCCCAAACAGAGAGAGAGAGAGAGAGAGGATAAGCAGCAACTTACTTATGCTTTCCCATATCTTTCTCTTCACTGTCGCCTCGGAAATGCTTGAGCTCCGGTGCGCCATCATCTTTATTCTGTGGAGAGAAGCAGAGAAAGAGAGAGGGGGGAAATTAGGGGGGAGGAGAGCACCCATCAAGCCTGACGTTTCCCCAGTGCGAGACTTCAATGCTAAAAAAAACCCCAGGCCCGGTGCCTGAACTGCATGTAAATGATGCAGCAGGCCCAAGGTTCTTTGGTGTCTGGGCTTAATTTCATTTCGCTCCAGGCTGAATTCCCCACTGTGACTTGTGCGCACAAGAGAAATGGAAGGTGCGCAAACACACACAAGGCCAGCGAGGAGGGAAATGAATTAGATGTTTGGCGGGTGCTGGGACGTGCAGAGCAAGTTGTGCGTTTGGGGACTGCTGTGGTCCAAGCTGGATGAGCAAAGCGAGTAGAAAGCTGGCGCTGGGGGAGGGAGAGTTTGGCAGGGGGTGGCAGAGAACACACACACACACACACACACACGAGTCACATGAAAGCTGAACCTGTTTCCTGGAACGTGACGAATGCCAGGATAAACTGTGGCTCCTTCTGTACTCTGGTGCAGCTGCAACAAACACATAAGAGCGAAGGGCAAGGGGATTCATGGCTACATTGCATGCAGAGCTTTGCTGGGTTTGCGCCTTGCTTAGTGTCAGTACAGCTGAATGGGAATGTAGAATGAGATGGGGTTTTCAACAACAACAACTAGCCACCCACACAGCTGCAAAACAGGCACCCCCAAACTCGGCCCTCCAGATTTTTTGGGACTACAATTCCCATCATCCCTGACTGCTGGTCCTCTTAGCTAGGGATGATGGGAGTTGTAGTCCCAAAACAGATGGAGAGCCGAGTTTGGGGGTGCCTGCAGTAAAATACGAAAACATGTAGGAGCTCACAAAGAATAAGCAAACTGGAACAACTGGGTGCTCAACCCAACCATGTTTAAAGATTGACATTGACTGAGTAGCTTAAGCGTCAGGTCTTGTGGGTGGGGAGGGTAAAAAGAACCAAATAGAGTATTGTAGCACCTCGAAGACGTTTTTACGGCAAAACTGCCACAGGCTACAGTCCACTGGGAAGCTTCCAACAAAGATTAAAAATACATTAAAATGTCACACATTAAAAGCTTCTACGAACAGGGCTGCCTTCAGATGTCTTCTAAATATCAGGTAGTTTTTTTTTCTCTTTGACATCTGGTGGGAGGGCATTCCACAGGGTGGGCGCCACCACCGAGAAGGCCCTCTGCCTGGTTCCCTGTAGCTTTGCTTCTTGCAATGAGGGAACCACCAGAAGGCCCTTGGAGCTGGACCTCGGCGTCTGGGCGGAACAATGGGGGTGGAGACGCTCCTTCAGGTATACTGGACCGAGGCCGTATAGGGCTTTAGAGGTCAACACCAACACTTTGAATTGTGTATGCAAGGCCTGCTGTGATGTGCCCTTCAAATCCAGGAGGCGGGTGGTCCTTGCTTTCAGGTAGCCAGAAGGAAGACCCCGCACAGGGCACCAACCTGGCAAGGCGATGGAAGGCACAGAATTTAGAATTATCCTGGCACAGCCTGTTATCCCCGGGCAGAAAAATGCCATCTCGCTAGATAGAACAGAGCAAAACACATCATCCCATGTGTCAGTTTTGTGAGCCGTGCTTGGAACTTTGGGCATTCATCGGCGCAGCAGATCTGGCTCTCATTTCAGAAATGTTTCTGCCCAACTTCTGGTGTTTTTCCTCCCCCAATCCTTCCTTGCCCTTTCCAACTGCACTATTGGGTTTCGTCAGCCATCTGGGACCTTTTTATCAGGGTGGGGAATCGGTAAGCTGATTGTTGCGTTCCGTGAGCAAGAGACAGATGGCGGGAGGGTCCCGTTTGGCTGCAGTTACACCAAGCAGGTGGCAGATGGCGACACAAGAGCCAATCAGGAGCTTGGGGGCGGAGCCGCACGCGCTCTCTCCAAGTCTCCGGCTCCTTCGCTCTGCGATTGAGTCAGGCATCCGACAGATTGGACCCCAAAACCCAGGAGATAGCAAACAGCACAACCTGTTTTCTAAAGATCACACACACAAACACACATGAACAGATAACAGGGAAGACAGACAAGGAGCACACCATGCTTAATACAGGGGATAAACTTTGCAGCCCTTGGTACCGTATTTTCCACTCTATAAGACGCATTTTTCCCCTCCTAAAAAGATAAACTTTGCAGCCCTGGGTAATTGAGGAACGCTGCCTCAACCGCTCACAAAATTAAACCAAAGAATACATAGAGAGAGTCTGCAGGATCAGGCCAATGGCCCATCTAGTCCAGCCTCCTGATCTCACAGTGGCCAATAGTGGGAAACCCACAAGCAGGATTCGAACACAAGAGCCCACTCTCCCTCCCCCATCACTGCCTCCTGTGGGGAGGAGTTCCATAGGTTGTTGTTGTTTAGTCATTTAGTCGAGTCCGCCTCTTCGTGGCCCCATGGACCAGAGCATGCCAGGCACTCCTGTCTTCCACTGCCTCCCGCAGTTTGGTCAAACTCATGCTGGTAGCTTCCAGAACACTGTCCCACCATCTCGTCCTCTCTCGTCCCCTTCTCCTTGTGCCCTCCATCTTTCCCAACATCAGGGTCTTTTCCAGGGAGCCTTCTCTTCTCCTGAGGTGGCCAAAGTCTTGGAGCCTCAGCTTTAGGATCTGTCCTTCCAGTGAGCACTCAGGGCTGATTTCCTTCAGAATGGAGAGGTTGGATCTTCTTGCAGTCCATGGGACTCTCAAGAGTCTCCTCCAGCACCAGAATTCAAAAGCATCAATTCTTCGGCGATCAGCCTTCTTTATGGTCCAGCTCTCACTTCCATACATCACTACTGGGAAAACCATAGCTTTAACAATACGGACCTTTGTCGGCAAGGTGATGTCTCTGCTTTTTAAGATGCTGTCTAGGTTTCCATAGGCTTAACCATATGCTAAGTGAAGATGTGGTGCTTTCTTTTATCAGTCCTGAAAGTTCCAAAATACAGCTTCATTGCGTGTTCTAGTCTTGTAAGGGAGGGAGAAAAACATTCCTCTGCCCATGTTCTCCATGCAAGGCATGGTTTTATAAACTTCTAACACATCAATTCTTCCTCACCTCTTCTCAGAATGGGGGGGGGGGGAAATCCCAAACATTGCCACCTTTCTTCCTAGAGGAGTCGCCTCCTCCCCTAAATCATCCTCCAGAGCTTTATCTACAGGACTGCCTCTCCTGGTCTGCCCTGCAAAGGACCTTAAGGTCCATGAATAACCATAGTTTAGAGGTCCCGGGCCCTAAGGAAGTCAGACTATCCTCCACCAGGGCCAGGGCCTTTTCGGTGATGGCTCCGACCTGGTGGAATGCTCTGTCCCGCAAGACTAGGGCCCTTTAGGATTTAACCTCCTTCTGTCGGGCCTGTAAGACAGAGCTATTCCGCCTGGCCTTTAATTTGAATTCAGCCTGATCTTTTGTTTCCCTTCTCTTCCCTTACCCCTCACCTTTTATGAAGATCGCCCGCTCTGAGACCCCATGGCTATTTCTCCCCGGCCTCCTCACTGGCCCAAGTGGGACCAATTCAGCCAGCTAGCCCTGGGGATTATCTAATTGATTTTTGGATTTTATTGCTATTCATGTTTTTATACTTTATTTTATGCTGCTTTTACAATTAAGTGTTTTAAATTTGTTGTAAGTCGCCCTGAGCCCAGTTTTTGAACCGGGAAGGGCGGGGTAAAAATAAAACAATATTATTATTATTATTATTATTATTATTATTATTATTATTAATGCATCCCATCAGTTCTAAGGTCCTGCAATGGCTATCATTGCCAATGGGCTATCGGAGAGGATTGTCACGTCATAAAGATGTACAGCTTAAGCAATAAGGATGGGCGTTCCACCTGCACAGCTGGTTTAACACACACTCTCCAAATCGGAGCCTTGGCATGAAGAAAGAGACAGAAGACAGGAGTTATGCAGCAAGAAGTCAAGGGAGGCTCTGGCTGGTGTAGTCTAGGCTGCAACCAGCCTCTCTTTTGGGGGGCCACCCCATGCCTTGACCCATCTGCGTCGACCGGAATCCCCTGCAATGTACAAGGGACTCTCAGGCGACCGGGCGGGGGGTGGAATTTCAGGCACCCAGAAATCTGCGGTTATGGATCTGAGATCTTTCCTACCCAATCTCTGCATAGAAGAAAGAGGCTTGCCAATTGGTCGGGAGTGTTGAAAACCGGTCGGGGATTTGCATTTTGCCCCTGCCCCAGCCCCGAGTGCGAGGCATGCAGGGCTGGAAGATCCTTCAGAAATTCCCGTCTACAAGGGGGAAATGTGCTTATCTCCTTGTTGTTGTTGTTGTTGTTTAGTCATTTAGTTGTGTCCGACTCTTCGTGAACCCATGGACCAGAGCACGCCAGGCACTCCTGTCTTCCACTGCCTCCCGCAGTTTGGTCAAACTCATGCTGGTAGCTTCGAGAACACTGTCCAACCATCTCGCCCTCTGTCGTCCCCTTCTCCTTGTGCCCTCCATCTTTCCCAACATCAGGGTCTTTTCCAGAGAGTCTTCTCTTCTCATGAGGTGGCCAAAGTCTTGGAGCCTCAGCTTCACGATCTGTCCTTCCAGTGAGCACTCAGGGCTGATTTCCTTAAGAATGGAGAGGTTTGATCTTCTTGCAGTCCATGGGACTCTCAAGAGTCTCCTCCAGCACCAGAATTCAAAAGCATCCATTCTTCGGCGATCAGCCTTCTTGATGGTCCAGCTCTCACTTCCATACATCACTACTGGGAAAACCATGGCTTTAACTCTACGGACCTTTGTTTATCTCCTTAGCTGCTTTCCAAAAGCCAGCCTGCCCAAAAGGCTGCCGTAGTTCCTGGTGTTCACTCCTTATTGAAGTCATAATCCTTACTCAGTCGCAGCAGGTTGCTATGGAAATGATGGCAACCGCAGCCTGAATATTACGACTTTGCACAGCGGAACGAACAGGTGATGGGGTTGCGGCGGCGGCGGCAGCAGCTGGAAAGGAAAGCAGTCTCCTGCTTCTTTTAGTCTGGGGTGTGTGAGGGGGCTTTTTCAAACTGAGGGACACATTCCCTTATGGGCAAGCACTCAGGGGCCACATGGCAGCAGCAGGCAGGGCCAGAGCCAAAAGTGGGCGGAGGAACCAATATAATAATAATAATAACAACAACAACAATAAGAATTAATTAATTAATTAATACCCCACCCATCTGGTTGGGTTTTCCCAGACATTCTGGGTGGCTTCCAACAAAATATTAAAATACAATAGTCTATTAAACATTAAAAGCTTCCCTAAACAGGGCTGCCTTCAGATGTCTTCTAAAAGTCTGGTACAGTGGTACCTCGGGTTACATACGCTTCAGGTTACAACAGCCTCCGCTAACCCAGAAATATTACCTCGGGTTAAGAACTTTGCTTCAGGATGAGAACAGAAATCATGCTCCAGCAGCGCAGCAGCAGCCAGAGGCCCCATTAGCTAAAGTGGTGCTTCAGGTTAAGAACAGTTTCAGGTTAAGAACGGACCTCCGGAATGAATTAAGTACTTAATCCGAGGTACTACTGTAGTTGTTTTTCTCTTTGACATCTTGTGGGAGGCTGTTCCACAGGGCAGGTGCTACTACTGAGAAGGCCCTCTGCCTGGTTCCCTGTAACTTGGCTTCTTGCAGGGAAGGAACCACCAGAAGGCCCTCAGAGCTGGACCTCAGCGTCCGGGCTGAACGGTGGGGGTGGAGAAGCTCCTTCAGGTCTACTGGACCGAGGCCATTTAGGGCTTTAAAGGTCAGCACCAACACTTTTAATTGTGCTCGGAACCAAGGTAACATTTACCCTTCGTACAGCGTTCAAAATTTCGCAGGCGCATTTTGCACCTAGCTATCAACCACTGGCTCTGGGCCGTTTTCAGACGCTAATACCCCATCCAGTAGAATTCTATCAGTTAAGGTATATTTTATCTGCACAGTCAGAATGAATTTCAGGAACCAAAATGCTTTTTCTCTGTGCAGCCTGAGCAGGAGCAGTGAACGATGTTATAGCTAATCGCTGTCGCTTGTCTTCACTTACCCCACTGCCTTGCCCACAGTTGTAAAGAATAGCCCTACATTATGGATGGTCTGTGTCACCATTAAGAGGCAGGAATAGGCCAATATGTGCACTGTTCCTGAATCAAGTGACTTTTCATCTTTAAGTTCTCTAAACCTTGCTCAAGGCTGTCCTCTGAACCGGCCAGATTTTTAACTGAGAACCAATCACAGTCAGTCCATCCTTTGAAAAATAAGACTTTAGAGCTGTCTTTCCCCAAAATGGCAACCAGACATTCCATTTTGGCAACTGTAAACTTGGTTTAAGGAGCCATTTGACACCTAGCTTATATTCAGTGGTACCTTGGTTGTCGAACGGCTTAGTTTGTCGAACAAATCGGCTCCCAAACTCTGCAAACCGGTTTGAGTGGTCCGGTTTGCAAACTTTTTTGGAAGCCGAACGTCCGACACGGCTTCCAATTGAGTGCCGGAAGCTCCTGCAGCCAATCGGAAGCCGCGCCTTGCTTTTCGAACTGTTCTGGGAGTTGAACAGACTCCCGGAACGGATTAAGTTCGACAACCAAGGTACCACTGTATCTGAGTTTCTAACACTGCCTTTGTACAGCAGGCTAGTTTCTGCACACACCCCTCTATTCACTGCCCAGGAAAGGAAGAGGCGTTATCAGTGTTCAAGGACACATTCCAGAGAGGCAAAAACATTCGAGGAAGATGCACAACAACAGGGCTGATAATGGAGGTGCAGCTGATGAGAGACTTCAGGCTACAGGGAGAGAGATCAAGTCTAAGGTTTAGACCTGTGAGATCTTATGTGGCTCAGGACTGCAGGACCACCTCTCTGCACATCAACTAAACCAGACCCTTGGGGGGAAGTTCATCTCAATTCATGCTGGGGTTTAGAAACACTTAATAAGTTGCAATAGGTTTCTACTGCTCCAGAGTGTCTCTGAAATGCAATGTGAAAATGAGATATCAACACACACACACACACAGAGAGAGAGAGAGAGAGAGAGAAAGAAAGAAAGAAAGAAAGAAAGAAAGAAAGAAAGAAAGAAAGAAAGAAAGAAAAGGATAGAGTGTCTTCTACATGTGCCCCAAGATTTGCAGGAGGCTACTAATAATGGCTGCCTACCAAGGGATGTGGGTGGCGCTGTGGGTTAAACCACAGAGCCTAGGACTTGCCGATCAGAAGGTCGGCGGTTCAAATCCCCGCTACGGGGTGAGCTCCCGTTACTCGGTCCCTGCTCCTGCCAACCTAGCAGTTCGAAAGCACGTCAAAGTACAAGTAGATAAATAGGTACCACTCCGGCGGGAAGGTAAACAGCATTTCCGTGCGCTGCTCTGGTTCGCCAGAAGCGGCTTAGTCATGCTGGCCACATGACCCAGAAGCTGTACATCTGCTCCCTCGGCCAATAAAGCGAGATGAGCACCGCAATACCAGAGTCAGTCACGACTGGACCTAATGGTCAGGGGTCCCTTCACCTTTACCTTTTAGCAAGATCAGCCAAACTCTGTGGTTGCCTACCTGCTTTTTATATGGAGAAAGCTAACATCTCCCTACAAAAGGACCAAAGCAAAAGGTTTGCTGGGTACATTCCTCTGGTTTGCAAGAAACCGGTATGCTTACAAGAGTTCATTAAAAGAGAAAGGAAAAAAACTGCCCAAGCAGCCATAATCCAGAACTCAAAACAGAAAACTCAGGCAGACAGCGCTCATTCCATCGCCTCCCTTTATCAGAGGCTGCAAACCTCCGCCCTGCCACTCCAAAGGGTGAAACATTCCCTTGGATTTCCAAGCACTCAAAAGTTGAGGGGGCAGTGTGTGCTGAAATGCAGGCCAAGAACCCATCAGCAAAGCTAAACAAACCGGGAGAGGTTGGCATTTATATTGTGCAATAAAGGGGGTGTTTCTCCCCCCCGCCCCCGTGCAGAATAGGCACTAGAGCCCAGGGTGGGGTGGGAAAGAAAGCTGCTTGTATTTATAATTTTAATCGTGGTGATTTATTGCCACCACACACCCCCAAAGTAAATAGAGACACAGATACTAATGTTATACTTGCACCATTTTTGGATTCATTTATTTCAAACCGCTGGTCCTTCAAGTACCATACGGTGGTAGTTCTTTGGGCAAAGCCCTTTCTCACCGCCAGCTATCAAATCTTCTGAATGGGGAGGTCCAAAAATTAATCTTGAGACCTTTCCGCATAGAGGAAGATGCTCCAGCATTGAGCTATGACCTCTCGATCTCCGCTCAGCAATGAGAGGCATGATTTTCCCCCACCGCCCAGTGCTTTATTCTTGCACAGAAAAGTTTCCATTTTCTAAGTTCACCAGCAACAATGAATGGGCGCCAGCTGCAAATACCATCCTATGAAAGCTTGGCAGTTTCAGAGTCTTTAACTTGGTTTATAAAAGGCAAGTGCCGTATTTTTCGCTCTGTAAGACGCACCAGACCACAAGACGCACCTAGTTTTTGGAGGAGGAAAACAAGAAAAAAAATATTCTGAATCTCAGAAGCCAGAACAACAAGAGGGATTGCTGCACAGTGAAAGCAGCAAATCCCTCTTGCTGTTCTGGCTTCTGGAATAGCTGCGCAGCCTGCATTCGCTCCATAAGACGCACACACATTTCCCCTTACTTTTTAGGAGGGAAAAAGTGAGTCTTATAGAGCAAAAAATACAGTAAAATAAACATGCCAAAGCAGATCCCTTTCTAGGGCAGCCTTCGCCAACCAAGCGCCCTATCTAGAAGTTCTGGACTACAACAGGCTTCCTCAACCTCGGCCCTCCAGATGTTTTGATACTACAATTCCCATCATCCCTGACCACTGGTCCTGCAAGCTAGGGAACATGGGAGTTGTAGGCCAAAAACATCTGGAGGGCCAAGGTTGAGGAAGCCTGGACTACCACTCCCTCCCATCATCCCTGGCCATGCTGGCTGGGGCTGATGGGATTTGTACTCCAAAACATCTGGAGGGCAGCCAGTTGGAGAAGGCTGTTCTAAGTCATCAGTTTCCAGCGCAAACTGAACATTTTCTGATGCAGTTTCCCTCCAAAAAAAAAACCACCTTTCACTGCCCCCACCTTACAAGTATCTGTATCTCTGGCCAACTCACTGGATCTACTCACTAAATCACACGACAAGAGGGTGAATCGCTTAACTGTCAGGGGTCCTTTACCTTTTATGTATACCGAGGCCACAATTCGCTTCCTTATTGTGCAACAACTGACTTTCTGCCATGTGCAAGAAGTCTCTTAACAGTCATTATGACAGTCACTTGCTACCTGTTCATTTAAAACGGGTATTACCAAGGACTGAATCAGGGACCTTCCTGCATGCAAAGTTCTGGAGTTTCTCCGGTGTGACACACTGCTGGTTTCCCTTCCCAGAAGGTGGTTAACAGTTAGAAATATATGCAAAAAGGTAGCTTCAGCTGGCTGCCAAATCAGCCAAGTGCAGAAGGAGGAGATATTAACAAAGAGATGTCCCATTACCTCCCCACCCACCCAACACCTGCACTTTTTGACATCACCGAAACAGCTATATGTGGGTGGGCAGGCTATTTAAAAATGTTTTGTTTTTTTAAGACTACTAATCTCTGAGTTTCTTTGCAGGGAAATGAGGAAGGCAATGGCCTTCTCATTTTTATGTACCACATAATAAATATTTGGTCTTGCTACGTTGTTGTTCTTGTTGTTGTTAATGCATCTTCTTCTATATGGCTTTTGGGATTTTTTTGACTGTGCCAAAACCGATTTTGGTAAAAGCTATTACAGTGGTACCTCGGGTTAAGTACTTAATTCACTCCGGAGGTCTATTCTTAAACTGAAACTGTTCTTAACCTAAAGCACCACTTTAGCTAATGGGGCCTCCTGCTACCGCTGCGCTGCCAGAGCACGATTTCTGTTATCATCCTGAAGCAAAGTTCTTAACCTGAAGCACGATTTCTGGGCAAGCGGAGTCTGTAACCTGAAGCGTATGTAACCTGAGGTACCACTGTAAAGGGAAATTTGCAAATATTTAAAAAGAAACCATTTGCCACCAAACATGGGCATCCAAAAATCTCCTCTCAGATTTTGCGTTCAACATGCCACCCCACAAGCCCAGACAGTATGTCTGTGAAAAGCTAAACACTGGCTATGCTAAAAATGGAGAAGCCACACCTGCCCACTGCAGAATTAAAAACCGTGAGTTCTTCCCCCTTGTACCAGTTAACCAGCCATGAATGTGTCAACTGATTCTTCCTGGTGTGCGCAGAAGAGAGGGTTCAAACCTATCCTGTTATAAGGTCCTCAAGGGCAAAAGCTTGTTTTTGTGCTCTCGCTCTCTCTTCAGCCGTCTGTAAATAGCCATCCGTGTACACCACTGCTGTGATATTAACAAATATTCAAGACCGAAGCTGCTATTTATATATATGATGTGAACACACATAACAGGTTAATTTCAAACAACACCAGGGAGTCGTTTGCAGATGTAAATCACATGCTTCGCAGATACTAATTAAGCATTCCCACTTGGGTGCAAGACACAGATCTAACTGTGCATTTTTGGAGTTGATCATTAACCTAGTTTCCCCCTAGTCTTCTCTTACCACCCGCCCCCCCTCACAATCCCTTTTTAAATCAAACACAAAAGCCCTGTTGGGGAAAGGCAGAGCTGCTTGACGAGGGATACAGTTCAATAATACAGGCCTGGTTAGCCAAGCCAGGGTTGGCATTTTAAAAGCAGAAAAGAGAACATGCTCTTCATGGGCATTTGATTTTGTCCTTTCAAAACCTGAAATTCCTTGAGGAGCCTTGGCTCTTCACAAGGGGAGTCGCTGCTGCTATCTTTGGATTGTAAGCCTGGAAACAAGAGGGGAGGGACGAAACTTTGGCTGGGAAATCTAACATTCATTAAAAGTGACCTTGGCTGAGAGCAACTCCTGCCCAGCTGAACACAACAGAGTTAACCACCGAGTTGCAGCAAACCACTCAGATATGCGCAGAAGAATACACCAGACCACTTGGCTACCACCAGGAAAACCAATTCTATGGCATGGATGGTTAGGTGCCGCAAGAGCCACCTCGGTGGCCGAAACGTTAATCCTCCAACACTAAAACCAGCTAGTTTTGAATGTAAGGGTCGCACTGGCTCAGGCTGTTAAGGAGGAGAATATTTGAGAGACAGACACTATACAAAACGGTCAAGGCGTGTTTAGAATTCGCTGCCCAAGATCGCAGCCACTACTGCATGGATCTTCAAAGTGCTTGTTGTTGTTGTTGTTTAGTCATTTAGTCGTGTCCGACTCTTCGTGACCCCCTGGACCAGAGCATGCCAGGCACTCCTGTCCTCCACTGCCTCCCGCAGTTTGGTCAAACTCATGCTGGTAGCTTCGAGAACACTGTCCAACCATCTTGTCCTCTGTCGTCCCCTTCTCCATGTGCCCTCCATCTTTCCCAACATCAGGGTCTTTTCCAGGGAGTCTTCTCTTCTCACAACGTGGCCAAAGTATTGGAGTCTCAGCTTCAGGATCTGTCCTCCCAGTGAGCACTCAGGGCTGATTTCCTTCAGAATGGAGAGGTTTGATCTTCTTGCAGTCCATGGGACTCTCAAGAGTCTCCTCCAGCACCAGAATTCAAAAGCATCAACTGTGCTAGGTCCCGGGTTACCTGGACACCCATTATATTTTGATGCCAGAATGTAAGAAGCTGAAACGTTTTTCGGCCTTGTGCACAAACCCGACATCTTAACCTTTTGGAAGGCTTTTCTGGCCAAGGGGATTAAAAAGCAAGTCGCTAGGTGCTCTGCCGGCAGAACATTAAGACTCTGACTACAACTCCCAGCAGTCTGGGGTGATGGGAGTCCACAACATCTGAAGGGGACCACGCTGGCTATCCCTGGCCTAAATTTCAGTTCTTTTTTTTTCTGACCCCTATAAACAATGACTACAAGGTGAATCCAGAAAGAGAGAAATAGCCAAGACTGGAAAAGTTAAGTGGGTGGGTTGGAAAAAAGAATACAGCATGAGTTCTTAGACACGTAAGGCACTTTGCTATAAAATTCCTCACTTTCCATGTACTTGTAAAATGTGTTTAGAAAGTTGTCTCGCAGCCTTGTTCCTCATTTGTTATCCACATCTAGCCCTCTTTTGCTTCTTTATTTATACCAGTACACAGACTGGCGCCAACCGAGCTAAAAAACTTGATAGCAAGTTTTCAAAGCTGTTACGTCCTCTGTGCTCAAGGAGAGAGATTTCGCCACCTTTTCTGCCCTCTGTTAGCACAGTTTCTCTTTAACTCTGAGCAACGCTCTGCTGCCAAGACCCAGATTCTGCAGAAGAGAGGGAGGGAGGGATTGTGAACCATGTGGCTTCGGGGTTGCTCAAGAAATAAGTTACAAGTGGCTGGATTGGAAAGGTCTCCCGTCCCATGCCACAGAGAGGCAGCAATAGTACCAGCAGGGAATATTTCTAGCATGCATACAGCACCACAAACCTGGATAAAATATATAAAGGCTGCAATCTAGGACTGGGAAAACACTCCACAGGGCAGTTCCAAAAGTCCTGTAGCCGCAGATATCAGGGGTGTGGAAACAAGTGAGGCATAAACCTCCCAAAACAAGCGCCCTACAAAATTTGCTTAAGTTGAAAGCATGAACCAAGATTTGAAAAGCCCCTGGGCCAGGGAAGGTCACTGGCATGAAGAAGGACTAACGTTATCTCCATATGTATCCCTTTAGCACTTCTGAACAGCCTTCTGAGAGCCACATGCGAGCAGAGCAATACAGTGGTACCTCGGGTTACGTATGCTTCAGGTTAGAGACTCCGCTAACCCAGAAATAGTACCTCGGGTTAAGAACTTTGCTTCAGGATGAGATCAGAAATCGTGCAGCAGCAGCAGCAGGCGGCCCCATTAGCTAAAGTGGTGCTTCAGGTTAAGAACAGTTTCAGGTTAAGAACAGACCTCCGGAACGAATCAAGTTCTTAACCCGAGGTACCACTGTACATGCAGTTCCTCATTTGTACATGGACTGTTGCTGTAGCTTCTTTTATTTATTTTTAATGCAAATTAAAATCCAAATAAGTCAAATACTTGTTTTAAAAAAACGCATTTCCTTCCCTTAAAAACTACCCAGCCTAAGCCTTGATAGCGATCATTTGCTAAGACAGCAGAAAGTGTTTCATGAGCCAGCGAAACCAGGCTTCGGTTGTTAAAATGGAAAGCTATCATTTGTATTCTGAAATCAGGCAGCAACACAAGAGCTTCGCTTCCTGCCTTAGCCGGAGCAAACCACAGACCTTATCACACCAACGCAAGTGTTCTCTTTCCTATTTTTCTCTGGGGCTCTGCTTAACGTGGCCTGAAGACGCTGTTCCACTTCCTCATGCAGTGTGAAAACAGGAAAGAAAACAGGAAATGCACAGCTGAACAAAGTGTCATCCCTTTAATAAGGCCTGGACAAAAAAAAAACCATCTCCGTGAGGAACGTGACTCACATTAGGCTTTATTTTGTGTCTTTTGGGGCCTATCGGGTCACCAAGATGAATCAGCAACTCCCCCAAAGCAAAACCAGAAGCAGGCTTTAGTCTACGCTGGGTGATCCAACATTCAGCCCTTGGTAGATGGCGGGAAGAGAGGGGTCTGCAGACAGCACTTTCCCACAGCGGCCGAGGGAGCGATCCTGTGCCACGCCGCTTTGGGCTCCCACTGGCAGCGTCAGTGGCATGGCTGTTCCAGAGCCGCCTCCAGCTGCAGCTCATTGTCCACTTGCCCACTCTCACCTGGCGGAGCGAAGGTGAGCCACATCTCCTTTCTTGGCCACCCCAACACACTGCCCTGGGAGCTCTTCGTCCAGCGGCAAAGCCCAGGTGCAGGTGGGCGCCAGAGTTAAAAACCCAGCTGCAGTGGGACCTCCGGTTACAAACTTCATTCGTTCTGGAGGTCCATTCTTAAACCGAAACCGTTCTTAACACGAGGCACGCTTCCGCTAATAGGGCTTCCCACTGATGCCGCACCACCGGCGCGCGACTTCCGCTCGCATCCCGGGGCAAAGTTCGCAACTAGGGGCTCCTTGGTTAGTGGAGCTTGTTACCAGAAATATTTGTAAGGAGGACGGTACGCAACCCAAGGTTCCACCGTATATAACCAAATGGCGACTTAAACCTAGGTTACAATCGTCAAAATGGACTGTCTAGGCCAGGGGTCTGCAAACTTTTTCAGCAAGGGGCCGGCCCACTGTCCCTCAGACCTTGTGGGGGGCCGGACTATATTTTGGAGAGAAAAAATGAACGAATTCCTATGCCCCACAAATAATCCAGAGATGCATTTTAAATAAAAGGACACATTCTGCTCATATAAAAACACGCTGATTCCTGGACCGTCCGTGGGCCGGATTTAGAAGGCAACTGGGCCGGATCCAGCCCCCAGGCCTTAGTTTGCCTACCCATGGTCTAGGCGCTATTTTCCCTTTATTTTCAAGGAACTTCGTTGTTGTTATTTGCTTGGAAGTAAGAACCGCTGCATCCAGAGGAGCTTTCTTATCCTCAAAAAAGTGTGCCTAGAATTGCAGCTGGAAAGACAGATCGTGAAGCTGAGGCTCCAATACTTTGGCCACATGGTGAGAAGAGAAGACTCCCTGGAAAAGACCCTGGTGTTGGGAAAGATGGAGGGCACAAGGAGAAGGGGACGACAGAGGACGAGATGGTTGGACAATGTTCTCAAAGCTACCAGCATGAGTTTGACCAAACTGCAGGAGGCAGTGGAAGACAGGAGTGCCTGGCGTGCTCTGGTCCAGGGGGTCACGAAGAGTCGGACACAACTAAACGACTAAACAACAACAACAACAACAACAACAACAGGATTGCAGCAGTGCCATCCAGCCAGATGGAGATGTCAGTTGCCAACCTAGCATCTAGAGATCTCCATATGGTCGCAACTTCGCAACACAGGATTGTATGCCTGGCAGATTTCGAGCACTGGCCCCACAACTCTGTGAACTTTTCTTCTTCTTCACGGGCTGCGTTTATTTACTGGCTTCACCAAAGCCTTGAATCATTTTGACTGGAAGCCGTCTAAAATAATTTATTATGATAATATTTATTTATACCCCATCTTTTTATATCCTGACAGGAGCTCAATGTCTGCGTTATTAATTTTGCTAAATAAATAAGTATATTAAATCTATTAATTGTGCATTTAATTACATATATTCTATTAAATATATTGTGTATATTAAATGATATTAGCTATACAGTGGTACCTCGGGTTAAGTACTTAATTTGTTCCGGAGGTCCGTTCTTAACCTGAAGCACCACTTTAGCTAATGGGGCTTTCTGCTGCAGCCGCGCCGCTGGAGCACAATTTCTGTTCTCATCCTGAAGCAAAGTTCTTAACCTGAAGCACTATTTCTGGGTTAATGGAGTCTGTAAACTGAAATGTATGTAACCTGAAGCGTATGTAACCTGAGGTACCACTGTACTGTGAACACTTTAACTCACGATATGGAAATTTAATTCAGTGTGTGGCTTGTGGGTTCTGTGTCAAAGTACTGCTGCGGCCCACCTGGTCTGAGAGGCTGAACCGCCTGGCCTGAGGCAATCCATTTTCCCAAGCTGTCAGAAACTTTATTAGTCAGGCTATTAATAAACGATGAGCTGTGGGGGTAGGCGGTTTATCTTGACAGATCACTTTATTCCTAACATGGATAATTCATAGAAGCCGCAACTTCTTGGGGGCACTGGCAGCAAGGAAAGCGCCAGCAAACCTTCAGCTATCGTATTTCTTTTTAATTAAGAAATAAAAGGTTTCCAAGGGACAAAAGCAGCGCTCTTCAATGACGGCGTAGATGTGAAGTAGACAACAGCTTGTGAGAGAACAAGCACTACATGGCCTCAGCTGGGGCCAATGGAATCCCCCCTCCTCAATGTAGAATCACCAAGTCAGTTCACGTTATCAAGTTATTTCAGGATATATTGCAGATATTGTCATGGTACACAGGTTATGCATGAAGTACCCAATGCTAAACCTACACAGGTGTGCCCTGAGAAGATCTGGAATAAAGCGTTCAAATCATGAAAACATATGGACTGCCTATTTTACTCTAGCCTGGTATTCCAATAGTAGTCAGCTAGATGCTCCCGGCAGTTCACAGCTGAGGAACGATGGAGCTAACAGAGTCCTGTTAGTTCCTAGTATCAGATTATCAAAAGTATTCTGAACAAGGGAGGTTTCCATTTTAGCAAATAGCCTCTGACAGATCTATTCCTTTGTGAATTTGGAAGTTCTTTTTTCAAAGGAACTTCTAGTGATACTCTTCATCAGCAACTGAATCTACTGCCAGTCATTTTCACTGGTGGGTTCAAAGCAGACAAATTCTTTTTGCCTTGCTACACCATTCATAATCGTCAAGCATAACTCCTCAGGATTCACCACCCCCCAAAAAAGAAGTCCCAAATGCTTATGCCTTCCATCATAAGGAAAATCCCCAATAAATATTACTAAATTATTATGGCGTACTCTGGTCCATGGGGTCACGAAGAGTTGGACACGACTAAACGACTAAACAACAACAAATTATTCTATAGGCAAACTCCCTATTTACGCAGGGTAAATGTTCTGAGGCATTTAAGTGAAATTGCATATACTGTATTGGGAACAAGATCGAAAAAGCCTGCAAACAGCACAACCGCTCCCTCCAAACCTCATCACTCAAACTCCAAATCTCCACAAGCCTCAAAGGTCGGTGCAAGGGCTCCCAAGATTGTTTTTGTGCTTTTTTAGAGCTGTTTTTGCCACTTTTCGTACCACTTCCAGGTTCGTGGCAATGCACGTATGCCTTGAATGCGTGTAAATGGGGAGTTTCCCTTGAGTGCTTTTAAAGTGTTTAAAGTGGTATGTGTACACTGTGCCAGTAATACAGATAAACGATCAATCTGCAAGTTATTTATCAGTATTATCACCCAGAAATTAAAAGAAAGGGGCGGAGCACACACAAAAACACTCTAGGCTGCCTAACGCACTCAGAACCAAGCAGAAATTTGAACCCAGGGTTTCTGGTCCAGAGCAGTGTCTCTTTCTCTTGACCATATACTATATGAGGCATGTCCAACAAGTTGATCGTGATCAACTGGTAGGTCACCTCACGTTCGTAGTCGATCGCGGTCTAGCAATGATGCCTCCTCCCGCCCCCTGCGCTAGGGGTATCCATTGGCTCCCCTCCAAAAAAAGCTCTATAACTTTGGCTTCCCCCTGAAAAAAAATGGGTAGATCACTGCCAGTTTTTTTGTATTGGGAGTAGATCACAGTCTCTTGGGAGTTGGACGTGCCTGTACTATATCATCAAAGAGATGCCATACAGAAATCCCTGCCTCCTCAAATCCTTCATATCATGGCACCTTAAGCTGCTCACACGCTCCTGGATTCCAAAACACTACCTCAAAAGGCCTTCAAAAGTTACTGCAATCTCTCCACCGCCCCCCAAAAAACACACACATTAGAGCTCATTTCTGAAGATCACAGAAGATCGAAGTCCCCCATACCCTATGTCAGGCACCCCCAAACTCAGCCCTCCAGATGTTTTGGGACTACAAATCCCATCATCCCTAGCTAACAGGACCAGTGGTCAGGGATGATGGGAATTGCAGTCCCAAAACATCTGGAGGGCCGAGTTTGGGGGTGCCTGCCCTACGTATTCCCATTCACTTCCTGTGCCCCAAATCTCGTAACTGAGGCTTGAGTTTTGGTATTCTCGTTCAATTTAAGAGACAAAATTTTCTAGTTTGAGTAACACAGACCCTTAATGCTGGTAAAAGACTCTAGTCCAAACCCTTGGCAATCCAGGAAATCTCCCATGACAACTCTCTTGCTGGGTTGCCATCTCATCTCTGTTTAAAAACCTCCAACGAAGAGACTCCACCACCTTCCAAGGCAGTCTATTCCACTACCCAATGGCTTGTGCTGCCAGAAAATTCTTCTTAATGTTGAGTGTTAATAATACAATAATAATTTATTATTTACAGTGGTGCCCACCAAGACGAATGCCTCGCAAGACGGAAAACTCGCTAGACGAAAGGGTTTTCCGTTTTTGAGCTGCTTCGCAAGACGAATTTCCCTATGGGCTTCCTTCGCAAGACAAAAACCGAAAACGTCTTGCAAGTTTGTTTCCTTTTTCTTAACACCGTTAATACAGTTGCGACTTGACTTCGAGGAGCAACTCATAGAACGCGGTGTGGTAGCCTTTTTTGAGGTTTTTGAAGACTTTGGTGATTTCTGAAGCTTTTCCAAAACTTCTTTTAAACTTTTAAAACTTTTTGGGGGGGTTTTGGATTTTGGGTTGGGGCGTTTGGAATTCAAGGACTTGGTGTTGGGGAGGGGTTTGCAAGAATCTGGAAGCTTGTGTGTGTTTTTTCTGCATTTTTATGATTTTCTGTGACCATTGGGCCACTCTGCTTTTTTTTTAAAAAAAATCTGGATTTGAATTTCTGTGTGGTGGATGGCTGGAGGAACAGTTGAGGAGGGGTTCTTCAGCAAGAAGCAAAGAGTGGAAGAGGAACCTTCTTCGAGTTGTCCCCCAGAGTCTTAGAAAATGTACTGTACACTTTGTTGATTTTTAAATGTTTTTCTGTCATGTTTAGAAACTTAATTTATTGTTCCTTCAATTTTTGAAGTGCTCTTTACAGTATGTGTGACTTTAAAGAGCACTTAATAAACTCTTGTTGTACCAAATTTGGCTTTGTTTGGACTGTTTTTGACCATAGGAACGCATTAATTGAATTTCAATGCATTCCTATGGGATTTCGTGCTTCGCAAGACGAAAAATTCGCTAGACGAAAAAACTCGCGGAACGAATTAATTTCGTCTTGCGAGGCACCACTGTATACCCCGCCCATCTGGCTGAGTTTCCCCAGCCACTCTGGGTGGCTCCCAATTGAGTGTTAAAAACAATATAGCATTAAATATTAAAAACATCTCTAAACAGGACTGCCTTCAGATGTCTTTTAAAGATAAGATAGCTGCTTATTTCCTTCACATCTGAAGGGAGGGCGTTCCACAGGGCGGGCACCACTACCGAGAAGGCCCTCTGTCTGGTTCCCTGTAACCTCACTTCTCGCAATGAGGGAACCGCCAGAAGGCCCTGGGAGCTGGACCTCAGTGTCCGGGCTGAATGATGGGGGTGGAGACGCTCCTTCAGGTATACTGGACCGAGGCTGTTTAGGGCTTTAAAGGTCAGCATCAACACTTTGAATTGTGCTCGGAAACGTACTGGGAGCCAATGCAGATCTCTCAGGACCAGTCAAAATCCCCTAACTTGTGAGTTTTGGTCATTCCCTGTAAAGCAACCGAAAAACCACAAATCTGCTGCATCATCTGTGTGGAATCCCTTTAAATGTACATACATCAGAGTAAGGACCCTTTTAATTCAGTATCATGTGGAAAACCATCTTGGCTGTGAGACCTGAGGGTCTGCTCCTGTCCTGCAGGTCTTTTTCACTTGGCCTGGAAGGGCAGGACTCTGACTGAATCCAGCTACAAAAGCTGATGCTGAAAAGACTCTTGGGTTGGGTTGTTGAAGTTTGTTTGTGGGTTTTTTTAATCTTTATTACAGATATTGTTGTGATTTTTGTGCAAACTGTTCAGTTTAACTGCATATTTTTAATGACTACTTTTGTTACATTGTAGTTATGTTTATTTTCATGTTGCAAGTTGACTTGAGCGTGGTATGAGCTGTGGAAAGGTGGCTTACAAATAAAATTATGTATGTATGATTTGGCAATCTTTTTTTGTGTGTCTTACAAATAAACACACCTGCTTTCCAAAAGGAATCGCAACTTCGTATCCAAATTAGCATTAGCCACTTGCTCTGTTAACACAAGGATTTCTGCATGTAAAACTTCCCATATTTCCTTCCCCCCACAAACCTCCTAAATCTGTTCTGAGGGTTCCCCCTTCCTTCAGAGCATATTTGGGGAGGCCCTGGGGCACACCCTGGGGGAGGAAAGTGGCCATGTGCCATTACACAAGCATGAATCCTTCCACTAATGCAGACTTGAGAAACTTGGGTCCCCAGATGTTGACGGACTACAACTCCCATCATCCCTAAGCACTGATATAAAAGTTAATTTAGAAAATCATGAGGGAAGGAAGTTGATAGTGTTTACATCATTCATATATATATGTATGTACATATAGTACGTTCACAAATGTACCAAGCAAACACATATATAAATATATAAAACCACATGTTTGAAACCCACAGGAAAAGTCCTAAAACCATTTTGACTCTTTCAGTCACTTGAAATATTTCTCAGCAAGGTTGAAGGAAATGCAGAAACCTCCCCATCCTCTGTGTCCTCACAAATCCTGCCTTAAGGGCACATTTAAGGTGTGAATAGGGTGAGCCTGTGACCTGGCTCAGGAATTAAGTATTATCATTACAAAAGAATGGCCAGACTCCCCAGGTAATCCAGTCAAAGTGACCAGCAACAGGAAGGTAGCCGTGTTGGTAGTATCTGAAGAAGTGTGCATTCACACGAAAGCTCATACCAGTAACAAACTTAGTTGGTCTCTAAGGTGCTACTGGAAGGATTTTTTAATTTTTATTTGGTAACCTGGCAGACAGGGTAAAAACAACCCACTCAGATTTCTGTTGTAGACCAACTTTTCTGTGATGTAGGTATGATGTACCTGGGGGGTGGAATTGGGCTACACTCCTTCTGTGATGTATGTATGATGTTTCTGCGGGTGGTCTTGGACTCCAGGGTGGGCAGTTTAAAATGTCTATATAAGGGCTTGCACACCTTTGTTCTGGGTTCCTCTCCTCCCTCCTGCGTTGGGGACGGGGGGGGGGGGAGGTGAGGACCCTGTTGCAACAGTTCAATAAAGATCAGGCTTCCTAGCTGCTTTGCTTCTCAATATTCTCTGGTTGGCCTCTGTTATTTTCTCCTACCAATAGAGAACCTACAAAAGGACTCTCTTGGGTACCCCATAAAAGGAGCAGTTTTATTACTTAAAACCAGGCTTCATCTACCTCAGCCCTCCAGATGTTTTGAGACTACAAATTCCCATCATCCCTGACCACTGGTCCTGCTAGCTAGGGATCATGGGAGTTGTAGGCCAAAAAAACATCTGGAGGGCCTAGTTTGAGGAAGCCTGCTTAAAGCAATAGGAGCCAGGGAGGTAAAGTGGAAAACATTGATGTGGTGATATATTATTAAGTAGAAAATTAATAATAAAATAATAAAATAAAATAATAATAATAAATAATAAATAAATAAATAAAATAAATAAAAATTATTTGGGGGGGGACAAAAAGTGACCTGGCAGGGACGGTCATTCGCCCCTCCCCCTCGAGATCCGCAGGGCTGAGGGGAGGCTTCGGGGCCCGATCCACCAGGGCCGCCTTCCTGCTCTCCCACCACGCCAGGCCGGCCTCGGCCCTGCTCCCCTCCCTCCATTCGGACCCGGAGCCGCCGCCCTTAACCCCTCGCCCCGCTCCGCTCCCCCAGCCGACCTGCCTGGCCGCCGCCGCCGCCGCCGCCCCGGTTCTCTCCCTCAGAGCCTTCAGCCGCTCCTTCCTCTTCAGCGCCTCCTCCTGCAGCCCACCGGGCGCCGCCATCTTGGCCCCTAGTGCGCAGGCGCAGAGCGGCGGAGCGCAGGGCCCGGCGCGCGGCGGGAGACAGCCGAGTGGTCGATGGGCGGCGTTGTGAGTGCAGAGAGAGGCCAGGCGAGCGGAGCGCAGAGATCATCGATCGGAAGAAAAGTTGGGGGGCGGGTATAAAGATGTGAGGAGGATTTAATTTTAATTTTATTTTGAGAGGGGTTAGTGTAGGTTGGGACGTAAGAGAGAAGAAGGTGGCCCTTTTGGTTGGAGGAGGGGCCTGTTCAGCCACAGTGCCTCTGACCATGCACGGAGTGCTTTCCTCACTCAGGAGGGACTCTGCGCTGGGGGAGTTTTCCTCAATTTTATTTTACTGTATTTTAATATGCTTTATTAAGATTAAACAGAAGTAACAAACTAATCCAGAAGAAAAAAAAGAAAATAGTAATATATGTTACATCGCATCACAATGCATTCTTCTGGAATTTCTAACGACTTCCCGTCACTACATCATGCATCTATCACTTAGTCAGTCATCTAAAGTAAAGGTAAAGGGACCCCTGACCATTAGGTCCAGTCGTGGTCGACTCGGGGGTTGCGGCGCTCATCTCGCTTTACTGGCCGAGGGAGCCGGCATTTGTCCGCTTCCGCAGACAGTTTTTCTGGGTCATGTGGCCAGCATGACTAAGCCGCTTCTGGCGAACCAGAGCAGCGCACGGAAACGCCGTTTACCTTCCCGCCGGAGCGGTACCTATTTATCTACTTGCACTTTGACGTGCTTTCGAACTGCTAGGTTGGCAGGAGCAGGGACTGAGCAACGGGAGCTCACCCCATTGCGGGGATTCGAACCGCTGACCTTCTCATCAGCAAGTCCTAGGCTCTGTGGTTTAACCCACAGCACCACCCGCGTCCCAGTCAATCATCTAGCGCAGTACTTAATTTCGTTTTCTTAAATTTTGTCCATATTACGGTTTTCCCCCCAAGTTTTCTCATGTCATTTGTATATCACAAAAACAGCATGATAAATGTGGGAAAATATCCACAACATATGTTTCATTGTTCGTGGTCAATGTTAGGGCAGCTGGAGGGTGAGAGAGGCCCACCAGGGAATCATAGAATGGTAGGAAGGGACCTCCGAGGGAAATTTAGTCCAACCCCCCTTGCAATGCAGGAAATTGAAGACGCGGTCTAACCGGCTGATACCATACTGGACCCTGCTTCGCTTGGCAAATGTGCTAGCAGTTTTATTGCTGCGCCACTAACTTGCCATTGAGGGAGGATGTCTAAATTTTACAAAATATATAAATAATACCATAATTGAGGCTAACATCTGCAAAACAACAACAACAACCATGGATAAGCTTGTGAACCAATGCACTCTTATTTGTTTATTATTATTTGATTTATTCAGTTTGCATTTACCTGCCAATATGCCCCATTGAATTCACCGGGATTTACTTCTGAGTAGGCATGCATATATGCCTGTTGTCTTTGTCCATGGAGTTTTCTTGGCAGGGATACTGGAGTGGTTTGCCAGTTCCTCCTCCAGGTGGATCACGTTTGGTCAAAACTCTCCACTATGACCTGTTCATCTTGGGTGCCCTGCTCGGCATAGTTCATAGCTTCTCTGTGTTATTCAAGCCCCTTCGCCACAGCAAGGCATGAAGGGGATTGCTTTTGAATTCGGGTGCTGGAGGAGACTCTTGAGAGTCCCATGGACTGCAAGAAGATCAAACCTATCCATTCTTAAGGAAATCAGCCCTGAGTGCTCACTGGAAGGACAGATCCTGAAGCTGAGGCTCCAAGACTTTGGCCACCTCATGAGAAGAGAAGACTCCCTGGAAAAGACCCTGATGTTGGGGAACATGGAGGGCGCAAGGAGAAGGGGACGACAGAGGACGAGATGGTGGGACAGTGTTCTCGAAGCTACCAGCATGAGTCTGACCAAACTGCGGGAGGCGGTGGAAGACAGGAGTGCCTGGCGTGCTCTGGTCCAGGGGGTCACAAAGAGTCGGACACGACTAAACAACAACAACAAAAAGGCATGCATATGCTTGCTTGGCTGGCATGCTGAGTAAAGGGAAGGGGGAAGGCCTTCACAAAGCAGCTGGCAATATTAGACGAGCCATTGATAAAAATTCAATGTTGCAAACAATTTTATACTGTAAAACAGGTAATTTCATTTCCATTTAAAAAACATCAACAACAACACCTGCCAACAGTTGTCATGCCAGCGTGCAATGTTGGGCGTTCTGAATAGGATTTACTTCCAAGAAAACATGCCTAGGATTGTGCTGGATTTGACAATGGGGATAGGATTGCAGGTGGACATACTGCTTGAGTTTGAAGGCATTTCTATATCACTTTCTACAACAGAGAAAGTTTACTGGAAGGGAAATAGAAGTTGGCAAACCTAATCAGTATATTTCATGTTTTTGCTTATTGCTTATTACTGATTATTGTTTATTATGGAGAGAATCAATACAGCTGGCCAATGGTAATTTATGTAGCACACTATCGTAGCAAACATAGATATGTCTACTCAGAAGTAAGTCCCACAGAATTCAATGGGGCAGACTCCCAGGTAAATATATGCACACCTATTTGGGAGTAAATCACCAAAGTATTGATCTCTCCATAATAAACTTAACAATAATCAATAGAAAACAAAAGCTCCCTTTCTCTTGATAGAAATCAGGCTATCTTTAACCATTACTGAATTGAAAGCAAACTTTTATTATTATTTCCATTTGTGAGCTTCATTCGATGGAAGTTTTTTGTTTTATTTACAGCCCCGTTTTTTGTTTTATTTACAGTCCACAAATCTTGACATTTGCTTGGCGTGGGACTTTGGCCCACGTTTCTGAGCACGATTCAAAGTGTTGGTTTTGACCTTTAAGGCCCTAAACGGCCTCGGTCCTGTATACCTGAAGGAGCGTCTCCACCCCCATCATTCAGCCCGGACACTGAGATCCAGCGCCAAGGGCCTTCTGGCGATTCCCTCAATGCGAGAAGTGAGGCTACAGGGAACCAGACAGAGGGCCTTCTCGGTGGTGGCGCCCGCCCTGTGGAACACCCTTCCATCAAATGTCAAAGAGATAAACAACTACCTGACATTCAGAAGACATCTGAAGGCAGCCCGGTTCAAGGAAGTTTTTATTATTTAACGCTGTACTGTTTTTAACACTTGATTGGGAGCCGCCCAGAGTGGCTGGGGAAACTCAGCCAGATGGGCGGGGTATAAATGATAAATTATTATTATTAATATTATTATTATTTGGCCTCACTCAAAACTGAACCATTTCTAACGCACCCAGTTTTGCCTCTCTTCCACATTTCCACATCAGCCCTACCAGCGTGAATGTGCAAAGGCAGTCCTGATGTTACTGTCTTATTTCATCCAGATGTTTGCATTTTAAATAATTCAGAAGCCAGTGTACGGAGCAGACATCAAAGCAAAGCGAGAGGAGTTAGCCGTCAAAAAAAAAGAAAGAAAGAAAAAGGATGAAGGACAGAGATTAATGCTTCTCCCTAGAATAAATTACTCAGCCTTTCAGAGGTTATTTCAGAGAGATTATGTACGATGAGATACATGAATATGCAATGTTTGCCCTTGCGACTGACTTTTGTTGTGTTGTGATGTAGAGCGTCGATCTACAGACACAGATCACCCAAAAATGGTGCCTGCCTGTGTGTGAAACAGAGGAGGGGAATGAGGGAGGGTCCGGGAATTTAAATACCAGTATGTGATGCTAGACAGCATCTTAAAAAGCAGAGACATCACCTTGCCAACAAAGGTCCATATAGTTAAAGCTATGGTTTTTCCAGTAGTGATGTATGGAAGTGAGAGCTGGACCATCAAGAAGGCTGATCGCCGAAGAATGGATGCTTTTGAATTCTGGTGCTGGAGGAGACTCTTGAGAGTCCCATGGACTGCCAGAAGATCAAACCTCTCCATTCTGAAGGAAATCAGCCCTGAGTGGAAGGACAGATCCTGAAGCTGAGGCTCCAAGACTTTGGCCACCTCAGGAGAAGAGAAGACTCCCTGGAAAAGACCCTGATGTTGGAGAAGGGGACAACAGAGGACAAGATGGCTGGACAGTGTTCTTGAAGCTACCAGCATGAGTTTGACTAAACTGCGGGAGGCAGTGGAAGACAGGAGTGCCTGGCGTGCTCTGGTCCAGGGGGTCACGAAGAGTCAGACACGACTAAACGACTAAACCACAACAACAATCTGAGAGAGGGTGGAGGAGATAGAGGGTCCGGGGATTTCAATAAGGAATCTGGCAGAAATATTTATCCTAAAACATTAGGCAGGGACAGCCCATGAGATGCTCTTCAAATGTTCCTGGGCCACAGTTCCCATCATTCCTGGCAGTTGGCCATGTTAGGTGAGGATGAAGTAGTCCACAAACATCTAGAGAGCACTATCCAGGCCATGGATGGGGAACCTGTGCTGTGTGGGCCAAGACTGCTTTCCCTAAGTGCCGGCCTTATACCTGTATACCTGAAGGAGCATCTCCACCCCCATCGTTCAGCCCGGACACTGAGGTCCAGCTCCAAGGGCCTTCTGGTGGTTCCCTCATTGGGAGAAGTAAGGTTACAGAGAACCAGACAGGGGGCCTTCTTGGTAGTGGCGCCTGACCTGTGGAATCCCTCCCATCAGATGTCAAGAAGATAAACAACTATCTTATCTTTAAAAGACATCTGAAGGCAGCCCTGTTTAGAGATGTTTTTAATATTTAATGCTGTATTGTTTTTAACACTCAATTGGGAGCCACCCAGAGTGGCTGGGGAAACTCAGCCAGATGTGCGGGATGTGGACCGAATCCCCATGACAGAGTGAGCCCCGTGACGGAGTGAGCAGGGACCGAGCAACGGGAGCTCACCCCGTCGCAGGGGTTCGAACCGCCAACCTTCTGATTGGCAAGCCCTAGTCTCTGTGGTTTAACCCACAGCACCACCCGCGTCCCTTAGTTTTAGCTGGCTTCGGCTAAAACGTCACATTCTGTTCCTCGGTTTCCATTACGAAAAGAG